GGCGTGGATTGAGCGAGGTGTTGTTGCGATCTGTTAGCAGGAAGAGGTTCAGTAGATGAGCCATGTGCAATGTTGGTACTCGGTCCAGCTTCCTTGTCGAGCGCTCATCCCCGAAAAACTTTGGCACCGTTTCCTAGGAATCCTGTATATGATGCATATTTTTCCGAAGGTATTTGAGGTACAGAAGATGTGCAGTAGAATACCGGCCATCGAGCGTGACCTTGCGCCACAAGACGGTCCTTCATTGTCAATCTCCGCTCGAGCGCCTGTGCGCGCGAATCTGCACACTCGGGTCGGAGTCTTAACCGGCAGTTCTCGGCATATGTGACTTTTCGTGACCACTCCGCGGAGAAATGTCCGAACACTGGGGTCAAGACCCACTCCTCGCCCTCCCGTCCTCTCACTTCTGAACGGAGTACTTTCATATTCCTCAAGTGTGTTCTATCACGGTAGATGCATGATCCTACGAATTCACATGATTATCGCCGCAGAGGGGAGGGAGCGACGCGGCGAACAGTTGTACTGGGCGCTCAGTTGTCCGAACACCGTGACTGGGGTCGCGATAGTATGCAGAGAACTCGGCATGCATTAGGTTGACATTTAATTTGCGATCGGTCATCGTATGATCAGATGAGCGAAGGATTTAGACTTACAAATTGGTCGGCAGAACGCAAGCTGCTACAAGCAAGCCAAAAGCTGGCTGGTAGCTTGCAGCAACACTAGGCCATAGACGGTTTCTCCTGTAGCAGACACACTTGGTTGAGACTCCAATCTCCAAGTCTACCACGATGCCAGGATCTACCGCATGTAGATGCAGCCTGCGGCTGAAAGCAAAGTGCTGATCAATTCCCGATACAGATCTCAGATCGATCACTCCTGCAATCTTTGCCGAGACTCGAAGCCACAGCCGCGTCACGGTCTCGCTCTGTCTTGCTGCTTCCCCAGGGTCTCGTTGCTTAAGATCGAACCAGTATATCGACTTGCGTGCTTCAGAAGCTCGACAGCATGGCCACGGACCAGTCACACAACGGAGGCGCCTCGGACGACGAGACGGACGTCGATGTACTCGTTGAGCGAGGACAAGAGCTTGTGGACGCCATCCTGCGGCGGAGACCCCTCACCGAGATCAAGGCGCTGATTGCAGCTGGTGCACCGGTCTGGTTTCAAGACGACGAGGGAACGTCCCCATTGCACGCGGCGGCGTACGTGGAGAACGAGGAGCTCGTCCGCTTCCTGATTGATGAGGGCGCTGTATGGAACGCCGGTGAGCATGACATATTGCAGGCGGCCTTCCAAGCGTAGGCGACGCCGGAGCTGACAGATTACGCCTCCACATCTGTTGGTCGACATGCGTAGTGGATAACCTGCACAACACCGCTGGAGACGTTGCGTTGTCATTGAATACTGAGAATTGTTATATGATGATACGGGATGCGGGGATACGGTCAGGTATGTGGTGCCCCTGCGTCCAGAACAATTGACCACAAGCGTTGGTTGACGTATGCGGCAGAGCTGCTACTCCGATTACTCTCGAAGAACGCCTCCGAGGCGAACTCGCAACTAAGCCTGATTCTGAAGGCAACAGACACAACACCCGCCGGGTCGACGGACGCGTTCCTGGATACGAAGCTCGAGTACACTAAGGACGAAAATGGTCAGGACATCTGTCTTGTCAAGGTCAGCGATAACGAAGAGGTCGGCGTTATGATGGGATGGGAGCGCGGCATAAGTGAGTTCGATTGTGCTCTCTTCCATGCAGACTTGTTCTTAGTGCGCCAGTGCTAAGTGCAGGAAACTGTCCATAAGCTGTGCTCGGATCATCCGGGTCTTCAGAGCGGCCTGAAAATTCTGAACGTCGGCTTTGGTCTTGGTATCGTAAGTGTCACGTCCCAGTAGCCGTATCCTTTTCCGGACCGCTTACAGTCAAGCCCGAGCTTAGATCGACACCCTATTCCAAAATCTACCGACAAAGCCGTCGCTCCATGTCATCATCGAACCGCATCCAGATGTCTTAAAGCATATGCGAGATCAAGGATGGTATGACAAGGAAGGCGTCCAGATCCTCGAAGGAAAGTGGCAGGATTTCGTGGAGAGCGAAGAGCTCCTCAGCGTAGGCGGGTTCGATGTGATCTACACCGATACCTTCTCAGAAGACTACGCAGGTATGTCATCCGTAGTCATAGGATCAGGTTGATAAGCTGCTGACCATAGTATATTCCCAGACTTGCACAAATTCTTCGGACACGTACCAGATTTACTCGAGGGACCAGACTCTCGGTTTGGCTTCTTCAATGGCCTCGGTGCAACCAGTATGTCCTTTAGCCTTCACTCGACCCGTGAATGCCTTTCCAACAGGCCACGCCACAGATGCCACGTTCTACGATGTTTACAGGCATGTGTCGGATCTGCACTTGGCAGATGTCGGCATCGATGTCGAATGGAGCGACGTCGACGTCTTCGAAGGAGACGTTGATAGATGGGGTAAGACGCGGGAGTACTTCGCGATGCGCACATATCGTCTGCCAATAGGCAAAATGAAGCTGTTCTAAGGATGGGTAGGGGGTGTGCCGACCAACGGTTAGGCCGCAGGCCTCAGGACTTGTTGTGCAAGCATTACGATGACGTCTCCCCTTAACAGCTTGCCCGAGTCCAACCAATCATGTACGTTACTGAAGGAGTTGTGAAAACAAAATGATGAGGCAATACTGGGGTGCCAGAGAAGATTGGAGTAGATTGCTATAATTACTTGGGAAGCGGGAGCTGTCCACCCCGTCGCCATAGCAGAGGCCCGCGATCGCGACCAAGCAGAGCCACCGACCCCTGCAGGCGCTCACGGCGTCCCCGGTCACCGAGGGGCGAGCTGATATACCCCTCCTGCGCGGTCCCCAGGCGCCTCGTTCCTTCTGACCCGCCTCCATCTCCCTCTATTTCCTCGCTTTCCTGTCGACAGGCTCGACGTCTTGTACTTCACTACTACTTCACTGTATTCTTACCCGGTCCGCTTGCTCGACGCACACGTTTCTCGCCTTCCCGTTCCTGGAGAACTCGTTCTATCACAAGCAAAAGCAAAAGCGCAGACAGCAGGATGGCAGCGCCGCCGATGTACACCGCGAACCCGACGCAGGTCATTGCTTTGGTACGTTTGAGATTAGATTCGCGACCTGCGAGCTACTGTAAGGTCAAAGCGAGGTGAGACAGCATGCTGAGATTGTCGTTCGTAGAATCTCCCGATCAACCAGGCCCCAAACGACTCGGTCCCGTATGAGCTCCAGAAATACGTGAGTGCTCTCGGACGTCTCCCCGAGTGCGGATTTTGACATACGGACAGTACTCGAAAGACATCTGGGCGGCCAGGCAGCGTGCTGTGCTCATGAAGGGCTCTCGCTACCTGAAGCCCCGCTTCGAGATCATCTTCGCCGTTTTCATGTTCCTGTGCGTATCTACATTCATATGCGACTTCATTTCATATTGGCCCTCGATTGGGGCGACGTTCGGTTCCCGTATTCTGACCACTCCTCGTGGCAATCCCCTACCTTTCATTTCTTATCTCATGTCGATCATCCTGACCGTGACCGCTCCCCCCCGTAGCTCGATGCTCGCCGTCCCGATCGTCATTTACTATGTCGCCCTGCACACTCTTCCCGCGCACCTGACACAGGTCGGAGAGACCTTCAACGGCGAAAGGATCTTCAACGACGACCGCGTATGGGAGGCGCGCGCAGCGAGTGTCGGTGCGCTCGTCGGGCTGATCCTCCTCGGCTGGGTCCCCTTATTCATCTGGAAGGCTCGCGTGAGTCTCACAATTGGGCTTCGCGAACCGCAATAGATTTGTGATGTCTGTCGGATTATGTTTGTAGGGCAAGAGGCAGGTCAACCAGATGCTTCGGAAGTTCAGCGTGGAGGACGCCGCTGTGGCTGGGCCTAGCGCTCAGGTTCCTCAGTGGTCGATGAAGATGCCGGGTATTGGGAGCAAAGCTATCGTGAGCATCAGTTTTCCCCTTGATTGAAGAAGTCTCGGTCTGTTGACGTGCGATTTGCCGTAGCACCTCATGATCTCGTACCCCCGCCCGCCCATGAGCTCACCGTTCCAGCTCGGCCTCCCTCCCGTAAGTCTACTCGCGCTCGAATATCCCAGTTTCTGATACTCATTCCGCTTCGCAGTACCTCGTCAACCCGCCCATGGATCCCGCCGCCGCCGGTTACTACATGCAGGCGAGCCACGCCCCCGGCCAGCCCCACCACGCGCCGGGCAACGCGATGTCGGGCATCCCGCTGTACAACGAGAACGAAGAGAAGATCCCCGACTACAGCGGCCCGACGAACGACACGTACCTCCCGCACGAGAAGGAGCGCTTCGAAGACATCAAGGTCTGAGCTGTTCTCTTCGTGCTCTGGGTTTCGTGCGCCGAGGGCTTCGGGACGCTGCTACGTGACCTTGCTCACTTTACGATACTGATGTTGTGCTGGCGAGCTGGCGCTGCCATGCCGCTTGCTGTTCAACCTGTGCCTTTCTTGCGTGCTTGAGCGTTGTGCTTGTTTGCTTGAGCAACCGGACTCTTTCCCTACTTTTTGCTGCAGTGTAGCCCTTACCTTTAGTGCTCGTTACAAGACATGTGTCCTCGTCGTGGAATAAAGGATTTGGAGCCGCCTCCTTTGCTTGGTGGGACGTAGTTTTGTTTGGAAGGACGCTGTCGGTTGTTGGAGGTACTACGACTCGATCCGATGATAGCCCGGAAAGCCAGTTTGGGATCTTGGAGTACAACCTCCTCCAGGTAAGCACGTCGGACGATGACCCGCTCAACTGTTCATATAATGCGGCATCGAAGTACCCTTATGAGCTCAGGACTACCGCCTTAGCCTACGACGACGTATAGGCGATAGCACGATAGCATGAGCAGTGCACCAAGTTCACGCGGGCGGTGATTCAAGCGCCGGTAATCGTCCGTCTTAGGCGTGTTCAATTCTTGTCGCTCGCTCATTTCTTCGCGCGCCTAACGGGCGCCTGCCCACCTGGATTCAAGGTCAGCTCAAGCGCCTCTAGCAAAGCGAGCAGAGGTGCGCAGGCAGCGGGTGCAGCGAGATCGACGGGATGGTCCTATGCTAGGTTCGCAATTGGACCCAAAACCTTGCGGGACGACTCCGCGTCTCGAGTCATAGAGCTCTCTAGATTTCGAATCGTCAAGTTTTCGCGGCGCTCCTTAGTCCCAGCTCGCGACCCTCATGTGGTCATGTTGCACCCGCCGCCTGCCCCCCTCTGCTTGCTGTGCTACAGGCGCTTGATCTGACCTTGAATCCAGGTAGGCTGGCGCCCGTTAAGCGCGCGAGGAAATGAGCGAGCGACAAGAATTGAACACGCCTCTTGCCTTTTCAATTGCAAATTGAGGCAGACCTCGCATCCACTCCACGTTTCGACATCCTCTTTGCACAGATGTACGTTAGGTCCCCACGGGTCGATCGAGAAATTACATTCAACTGAAGTAATCAGAATCGCTATGACCATCTTCAGTTTGTACATCTTCGACAGGTGCGCAGCGCTCTTGAGACATTCCCGAGCCATGCTATGATGCGCAGCGCACACGCTACCGCGTACTAATACTGCTGCGGTGCGTTTTACAGGCATTGCAACTGTGTATACTATCAGGACTGGCATCGGACGGTCCGTCCAAAGACGGCGGTCGAAGGCGGCATGCTTCCGGCCGTCTATGCCCCCGTATATCCTGCAGCCAACCCCGACTCTTTGTACGGCAACCGCAACACCCTCTCCTCGTCGTCCGGAGTCGTCGTAGCCGTGAACGACGAACAACCGCATACGCCTCTTCCGACGCAAACCCACAGTCCAATCGCGCCCCTGCCAACACCTCCAACGTCCTCTCTACCGTTCGACGAGGAGGCGAAACTCGTGTACGGAGTCGTGCTCTCCCTCCGGAACATGATCAAAAAGCTCTCCGGCAAGTACGTATCCACCTTCATCCCCCTCCTCTTCCTCTCCCTCGCCATGCTCACATGTTCTTTGCAGGGACGAGCAGTTTGTCAACTACCAGACGTCGACGTACAAGCTGCACCTGTACGAGACGCTCTCGGGCTTCAAGTTCGTGATGCTCTCGGATCCGAACGCGGACTCGCTCCGGTTCGTGCTCCGCCAGATCTACTCGGGCCCGTTCCTCGAGTACGTCGTACGCAACCCGCTTGTTGGGATGGACTCCAGGGAGCGCGGGATCGACAACGAGTACTTCCGGATGAGCACGGACAGGTTGATCAGAGGTCTCACCGTCTTTCAGTGAAATGTGACTCCGACTTCGCACCGTGTCTGGATCATCGTTTGGCGTTTGACGGGACTGAAGCGAAGGGCTCAAAGCAGCGCCTAGTTGGTGCAAAAGGTAACCTCCTTCGCTCCCAACAGCCGTTGGCCACTTCCGCATTTGACCCCCCCCCCCATGGAAGTCACATACATGACCATCGTGGATAGCTCATACATATGTACCACCCGTGGATGTAGGGGCGCCCATACCTGGAGGTCACTGCTTCTCGAGCGTCTTCAGATTAAGCGCCTATCTGACGGACCAATGGGAGGATTACGGACTTCGCGAAGTCACGGCCAGCCACCAGCAGAACACACCCGCGCACACTACAGGCAGACATCGTGATCCGTTTAGGATATCGCGACTTCGGAGCATTTCATATAAGGGCACTCTTATCGAGATCGACAACAGAAGTGAGCCATTGTACGATAGATTATGTCCGCCATGGAGCTAAGTGCCTCAACGAGTCTACACAAGAGGACCTGGGGAAAAGGGTGCGTGAGGGACGATGACGATCCTCATAGACTGATCAGGACTTTCACAGACAAATGAGGATATCTGAGCTACTGAAATTGGTGAGCACAGGGGCCCAACGCAGAGAAGCATTCGCGATCCCGATTCACGGCATAAAAGTGAAACGCCCATTGTGGACCGCAGTCGATTCGGGTATGTCAATCCAACGTCGAGGGCACGGCCACGCTGCGGCAAAGCCACTCTCTCCTAGTCAGATCGACATACCATTATGCCGCACGGTGTCTAATCACCGCGCTAATATAAACTCTTGAGAACAGTTTCGCCCTCCCTTGCAGTCATTCTCATCACTCTTGTAGTCCCCCTTGTGCTCGGATCCTTCTACGCTTCTACGCTCCTTTCTGGACCCTTCTGCTTTTCTGTCTCAGATGTACCTCGCTTACAAGTACATCAGGAACAAGCGGAGGAAGGCGCAGGCGGCTCGGGAGGCTGAGGCCGCAGGTCTCCCTTCACCCCTAACACAGACACGACCTACCAACAACGGTGCAGCCGCGGAAGATCAGGCTACCCTCAAGCTCAGCGACTCTCCCTCACAGCCAAAGTCGAGAAGGGGCTTTCGTGTCTCGCCCGCACTCAAATGGCGGCTCACGCTGTTTTCGGCGCTCTTTGTTCCCGTATTTTTTGAGACTCTGGACTACACAGGTACGTCACCTCTCAAGAAGGACCTGGAGCTCTTCGACTGAAAACTTTCCTTAGTTGTCGCCACGGCGCAGGTGCATATTGCAGTACGTGGTTTATCCTCCGACCTGCTCATCGCATTGCAGTCTTAATCGTCCTGCGTAGTCCGTCTTTAACCGCCTGGACCTTCAAAGCTACATCGGGACAGTCTACCTCCTCACTTCCACTGTCTTCCTCCCGTTGTTTGCCTCACTAGCCGACGTCTGGGGCCGTCATTGGGCGCTCCAGCTTGCACTGTTTCTCTTTGCTGTCGGCAGCGCAATCAGCACAGGAGCGCAGAATATGGCTACAATGCTTGTAGGTCGTGGTATTGCAGGTATCGGTGCAGGTGGTATGATGGCGGTAAGAGCACGTATTCATGGACGCTACGAGACTGGCATTGAGTCAGTAACCACCAGGTCATCCGCATCATCCTGTCGGACACCAGCTCCCTGGACGACAACAACGTGCAACAGACCATGCTATTCTTCCTGTTCACGATAGGTTACTGCGTGGGTCCCGTTATCGGAGGCGCACTGACCACAACCTCCTTCCGCTGGATCTTCGCCATCAAGTACGCATCTGCTCACTCGTTTTACAAGAAACTGTACCGACTAATATTATTTGCAGCCTGCCGTGCTCCGCCGTCGCGATTGTCCTTTGCTTCATCCTCCTCCGCGGTCGCACCAAGGGCTCCCAGCCCCGCCGTAACCCGCTCAATCAGGACGAGGTCACCTCTCCCGAAGAGGAGACGTTCTTCGCGAAGTTCATGCGCATCGATTGGGTCGGCGCCCTCTTGTTCACGGGCGGCGGCATCACCCTCCTCCTCGCGCTCAACTGGGGTTCCACAGGCGAGTGGTCCTCTGCGCGCGTCATCGCGTGCTTCGTCGTCTCTGGGGTGCTGTACATCGCCTGGGTAGCGTGGGAGTACCTTCTCGAGCGCAAGGCTGGAGCAGGTCGGGTGAGCCGCAACCCGCTCGCGAACACGGACCCCATGATCCCGCTTGCGCTCTTCAAGTCGTTCGACTTCTGTGTGGCGCAGTACGCGATCTTCGTGTCCGGCCAGATCACGCTCGTCATGTTCTACTTCGTCGCTATCTTCTTTACGATCGTCGGTGGGTTGTCGGGCACGGACGCGGGAACCCAATTGCTGTACTTCGCGCCTGGTCTGGGTGCGGGCTCGCTGTCGTCGCTGGTCATGGTTAAGCGTCTGCGGCAGCCGAAGATACCCATCGTCCTGGGGAATTTTATCATACCAATTGCGCTGGGCTTGGTTTCGTGGGCCATTGACCGTAATGACAAAGGCCAGGTCAACGGGTGAGTGTTGTTTACCGTTGAACCGTCGCAATGACGCGCAATTATTCACTCGTCGCTGCAGTTTCCTCGTCATGACTGGCGTAGGCGTCGGCATGACGCTCGGCCCTCTCGTCGTGCACGTTCGTTTCTCGCAGCCTGAACACCGCAACGCTGTCGTCGCCGCACTCACCCTCTTCGTAAGTTGTGAATGTACTTCCCGAACCGTCCATTGAGACCCACGACGCATCTCCTTTCCTACAGAGTCGGGCTCTCGGAGGGACGATCGGCCTCGCGCAATGTGGTGCCGTCCTCAACGGCAAAGTGACGCACTCCCTCCACGCGCTCGTCCGTTCGGGCACGCTGTCGGCCTCGGATACCACGCTCCTGCAGGACGGCCTGTCGTCCGGCATCTCGTCCCTGCAGAGCCTCAGCTCGCTCCCGCCCGATATGCAGCAGCTCGTCGAGGACGCGTACCAGCAGGGCACGCGATGGGCGTTCATCTCGCTTGTGCCGTGGACGGGCCTTGCGGTGGTGCTGACCCTGTTCCTATCGAAGATCCCCGATACGGGTCGGGGGCGCGCCGAGGTGGCAAAGGCGGATGTGCAGGAGAAGGAGGCCGCTTCGACTCCGACGGAGGACGCGAAGAGAATGAACGACACGCAGAGGCCGGGACAAAGTCAGGTATGAATTAATGAGCTGTCCTGGGTTCGACGAACGTTTCTCTGTCTCTGCGGACTCATCTGTCGCCTTGGGATATTCAGTCTACACATATACCTTACACTGGCAACCTTTCTCCACTAAACGTCACAATCCTTCATGTCTATCACTGCATTCTATGCCAATGGCTTGTATTCTTAGTCGCGCACGCACTATTCTACTCCCGGTCGATCGGTAACTGCCGATGATAGGCTCGGAACCCTTACAAACGAGGAGTGAAGTACATCATGTCATACAACGCATCTGACTGCACACTCATATAACGATCCATCACGGCGGGTCTCAAGCGCCCTGCTTCGCACGCAATTTGTCTAGATTTTCGATGGCCTTGATAGCCATGGCAGTTGTGTACCCCCGGCTCCCAATCTTCATCCCGGAAATCCCGTACCGGCAGATATAACCTACTTCCCACCCTCCATCCTCGCACTGCATCGGCAGGAGGTTTCTCATGTCGATCTCGTTTCGGACGCCGAGGGTCGCGCACGTAACGACGCGAAACGCGAGGGCGATCGCGTCCCCAGGCGCCCCTATGAGCTCTTGAACGCGCTCGCGGAGAAGGTCTTCGAGCGTGTCGTGGAGGTGCTTGTCGTCCGATGTCTCGAGCAGGCGCGCGATGAAGTACAAGACACACTCGCGAAAGTAGTAACGTGTGCCGTCGATGTACGCGCGATTCTTGAGGAAGTTGTGCACGTACTCGAGGGCGCCGGGGAGCTGGTGGCCACGGCTATGGGTGTAGAACAGGTGGAGGACGTTTACGGCGACTACAGGGTCGAGGCGGAGCATCTCCCGATCGAAGTACGTCTGCGAGGACGGCTATAAGTTTGGAAAGGGTGGCCAGAGCGCGCGAATCGGCTACTCACGTACGGCAGGCCGTCTTCGGACAGGCATGTGAGCATTTCATCCATAATGGACTCGCAATGCTCTTTGGGCGGCTTGAGGGTGACAAGTCCCAGAGAGGTTGTATCGAGGTCATCGGGGAACTTTTCGTAAGTCAGGATACCCTTGCCTGCTTGCAATTTCAGCTGATATGTGGGACTAGGGATCACTGGAGACTCACCCTGGAAGTAGTTCCAGTACCGCGGGGGCTCCGTCAATTGTACGAGGCTCCTACATTGCAGGTCAAATCCCGAACTTGAGCCATGCAAGTACCAGCGCGTACCTGTCTCCAGTAGCCTCCAAAATCAGCAGCTGGCCAAAGTTCTCCATGATGGAGACCCCTGGCTTGTCCGCATCGCAAGGCAGGTTTCCCGCATTGGCCCGCAAGTACATCCAGCCGCGCTTGACGGGGTCCCCCACAATGTTGCGGAGTTGGCGGCGCGCTTCCTGGAAGTCGGAGAGAAGCACCCCATGCATGCCAAACGTCCGCGCTGTGACTACATCGTCGGAACTGTGGCCCACAAACACCGTATCGTGAGGGTTGATCTTCCACTCCTCATTGGCCAGGATGCGCTTGATAAACCCTATCTTCGGGAGGCGGATGTTGAGCTCGTGAGAGGTGAAAACCGCGTCGAAGATCGACCAGTCGACGTCCGCCCTAGAGCGGAACAACTCGTAGTCTGGCTGCGATACGTTGAACGTGCCAAAGACACGCGCTTTGCCGCCCATTGTTTCCCTCAGCTCTTTGATCAAAGCTACCATCTCCTGGTGGGGCTGCAGTGCATTGGCGACGTGTGCCCAACCGCTGCTGATGCTGGCGGGGTCATGGGAGAATTGCTTGGCGAGGCGTTGATGACATTCCTCCTTGGAGATACGGCCCTCCTCGTACTCGAACCATGTCCTGCTAACGAGGTAAGAACGAAGGACCTTGCGGTCGATGGGACTTGTCAGAGCAGTGGGCCAGGTGATGAGGACATCGGAGACGTCGAAGACGAAATCGGTGTAACCACGCTTCAGGAGCATCTTCCAGAAAAGGAGTCGGGGAGGGGATGGTCGCCCTGCATCCACTCAGCTCTTATGCATGTAAACCGATGGTGTCCTCGTCGAAACGATCCTCGTACCATCCTCCTGCGCCAAGTCGGTGGTCATGTTCGGAGTGGACCATCCGAGCAGGAAGCTCGTCTACGAATCGCTTCTGACTAAACTCGGCCTGAGAGCGGACGCTAAGCCGATGAAGACCCAACATACTGCTTCGGCTTACTGCCATGCCCAAGTGAGGTCGTTTCCTGGAGTAGTTTGGGTTCCCCATACGCTCAGAAGCATGTTGACAGCCGCATTACTATGACAGCCTGTCTGTATTCTCCGGTCGATGCCTCCTCGCTGAGGCCGAGTTGCTTCGGGACATCTCGCAAGCAGGCAACAGATCTCTAGAGGTAATTGGAGTACTTGCTACTGCGGGTTTGAAGAGGTCGTGCGGGCACATGACTGAGTGATGCTGACTTCTGATGACGTAGTGCTATGTATGATTCCGGTATGCGAGCTTGTTATAATGGCTGAATTGATGATCTGGGTAGAGGATACCGATCAGTGTCGGGAAAGAATCGTCATGACACGATTCTATCCTCAAGATGGTGGCCGCCGTGTAGACGCTTGGCTATAGCACACGTAGTGGCGTCGTATTAAGCGATGCACCATAATTGAAACGGCCGGAGGGGAGGACATACTGCAGAGCGCAATCGATAGCAAGCGGAATCAAGACAGAGCTACAGTACAAGAGTAGATACAGCGGTGTAGGTCGGTGTAAATGCAATAAGCGCCAGCTGATGCAAGAGAGCAGGGTGACCAGGGTGATGCAATGTTCTTGACAATAATAACCAGGATGCGTAGCTGGGAGGGGTATGTGTACTCTAGCAATGTGGTTCCTTAGTCCTCGGCGGCTTCCTCTACTGGCTGAGCGTCGTTTGACTCGGGGTCGTCTGTCACGATCTTCTTCCGCACCGCGTTCATGAGCGACACCTTCATCTCATGCTCGACCCGCTCTTCAGTCTCCTCGCCCGCTACAGCCTCGTCCAGTGCGAGCTTCATTTGTCCCAGGGCGAGCATGTCCTCCTCGATCGAACCCTTAGTGATGAGCTTCACCACCTCGACATCACGCTTCTGACCGATACGGTAGGCACGATCTTGGGCTTGCTTGTCATTGTGTGGGTTGAAATCTTGGTCAAACCTGCCCGAGGTCGTATGTTAGCATAACTGGAAGGTCAGGAAGGGGTGTTGAAAGCGCGCACATGATGACCACACTCGCAGCAGTCAAGTTGATACCCATACCACCCGCCTTGGTCGATAGCAGGAAGACAGGGATTGATTCGTCCTCGGTAAACTCGTCGACTAGAGACTGACGCACATCGACAGGCGTTGAACCTGTCAAGACGAGGTACTTGATCTTCTTGAGCTCCAGGACTTTTTCGAGTATGTCCAAGATCTGAGTGAACTGAGGCCCCGCACACATATCAACGCGCGAACCGTGGCGCAGGACAGGACAGCCCACACCTGTGAAAATATCAACATCCGACGGCCTTGCTTCTGGTACTGCTCGAGAAGGTTTATCAAAACCTTGATCTTGCCGGCCTCATAATAGCAGTCTTCGTTCAGGAGATATTTGCGAAGACACTGTATCATGGGTCAACGAGGGTCAATGTACGTGAAGCAGCCTAGTACCGTACCTTGTACGTCGCACAGAACGCTTGCAGCTCAGCGTCCGTCATAACTTCCATGTCCTCCTTGACGAGTTCAAATAGCGCGCCGCGCTTCTTGAAGTCCGGCTCCTTCAACAGAAGCCTGGCCATCCCAGAGAGCGCATCGTTTGTAAACCGTCTTCGGAACAGCATTGGGTGTGACGCTGCTTTGCGCAAATCCATGAGCACGTTTGCGCTATTTTCGAGGTACATCTTGTCCTTCGTCCGCGCGGTCGCCCGTGTCTTCTTCTTCACCGGCTTCCCGCGACCGTTCGTAGCCGCGGCTGCGGGCGTCTCCGCGCCGTTGGTCTCGAGGTCGAAGATGGTCTTCCGGGACCGCTGCAGCGCATCGTTGTAGATGGACTTCTGGAGCGGGGTCATATCGCACCACTCTATACGCTCGGTCTTTTTGGGCAGATCTTGGAGTACCTGTCCAAGACCGATCAGCCACACCGTGTACAGACTCTCTAGCGAAGAACGTACTTGATCCTTTCGACGCCGGAGAACGAATGGCGTCATCATCTTCTTTGCTCGCGACACACGCTGCTGAGCAAGCAGCGTCACCTTTGAGTCACCCTTCGTCTTGAAGACGGCTCGTAGGGAGTCGAGATCGTCCGCAAATTGGTCGGGGAGGATGAAGTTCATCAACGACTACGATGCCTCACTAAGCGACAGCCACCATATTAAAGCAAGTACAGGCACGTACGACTAGCTCCTGTAAGTTGTTCTGCAAAGGGGTTCCCGTGAGGAGTAACCGCCACCGCGCCTTGTAGCGCAAGAGGGCTTGGTACCGCTGGGACTGAAAGTTCTTGAGAACGTGGCCTTCGTCATAAACGCAGGTCTGATGACGAAACACTGAGCGACGCGCCGGTATATGCTAAAGAGGCTTATACTCACATCCCAATCGATCTTACGGAAGAACTTGCGGTCATGGTCATCGCCTTGGGCAAGGTTGTATGTAGTGATGAGGACGTTCCAGCCACCAGCCTTCTTCGTAACGACGCTGTTATTAAGCATGTCACGTAGCTGAGGACGGTCGTTCTTATCGGCATAGTACGTCTCGACGTGGATGTTGTCCCCGGCGAACTTCTGGAACTCGCGACACCAGTTCTCCAGCGTCGACGAGCTGTGTTCAACTCAGCACCCAACGCAGAAGCAAAGCGACCACGTAACCACTCACGGCACCACGATGAGATGAGGTCCACCGCGACCTCGTTCCTTGAGATGGGCAAAGAAGCTGATGACTTGAACAGTCTTCCCGAGACCTTCGCCCGACTATGTCAGAGCCATCCAACACACCGACACAGGACACCACTCACCCATCTCGTCCGCAAGGATACAGCTGAGTCTCTTTTGATAGAGAAGACTCAACCAGTTGACGCCGATCAGTTGATATTCCTTCAGCGTGACACCTGGCTGGAGCAACGATGGCTGAGTCGTCATGTAGTACTTCGGCTTTTGGGCTGGGACTTCGACATGCGTGAGGGTGATAGCGCCATCTTCTGTCGCCACGGAAGTGTCGCGCGAGGCCTGAGCCAACTCGCGTTGTTTACCCTTGGCGGACTTTCCGTGGGTCCAACTCGCGATCTCCTTCTTGAGTTCCGCACCGATACCCTCGCAATCCTCAAGTATGCTATCCACCCTGCCATAACCTTCGAAGATAGTGGCGCTATCCTCAAACATACGCGGGCTTATCCCAGCGGGGCCAGCCTTCTTTTTGCCCTGGCCTAGCTTGGCGTTCAGGTCGTCCACGGAAGTGAACGGTCGGAGCTCGATGATCTTGTTGGCTTGCGCAGGCGTACAGCCTACGGCGAGTTGTATCAGCATATATGCGCGAGTTGGACAGGACTGAACGTACCCGTTAATTCCTGCAAGCCTTCCGCTGTTGTCTCGTTGTAATACTCCAAAGCACGCTGCTCATCCGAGCTGGTCTTGCGGACATGGACATCGTCCTCCTCATCGCTGTCCACGAAGTCGGCCTCGGAGTCCGAGTCGACGACCTTGCGCTTCAGCCGTTTGAGAGGCCTACCAATTTCGGGACTAAAGGGCGAGTCGATGATGATGGGTGGTCCCTTGGAAGGCGGTGGAGTGGAGGGGCCGGCATCGCTCGTGGGCTTGCCGTCGACGAGACGGCTCTTGTAGATCATGGACTTCTTACCCTTCTCCTTGACCGCAAGCCGCTGCGCCCTGTTCGCCTCCAGAACCTCTTTCACCCTTCCTGTCTCTGTCGGTGGGTCAGGCTCCTTCGGTGGCGGGGTCTTTGCCGGGGGTTTCCACGATGGGTCATTCAGGAGCGCAGAGGCCTTAGGGACATCACCACCAGCCTCCTTCCACGCCGCGCGGACGAACTCGGTGTCATGCTCAATTTGTGTGAGCCGGAATCTGGTGAATTGACCTTCGTCGTCGTTGGCATGAGCAGAGGACACCGGTGATGGCTTCTCCTCGGGCACGCGCTGGCCGCGAACGATCCTAGACTGGGGTGCATCGTTCACGAAGTCCTTCGCGTCCGGGAAGGAGTCGTCGGATGAGAGAGAAATAGATGATAATGACGTGTTCGGTCCAGCCGGCCGCTGACCGGCTATGCGGACCTCAGGCGACGGGGGTGAGAGGAAGTCGATAGGGTCGCGCGAGTTGGTCTGCCCTGTATTCAGCCTCTTCGCCGGACGATCACCCTCCTCCGCATCCTCCATATCGGACGCTTTCCTACTTGTCGCTGATGATGGACGCGTAGCTGACACGCTCGACACGCCGTTGGGCATCCGGAAGCCGCTAGGCATGGAGAGAGGGTCCGCCGCAAAAGCGGGAGGGCGTACCTGGAGCTCTGAGCGAGTGAGACCCGGTACTTCGTCATTGAACAGGTTCCATGCGTTGGGAGCGTGTTTGACGGCATCGGAAGGATCAGGACGTAGAGGACTGGAGCTTGGAACAAGAACATTCCCCGAGGATGATGGCGGTATGGGGAAGTAGCGCGATGTGGCTGTAGCGTCCCGCGACTGTGCGGGCAGAACCACGGCCGCATGGTTCGCGTTTGCCGTCCACGAAGGAGGTGCTGGGGAAGCTGAATGGCTCAACGATGCATTCTGTTGCTTTTGTACCTTCTTGAATTTAAGCTGCTCGAGTGCGGCTTTCTGTGACGACGCGAGGCAGCCACAGCCGGCCGGTCAGGAAACGGTTGCATATCAGGACTAAACAGACGACTATACTGACCCTGGCTGCAGCTGCATCAGGACCGAGAGACATCGTCAAAGATGTCCAGGTTGCAAGTCGAAACGTTAGGGCAAGGGGAGAGGTCAAGGACGACGTGCAGGTGTGAGAGGTAGAGAACAAGGCGGGCGGACACTACTGATGTGGCTCCAGTCGGAGAGTCAAACTGCTGTGGCGGCGGGACGCTCAACGACTGGTCTGCGGCCATGGTATGACTGTCATGCATGCAGACGAGGTGCATGCGAACATATATTGAACATACCTTGCACACCATCGAGATGAGCAACGTCAAATGTATCAAGAAATCTGAGACGAGCTGAAGGTCCACAATGTGGTTGGAGAATAGACATCAGACAGCACCCAAGGCCGACGCAAGCAGGTGGAGATAGAAGTAAATATATTGTTAAGACCATCCCCCGCTATCTAAGACACTCAAAGGCAATGTCGACATCTACGACTGCTTCGACGAGAACAGTCAAGATATATGTTGAAGGAATATGCGAAGATGCACAGACACGTACTCAGGGCATGGGGGGACGAGACGACCAACGACACTACACAGCACCCAACCGGTGGGCAGTGAAGCGACGACCGAACTCTAGCCCGATAAAAGCAGTATGTCGACGAACGCATACATGTGCGCCCATCTCCACAAGAGGCTATTGAGCGTGAACCGCCGGCAAACCAAGGGAGCGGAGAGGCCTCTGGCAGGACGTCACAGCTGAGAACATGCGGCAGAACTAGATATTGACAGCGTACAGGTGAAGGCATCGCGACGCCGACAAAAATTTTCTGGCCTAAGGGGCGATTTTCCGCAGTCAACAGGTCGACCTCAGGTGGGTTACAGGAGTGTTCCAAATCCTGAAGGAGCATTCGACCATAAGAGATGACAGCAATTGAGATCCTTCGTGGCGCAGGATCAAAGGAGAGCATGAGGGCTCAAACATCTTACTGCCCTAAATGAGATATTATATGTGAGAAACGTTCATGGTCCATCTGAAGCATACAACCTCACCTGGGTGATCCAAACTATCGTACCCAATGCAACAAGCCCATTGCACTGTGCACACCAGCCCTTATGCTAGGGAGAGTATGTCATTGTCCAACTGGTCGTGGGAGACTACTCGTACACTGGTGCAATGATTTTTCCTGAAGGATTAGGTGGATTTCGAACGACAAGGACGCCACGTCAGCCCGCGATACAAGCCAATGGAGGCATTCCATAGACTGCAAACAGGTGAGCGGCGCGCCCGAAAGGGCTTCAGTACGTCTATATCAAAGTGGCCGAGATGCTCAGCTGTATGGCGAACTACTGAAGAACTGCGGACAAGCCAAGGAACAGGAAGCACCTTATCGATGGAGGGGATGGTGGTGGTTGAGGAGAAGGAGGCCTGGGAACCTCTAAGGGCGAGTTTGGGCAGGTTTGGGCAGTGGCGCCGGGTGGCTGCCTTATATGGGTGGGCTGCGCGGGGTCGGCGGGGCAAGTCGGCTGCGCGCTGTGCTTGACCCAGGACAACTTGACTCCCGACTTCCAACTGCCCGCCATGGCTGGTTTCCTAGAGTTTCTCTTTCTCGCGTTCACACTCACATTCTCCTTGGTTGTCTCTCTTGGGATCACTGTACCTTTCACAGGTGCATTGGTCCGGTTACGAGGTGAGTAGTACCTGCACGGTAGCTCGGCCTCTGACGCACGCTGACGTCGTATGCGCTCAGCAAACTACAACCCAAGGGCTCTTCAGCTCGACCCCGAAGGAAATGTAAATGTACACACGGGGCCGATTGTAACGTCGTTCTTCGGAATGTTGAGGAGGGTGTATCGTATTGAGGTATAGAGTCATCAAGTCCAGCGAGCATTGCCTCACAACAATGATTGTTCCATAGGGCTGGGCTGGACTGTACAAGGGCCTCAGTACGTGACCCTCTTTGAGCGAGTTTCCGCGAATATTGATGCTTCCTGTAGTGCCCACTGCGAGTGCGACTATTGTCATGACCGGATTCGCTGTCGCCGCTATGGATTCCAAGCAACTTGCCCGCCATGGCCGCGTCGACCCCCCTGACGTCGGCATGCTGGCAGCGTTGGTCTATGCTGCATTTGGGACACTCGTATCCCTCCCCGCGGCCATCATAACCTACCGGTACGCAGTCTGCATCTCTACTTTGTTGGTATGCTGATCCATCCCGCAATCCAGATCCATAGTCACTCCTTACAGGCTACCATGGTTCCGTCCCATTTATTCCCTACGCGTCCTCCTCACCCCGACGGAACGCCGCCGACCATGGGTCCTGTATTTCACCCCGGGATTGGTGACAGCACAAGTCCTTCAAATCGCGTACTCCGTCGTCATTCTGTACAGCCTACGCAGGCTTCTTGTGCCTGTTGGCGGGGACTTTTCCCCTGCTCGGTTTGGCATCTACGTGGCGATCGAGATCCTCAGCACCGCAGTCATCTGTCCTCTCGAGGTTATTACGACTAAGCTGGCGATCCAGCGCAACCACTCCGCTGTCGAGTACAATTCGGTAGAACAAGAGGTAGAGGATGACGCGGTGGAGGCTCCCGAATATGCGGAGTACTCGGGACAGGAGGAGGACGTTATTGGGTAAGTCGATGACTTTGCCGTCTCGCGGGTCTACTGACAATTTTGTCAGGTTGCGCCACGAGAAAGACCCGTACCTTGGGTTTGCGGATTGTGTCAAGCGCATCATCGACGAGGAGGGCTGGCAAACTTTGTACCGGGCTTGGTGGGTTACAGCGATGGCAGCTGTCCTCACCGCGCTGGCTGTAGGCGCTTCAGCTCTTCAGACCTCGGGTGTCGTGGTAGGAGATAATTAATTCCCGTATGTGTCTCGCTGTCACGCGCCACAAGCGATCTGGAGGCTGATGTACCGTACCTGGAAAGATATCTATCAGACGCCTTTGTATTAGCCGGATGTATCACCAGCCTACTTCGAATTGACCTTCATCTCTTGCCTTCGCTCTCCTTCCCCCGCGAAGACTCTGCGTGCTTCTCAGACCAATATGACGAGCGGCTATCGCGCTATTTTGAGGCAGGTATGTGAATGGTCAGTTCGTGCATGCCATGCACTCGGTTTATCGAAATTGAGTCTAGCCTCGCAGATGTGAATATACGGCATTGTGTACAATGATAACATACGTCGAATTGGGAAAAAGGGCAGAGCCCAGGTATTTCCAACATCATGCTCGACTCGGCATCTGGAGCGAAATGTCTCCGCGGCTCCATTGACAACACTGTCAGAGATCGCTCAAACCGACGGAACGAGAAACCCCGGTGAGTATATGAGCCTTTCTATGACGTTCACTTGTAAGTGAAGTATGAATGCTTGGAAGTTGTGCAGACTACCAGGACTTCGCGCTCCTCCGCAGCCGACGGTTGGCAGAGCTAATCGCGAGCTTCAGCGATCGATGGGATCCTTAGCTTCAACACTGACGGTACGTCCCGCACGCCTGCTGTCACCGAGCCCACGCGAAGGCGCCCTGCGGCTGTCACCTTCGCTTCTCCGCACCCGCCACCCGCAGACCTGATTGACGAGTGGCACGATTACCGGCCCCCGTTAGTCAGCAAAGAGCTACACGCGTTCGGCGAAGCGTCCCGTATGAGTATCTCGTGCGTCTGATCATGCTCATGACGCCATATGTATATGATATTAAGCCCGGAGCGCTCGCGCCCGCTACGCCTAATCTTGCCTGTGTATGAGCGTGTGCTCAGGCCCTGGCCGAAGTCGTCTCTTCACCTCTCACACCAATGGGCCTTCAACTAGAGGGCGGCCCATTGATCAAGTGACTACAACCGCAGATAAGCTGATCAACTCAAACTCAGTAGACAGCCATCAATGGGCCGTTGTTGTGAGTGCAATCTCCTGACATTCACTTTGGTTGTCAATGCTTGGAGGCCGCAACGTCGCTCTAGCACCATGTGATCTTATGACATATCCTCTCTGGTAGGACTTCTAGAATTTACACGCGCAGCAAGGATAGGCCCAGAACTCACCGTATTTGATGATCATGAGATGACCAGGTAGGCGGTTTGCGACGCGGATCCTGTCCGCTCTCTTCCGGACGGCGTTTTGGTAACAATGCACCCTAGGTCCTTAGGTAATGGCTTCAATGATTCGAAGGCAGACCGAGTGTCTGCAGTATGGTCTAGTCGCCCAGCTGCTCCGTAGACATCGGCGCGTCACACCTTGAGGACCTAGGCATCGCTAGAGTCCATGGCCGCAGGGCGCGGAAGCAGAGCCAGACGGAGACTCCTTGGGTTCGATGCTTTGACTTCGATGCTTTGACTCGCGCACTCGACTATACCCCCTCCTTCGCCCGACCTCCAGCGACCGTAAGTCTCCTTCCCGTTTTGAATCTTGAAAGCTTACCATGCCAAGACTTCTGAAGTACTTCTCTGACAGGGTGCGCCTAAGTCTCTTCCCAGGCTTTCACCGCCTCACTCCCACCGTGGTCACTGTACTGCTTCTTCGATCACTCTGAAGCAGGCGGGTTGAGTGACAGTATTGGTCAAGCTTTTCAACGGCCGACGCAATAGCGATATGGTGGGCGCATGGGGCGCTCGGTAGACAGCTCCGCTGATAGACGAACCACTCGCAAGAGTACTGGCCGATATGATTAAGAACCAGGAAGGTAGACCGCGGCTCACAATCAAGGAAAGCACTCTCTGATGCCGTGCAATGAGGGAGCTCACTCGCGCTCAATAGACCGTGTTTTCTCCACTAGCCTTCAAAGCTTGCCAATGTCACGGTCGTGGAGGTGGACTTCATCTCTTCGTTCTTAATATCATCCCGCGGTTCCGATCTGGATCCGAGACAGTCGCCTCGATGTGGACTTCCGATTTGTTTGAATCGTGACTTCTCAGTGGTCACGCATGCTTGTGCTGGCAAGGTTTATCGCTAATTCCTCGGCTGACATGAGCCACGGCCCAAACCGTATGATGTGCTCAGCCTGACCCTCTGGCCTTAGCCAACGGGTCTGCTTCGAGGGAATCATCCCGACAATCGGCCGAAATGCGGATTTGCGTCCATCGTCAGAGGCTTCCCTACCGCTAATCCCTGTCTTCCCTTTGATTAGGCATTGGTGCTGCGATTGTATCTTCTTGACAGCAAGAACAGGCCATCTTTTCTCCGAGGAGCCGCTGTCCCCTCCGGTCATTCTCGACGGTATATGGTGCCGGGAGTCCACCGTCGATAAGCAGGCATCTTGTCCGGAAAGAAGATGTCTCTGAACTAGTTGTCAGTACATCTCTCTGAACCTAAATCCTGCACCATGTCATTGGAGATCCTGATGAAAGTTAGCTAACGTATCGAGATACGGTGTGTGTGGTCGGGCGCGCGCACGATTGGGGTAGATCGTTGGTATTTTGTTCACCAGATGCCCTCCGATCCCTTGCTCAATCCTTCTTAGACACTAGTGGGATAGCCGTAGCTGAACCAAGGTCCCCATACCAAGCATGCTTCGACGTCCTGGAGCGCTTTCTGACATGGCTGACAGAACTGCTAACGTTGTATACGTAGTATCGCAAAATCTCCGATAAAACCGCAATCACGACAAAAGAGCGGTCCCGGTAGATCTCCATCGTAGCTGTCGGTTCGAGGAATATGGAAGATGAGTCGTTGGAGCGGTGCATCCAAGGCCGACACTTACCTGACGTCGAGCGCAAGCTCTATGTCAGGCATGGACGCTGTGGCGCTAAGGTCAATCGTCGTCATACATGTCACCCTTTCCGCACGAATGGGAAGACAGGGTAGCCGGCTCACTTGAAAGCGTACATTCTTGTAAGTACATGGTTTGCGCGTAGGCTGTGCAACGTGTGAGCTTTGTCGGAAGACGCGCGCGTAAGATTCGACTCCCGCTGCTCGCTTCCGCCTGGCCTAGAAACGGACTTTCAGCAGACCGGACTGCATCCGTTGAGAACGGAACTATCATGCTCACGCCTTCTGTCTGCACCTTCATCCAACGTCGGGGTAATGTTGCAGTACTCATCCGCTGAAGTCGGTCTCACGTTCTACACAATCTGTTGGGTGCGCATCGAAAGCGCACGCCCATTATGCGCAGCAACTTCTTGGAAATGCTCTCCACCAGCTACCAATGTCATCCTATAGCTATTGGCATCCCCGCTGAAGCTGTGAGAAGTTCCTGTTTACTTGGTCCACCCATCCAATCAGCTGCGCGCGCTCGACTCACCTGATCGCCAAGCATTTCAGGCCAGAATCGGCGGTACGCATGGCGAGCCAAAGTCGCGATCGTGACTGTACCATACTCCATCCACTTCATACTTTCCAGTTCCGGGAAGCACGGCGGCGGGTCCTCATCCTCATGAGGCCGTCGAGTTAGCCGATTGATCAGCGACAGGTTGACGGATAGCGCTGGCATACCAGAAGATGTTACGGCAACGCCCACCAACACACGATATTCTCATCACGGAGCGCGACACTCCGTGTGCGCCAAGCGGCCCGCAAGGTCTTCAAGAGCTCCCGTTGTCCATGGATCTGACACGTCCACAGAGTCGGTGAGTCTGTTTCACGTGGTGAATACATCGCATGCGAATCTCACCACACACCTGGTGTTACTTTGCTGCGCAGTTATACCTGCCGCAGCTCAAGGCTTACTACTCCGCATCGTAGCAAGACTCATTGTGTGCGAGGTACAATAAGCCGTGAAACAATGTGAGGAGTGAAAAATACAGATACACTGACGGCCTCACGCTTACGTGTTCTGCCATTGAGATCGACACATACAAGTGTCTTGCACGTCAACCAGTCCTGTGTACAAGGGGTGTCTTGGGGTCCGGCAAGCAACCTCGGTTAGACCTGGACGTGAGTGCAGGTACTTCGCCAGCGTGGCGCTACCCGTCTTCCGAAAAAGATTAATCGCGGCCAAGATACGTTGCCGCCGTCTTCCATTGCCGCGGTGGCGTCCATGAGACGCGGGTTGTCGATGTCGCTGCGGGAGTTCTCGGTCTCACGGTACGTGACAGGAACTACCCAATATTTCCCATTCCGCATTGCTCAGCATGCGCTTATCGCCCGTTCTCCTTGAGTTCTCTTTGGAGCCCTTCCGAATCGCCCGCCCATGCTTTCGGGTAATGGCTTTCCATACTGAGTGTGCATGTTACCCTGTCGTTGGCCGCTGTCGTAGTGCCAAGAGCATGCAAACAGGCGCACTATAAAGACCCAAGGAAATACCCGTCAGACTTCATTTCCATCCCCCAGGTCCATTAAGCATGTCTGCCGATACCAACACTGCCAAGAAACGGACTTCTGCGACCTCTTCGAAGCGCACATCCGAGGAGGACCATCGGAGTGAGTATGCTTTTCGGGTCTCCAGTTCCCTATGTGCTGACCGAGGAGTAGGGAAGCGTCGGAACCGGCCCACGCAGTCGTGTCTGAACTGCCATACATCGAAGCGCATGGTCAGTAACCGGGTTCCTGCAGTGCTCTCAGGACACTATTGACCGCCACCCTACAGTGCGATCGCCAACGACCCTGTGGTCGGTGTACTCAGCTCGGACTGGTATAGTAAATTATGACTTGTCTCGACCTCCAGTTAACATAGGTCAATGTTGCAGACGGGCCTTTGCGTTTATGAAGTGGACAACCCGACTCATAAGTTCGTTTTGAATCCCTCTTTGAGTAAGGCGGGAAACTGACATATCATTGTAGAGCGAATGCTCAGGACGAGACTGGGCGACTTAAAAAACGGGTTGCAGAATTAGAAAGCATCATTCGCGAGGTATGTACACCCCTACACTCAGCATCGGTATGCGAATTGATTTCACGTGTTTGGACGAAGCTCAAGAACAAGCCTCATCCCCGATGGGCACAACCAGGGCAGTCCAGCCCCGAAACCGAAGACTCCGTGCCTTCCAATCATGAACTTGGCAGAGCTGGCTCTTCCACGATGGCAGCATCAAGACGTCCATTATCTCCGCCGACATCGCCATCAGCTGAACCAAACGCGTCCCCCGCATCCTCGCCTACATTGCTTGTAACGCAGTGCTTCTCATCATCGCCTGCCCGCGGTTCGTCTCCTATGTATCCTCCTTCTCCCACGTTGCAGTCTCAGGACGACACCCGCATTTCATCCGACTCCGATATCACTTCGCTTCTCAATACCCCGGATTACGACCTCTCATCTCTCTTGGCATCATATTCGTTTCCCAACGGTCCCGGCATAGACGAAGCCTTCTTCGGGGACATTCTGGACCCCATATTGCCCGTGGCTCCGGACGCATGCGGTAATCACCGGTCCGACGAGCATTGTGGGTGCTTGAACGAGCACGCGAGTTACCAAACTGTGCTGGAGCTATCGCTGCGCCTACGGAGAGCCACCGAAATCCTGTCACGCTACGCCAAGCATACCTCCGGCTCGGATTGTAGGGTTCACAAGGGAATCTCGGAACTCGACAGATTTACTACGTAAGTAGCACGATAGCCGCGGCTGACTCCCAGCACTATTAGTACTGATAGACTTGCGCTTCGCGGCACGCAGTACCGCTTTGGGCAACATCGTGACACCCCCCGAGCCCGTCACTCCCCAGTCCCACGCTCAAACAACGTCCCTAGCCACGAGCACATCATTGGGTCGACCGTCCTACGCAGGGGCTCGATCATCTCTGGGAGTACCTTCTGCGTCGTTATCCTCGCAGGGCATACACTCTCCCCGTGCTTGGGATTTCAGACAAGCCCAGTCCGCCTCGTACCCTAGCCCGCCCTGGGAAGACTCGTTCATGTCCTGGGAGTCCCTCAGGCACCAGAACGAGCGGTCGAAGGGGAGCCCGTTCTGACGCACGCGAGGCCTGGGCTCAGCGACCGTGTGTTAGATAACTTCGATACCCTTACCCTTTGTAGTGTTTGAGCTATACTTGGCTTGGAGCTTGTCGAGGCCGCTTTCTTGGACATGGGTTTCATTAAGGAGCTATGCATGGCCATCACGGCACAGAATTTGCTCGGCGCAGATCGTACATAAACGATTCGATCAAATCGCAATCTTGAAACAGCCTTGCTGCCCTCGATCGTGAGATCACTCATGCACACCTTGTTAGAGCGCTAGTGCGGGCCACGACTCGGGCATGACTAGTTGACTACTGGTGCTTGATCATGGGGTTTCGGCGAATGCTCCGGCGTTCACGAGTACAGCCTCGTATGCTTCTTCATTTCTGCGCTTGGTGCAGTCTAGGCGCTGAGATTTCTGATATGCACCCATCATCGGGAGATAGGAAGAGCTTCTTCCACGCCCACAGGCGACATATGCAAGTGGAGCGCGGAACTGGCGTAGGACGAAGATTGCCAGTCCTGTGGCTAACTCAATTGCCCGCGTGCTGTTTACTGAGGTTTTCTTCTCGGTTCCTTTGTATTTTCTACGACCGCCCCAAGTGCATTGGACTAAAGGAAGATACGGTCAAAGTCCGACCAGCTCCATACGATGCAAAGGATATCATCAGCGTCGGATACGGATGATGGCTGTCAGAGCTAGGACATGAATCAAGTGCTCACAATTTGCCGAATGATGTCTGTGCGTTAGATGAACGGTTGACCTGCGGGCCGTCACCAGGAGCGTACGGTGATTGACCGCCCTAGATGTGCTGAATTGCGCGAAGCAAGCTCGCGCTCGCGCCAGACCTCGACGCTCGGGCGAAGTGTTATCTGTTATATAAGAATCACTCCTGAACGGCGCTGAGGCTAAACGCCGTGAGGGCATTCAAACTATCTGATCAGTCAGCATGCGAAGTCGAGATGCAATATGTATGCTACCGCGGACGTCCTGGACGTCGAACCTTGGGACCGGCTGTAATAGCCGCTACATAGAAAAGATGGGCCGGGATGAATGCCTTTTGGCGCACGGGGATCGGGCAGTCCTCGACGACCCCATTGTCGTATCAGACACCGGATCGCCCGCGGGGAAAAAGAGAAGTGAAGCAGGCGGCGCTTCCACTGACATTTCACCTTCCAGAGGTGGTAACTTTACGAACAACATTCGCATGCCAAGGGGGAGCCAAGGACATCGGCGAAGTGCCAAGCCAGGTCGCCAGGTCGCCGGAGTATTCGAGGACGCCGCCTGTTGCGGATGCATTTACGGCACCTGCATCCCGATGTATCAGCAGTTTACAATGTTCTGGACCTGTAAAGTTAATATGAGAGGCATACCCTAGCCTCTCCTGAATGCGACGTCAGTTGCGTCAGACCAGCCATCCAACCGCGAGGACAAAGCTATAGACTTCGGCACGATTTGGCAGGAGGCTTGACTGCTTGATGTGAGCGAGGTAGAATCGCGTCTATGCCGTAGCCCAGCCGAGTGCTAGCATCGCCTTATCGAAGGAGAACATCAGTTGAGTCGATGATCGAGACGTGAGGACAGTCTTGGTGTTTTGACACCATGCGCCCAATCTCGAAGCAGGGTAACGGCAAGTCCGCCGACGCTCCGATTCTATACAATAGCATTCCAGCCCCATGCAAGGGTTGTGACGCTATTCCCTCCTGACAGGTACAGTGGATAAGGGGAAGGCACGCCGAGTTAGACGTAAATGACCTCGAGGAATGGAAGGCACTTTGCAACCTTCATGGCTTCTGAGAACCAAGGAGGAAACGAGATAGACGACGGTGGGCTGAAAACTCCTGCCTGGAGGGGTTAGAGGCAAGTTAGTCGTCACATTGGATAGCGAAGAGCTGTTGCATGGGGGTCGCCTGATAACTTGCTGGTTCGACCTATGCCTTGCAACTACTACGAACGACGTGCGCAGTGCAAGTATCTTGTGCATCTTGTAAGATTGTAGCTGATGCAATAGATACGCATAACCCGCGGCCTATCCTGGGGCGGTATTTCGTCAAACTGACAACGGGAGTCTGCCCTGCGGTCGAATCGACGCACTGTGATAACACCAGGGGTGAGTACACAACAAAAGCAAGAGGAGCTCACACTTCGTTCAGACTGTCTCGGAGATTGATCTGGTTGACAGCCCGAGACACATCAATTTCCAAATGCTGGATAGGCTACAGCCTTGACGTTTGACTGTGTCATCGATAGCCAACAGCTCAGCAGGCCCATTATCAGCGAACGGTTTGTAAGACGAGTATGCAGACCACACATACTCAGCGGGAACATTTTCTGTTTTTGCGCGTGTTTTGACAGTACGAGTAAGACTATCGTGAGCTTGAGGGTGTGGTGGGCTGAAGAGCGACCGAACCACCCACTGGAAATTGCTAGAAATGGCATGACAAGCTTAGTCAGCTTTCCAGGGCTATATAAAAGCGCGGAATTCTCACGGTCGCGGCAACTTCAGACGCGACTCTTTGCTGACCTCCTACATTCACATTTACCATGGCCTCACACTTAGTAAGTTTTCTCGTCAACCTCAGGAGTGGGATGGATACTCACCCCTGTATCAGGCGAATATCTTTGGTACGGAGCAGGACCGTGTAAACTGCTCGTTTTACTACAAAGTATGTATGTTCAACCAGTCCTGCGGTCTGCGTGTATTGCTCTACTGACCGTCAAATTGTCTAGATTGGTGCATGTCGCCACGGCGATCGTTGCTCTCGCAAACACATCAAGCCGGCCTTTTCTCAAACCATTCTCCTCCCCAACGTCTACCACAACCCGGCTCACGACCCAGTATGCACCAAGACCGAGAAGGAGCTGCAGGAGGGCTTTGACGCTGTATACGAGGATCTCTACTGCGAGCTGGCAAAATTTGGGCATCTGCTGGAACTTCACGTGAGTGTAGTGCTGTTGGTCATCCTCAGACTTGCACTGACAGACGGGGTCGGGCAACGAAGGTTTGCGACAACGTCGGTGATCACCTCATTGGGAATGTGTATGCCCGTTACGAGTGGGAGACCGAGGCTCAAGCAGCTGTTGACAATTTGAATGATCGGTGGTATGCAGGTATGTCGTGTTTGTCGTAGTGCAGCGGTGCAGTCATGCTGACCGGTCCCTCAGGCCGCCCACTGTATGCTGAGCTTTCCCCCGTCACCGACTTCCGCGAAGCATGCTGTCGCCAAAACGAGAATGGCGAATGTAACCGCGGCGGTTTCTGCAACTTCATGCACCTACGTCTTGCGTCGCCAGAGCTCGTTCGTTCTCTTCGCCACGGGCAGCGCCTAGAGCGGCGTCTGCACCCTCCAACTACGACCGGTGGTGGTGGTTGGGAGCCTGGTAAGAGGGAAGGAGGCCGTGGCAGGAGCGCCAGTCCATCGAAGCGTGGAGGCCGACATGATGGCGAGGACAGGTGGACGCGCAAGTAGGTGGCAGCTTGCGTTCTTCTCTAGCCGTCTTTTGGTCCAGTCATTGCTTGGAGCTATCAGTCTTACTGTATCACTTCAATACATACTTTCTCCCTCGCTACTTGGAAGGCTCCGGGAATGAGATACCTGCGAGATTTAGACCATTCACAAATCCCAACGTATATAACTCAGTATGGCAGATTACGGCAACGTCACGACCAGACCCCAATGACGAAGAGATGGATCGACCTCTATCCCATACCGCCCATAGATGGATGGCTTGAATGACTGCACTAGACGTCATCAGGCATATGCTCGACAGGGAGCCACGTATCGCTACACAAGCCACCCGCGACATTCGCCCCTTTTGCCGTCTTGTAATAAATCGGGCCATTGTACGATGAACCTAGGTAGAGTGAATGGTAGCTTGCCTTAGTTTGATACTTTGAGACGCTTACCTGTCTACCAACGGCCGAAGCAACTTCCCAGAGAGCGAAAGGTGCCGCACCCGGGCGAACGACTCCACGTAGATTAGCTTGGGCGACTTCAACCCCAGAAACTTCAGAGCAGCATGACATGGAGAAAGTTCTGTTGATTAGAACGTATTCTGAGAAGGATGAACTCGCCGTACCCTGCTCAGGTAGGCTGCTATACAGAGCACGAAGCACGTCCCAGGCCCATTCAAAAGCAGAACATCCGGAGCGGGGGGGCCAGAAAACAGTGGAGAGGCTGTGAGATGCCAAATGCTCGCTGCGAGTGAGAAAACGGCGGAAAATGGGGCAGTAAGGAAGGACTGGTGCACACGCCGGGCCCGCGGTATGACTACGAACGAGCATGGCGCGTCTGATCCTGAGGTCTGATGTCACGATCAATAATTCGCACAATCAGAGGAAGATGAGATCATGCCGAAGCAAGAAGGGAAGTGACGGACAGAAGGCGTGGATTGAGAGGCTTCGGTGCTTTTAGCACGTTCCAAGTCCATGGCTTTGTGCATACTCAGCGTATCGCCTTCGCTAATGATGTAAGTCCGGGGGATATAGCGGTTGAAGTCGAGCGCCGAAAGGAGGCGAAGGGCCTCACTGGTATGGCCCCCTGCAAGTGTCAAGGTTCTCAGCACCAACAGCGGATCGGTAGACGGGATAGTACGGACCTGAGCCGAGGAAGACTGCGAAGCTACATACATCGGAGTCCTCGTGGCGCCCGGAAGGCTTGGCAGACTTCGTCGAGGGGAGGACGGCGTAGAGACGAAGCAAGGTCAACGCGGCAATCAGCACAGAGATGAGAGTGAGAAAGCCAAGAGTATCCTGATCAGCGAGGTCAGCTTGCATTGCCTGAACTCAGTCGGACCAGGAGATTCGTTCACGCACCATTTGAGCAATCTAACTGTTTTGGATGGACACCGAGCAGTCGAGAAATACTGGTCGGCAGCAGTTGGCGAGTATGACACTTCAATGGGCCGGCCCAGTATCATGCATACCGGACATGATCGTTGAACAGGTCAGAGAAGCAAGTCTCTGCCCGCTGGAGACGGCGACGGCCTGGCAAGCCGTGACACAGCTGCGTGATGTGAGTGTTGTAGTTGCCTAATCTGGGATGCATTCGCGTCGCGTGTCGGGCCGGTGGTTGGACGCGCCCATCTTCTCTCTCTTCCCCCGCCCGTCGTCGACTCTCCAAGTGGCGACATCGTGAAACTACTCCCAGGACCATTGTACGGCTGCATACATTCGAACGCAGCAAAAACATGGTGGAAGCACCCTTCATGGTGGATGAGGACGTGGTGGCTGCATTGCGGAATGCGGTTCGCGACTGCTCAGATAGAGGCCTGTTATATGCATCTAAATGGTACGTGTGATGTCCATTTGTCTTGTGTAGACGTTTTAAACGCATTTTAGGGCCGCAGAACTGTTGTCCTCGGTGCCGCCGTCCAAGCGACAGCCAGAGCCTCCTGCTGTGGTCCCGACCTTGCCCGACTTCCACACCTCAACTCCCGCCCGGTCCAGAACCCCGCCAGCCTTGTCATTTGCAGCACGGAACATATTGCGTACTGACGCTCCAGAAGCTGCTCAACGTTTTCAAGCTCACGAACCTTCTGCCCCATCCCTACAAGGACAGTCTATCGACGTCCTAAGACAAGAAGCGGAGTGGGAAGCGCACGATGTAGACCGCCTAGTCATGGCTAAGGCATTCATGGAGGCCAAAGAGTTTCTGAGAGTAATTCATTGGCTCAAGCCGTGCCGAAGTTCAAAGGCAACTTTCCTCCGCGTCTATAGCCAGTACCTGGTAAATGCCTCCGTTTTGAGATATACCTGCTTGTTGAGTCATGTGTTCACATCCAGGAAAGTGAAAAGAAGGCGCAGCGGGAGTGGTACAAATTGGAAAGTGGGTAAGCTCTCACATTGAGATGTCGTCAGGCAATTCCGAAGCGGTTCGCAGAAACTCGTGAGCAGCCCCCCGAGCCGGTCAATACTTCCCTCCATCAATTATTGGAGTTGGTAAGTAATGCTACCGATCCGTGGCTTCTGTTCCTGTAAGCGTCTTCACACTATGCGCCCAAGAATGCCGTTAAGTTTCATTATACAGGAAGGCTGTGTTTCTTTGTCGTCTTTCCAGGCGAGAAGAAGCGATAGAGAGTGCAATCCTTTCCATCTCAATGTACCCATGGAACTGGTCAACATGGGTGGCGCTGGGAGATTGCCTTTGTGACGGCGACGAGGTGAGGGAGCACCAGCGTGCCGCGCCTGTCGTTGATAATTCACCCTGTTTTCACAGCTGTCTTCACTCTTGCCACTGCTGCCGCTCCCCGCCAGCCATCCCCTTGTGCTGATGTTCCAGGTGAAGACTCTGAACAGCCTGAACAGTCCCACGGACAATGAATTAGCGTTATGTGACCGACTTCTCAGCGAGGACTTCTTTCCCCGGAGCATGTGGATCATGGCTCTCCGAGGGAACGTGCTCTACTATCTGCACGGTACTGTACTTCGCCGTTTCCTTTTGAAGTTCTGGCCCAGCTAAAGGCTGGTTCGGCGTATGCAGACTTCACTGCTGCGGAAGGGGAATTCCGGAAGATTCTTGCAATCGACCCTTACCGTGTTGACGACATTGACATTCTTTCGAACATACTCTACGTTACCGAGAACACCACCGCTCTGTCGAAGCTTGCCCACGACTATCTTGCAATTGACAAGGACCGCCCGGAAATTTGTTGTATCATTGGTGAGTTGTGCGATGTCATTCCAGCGTTGACTCTTTATCTATGCTTCTGGAACAGGGAACTATTTCTCTTTACGGGCCGAGCACGAGAAGGCGGTCAAATATTTCAGACGTGCGACGCAGCTCGATCGGACTTACTTGGCAGCCTGGACACTGATGGGCCACGAGTATGTCGAGATGAAAAACTCTCATGCGGCAATCGAGGCGTATCGGAAAGCTGTGGGTACGTATCGGTCAACCGCATCAGCGCTCTCAAGCTTCCCAATTGTAACACAATACGCCCTTTCGCTTTATGTGTCCAGATGTCAATCGGAAGGATTACCGGGCCTGGTATGGCCTGGCTCAAGCGTACGAACTCTTGAGCATGCACCAATATGCCTTATACTACTACCAACATGCAACGGCGCTACGGTATGTACTCCGCACATTCGTATCATATGTCGATCACCTGGCTTTCTAAACCATGAACCCATCAGACCATACGATGTTCGCATCTGGCAAGCACAGGGAATGTGCTACGAAGAGATGGGGAGGTGCGTGCTAGCTTCATAGACCGATTGTTGTCTGCGCATTATATCCGCTAACGCCCGCCCTTTATCTCCTGTCACCATATGGGAATTGGGCCGGATGCCTTCGGCTTTTCCTGCTAGGTTGAGAGAAGCGATTGAATGCTTGAGACGCGCTCTCATTGGCGCTGATCCAGAAGAGACCGTTATCCACCTGAAGCTTGCGAAGCTTCACAACGACCTCGAGGAATATGCCGAGGCAGCTGCGTATCATCGACGGATAGTGGAGGTCTGTCGTGCCGCACGTATGTCTCTTGTTCTTACTTCTCCAACTTACGCTGTCCGCTGTCCACTATCGCTTGTGCACCTCCGGCCCCGGGAGCGCCGGGAGCTTTGGGGCGTCGACCTGAACACAGAGTTCACTTCTCGAGGTTCCACGCAGGCAGAACTCACGCTGACCGATTGTCGCAGAAAAACCCGTGCCTGAGTGGTCAAAGTCCGCCGTGTACGTCGCGCGTTACCACATCCAATTCGGCGGCGGAGACCTTGACTTGGCCCGACAATATCTCCTGCTGGTGTCAACCAGCAACGCCGAGGAAGTCAACCAAGCGAACGAGATGCTCAGGCGTTATCTGCCGGCTGCGACTCTACGACAGCAACAGCAAAATGCTCAGGTACGCGCTGCATCAGAGGGCCCGCCGGTAGCATGAGAATGTTCATTGTCCCTCAATGTACTGTATGTAGCCTTGTACCGACCAGCGGAGGGTCTCCCAATACCTTCCTAATTGTATTCTGTCCCCCACGCCAGGCCTTGGCAGCGACAGCCTGCGGAACCGGCCCTAAACCGGGCCCCACAACGCTCTTGGTGACTCCTTGATGTGACAATTGTCATGCGGCAGTGTGAGTTACGTGTCACAGCTCACGCGCCGCGAAGGGGAGCGTGACGGCGTCAACGGAGCAAAACAAACAAAACTGCTGAGGGCACCAGATGTCGAGCATTGCAGGCCCCAGCACGCACTCGTTCTCCGCCTTCTCTGCCAACTCCAGGCAGCCCCCAGCGATCTCTACGAAGCTACTCCGCTTGCAAGATGGCCCTGACAGCGCGGTCGCGTCGAACGGTGGGACGCCGGTGTCTGCGACCCCAATCCTCACTCCTGCACCGACCACTGCACCGACGACCCCCATCGTACGGTCGAGCTCGCAGGTGACGGACGCACGCGAACCTAGCCAGGATTGTGCTGTGAGCGTGGCACCGCCGCCTTCGCAGAATGGTGCGAAGGAGGGAGACATGGGCCCTCCACAGGCGGGAGCGCGCGAGCCGAAGGCTAGTGTGGCGGCCAACCTGGACGCAGTCAACGCACGGACGATCGCGCTGAGCAAGGAGCACAAGCAAGGACCGGATGAGGAAGCTGTCATGGTCGAGACTGCTGCCAGGTGCGTGTTATGAATGTTTTTCTTCGAGGGTCGCTGTCATGTCCTGATTGGGGGTTTGAACTTTTCGGTAGGTTTGCATCGAAGCTGGCAGAGGACCATCGTGCTGTGCTAGCCCCAGACGTCGACGAGCCTTTTGTCGATGAGGTCGATGTAGTCAAGAGGCTGTTGCCGTACCACGTCTTCCAACTGCCCAAGGAGGATCTCGACGTGCTGCTTCAAGGTGGCGGCCCATATTCATCATGTAAGGGGAAGCGGAAGGCCACCGAGGAGGATATCCTTCGTGAGGAGATTGCTGGTGCGCATCTTCAGCCTCTCGGTAGTCGACAGACGGGATGACGTTCAACATACAGATACAAAATTTGCGATCGAATGCTGGAGACGAAGGAGGTCGCTGGAACGGCGGTTCAAGAAGGCTCGGATCGAGTCGGGCAGGGTACGTGGAACTCGTTGGTATACAACAAGGCTGGAGAGTTGATGTGCTTGGGTCATGGCAGTACGCGTCACCTCCTGACCAGGGCTACGTGATCGCGCAAGCCGTAATGGAAGTCGAACGCGCGGAAAACGCAGCATTGAATGCAGAGTTGCGATCTGCGCGAGCGGAATTGGACAAGATAGAGCGCGAGAAACGCGCAGCTGCACCTCCGACTCCTGCGGCCTCTACACCTGCCCGACCGACGCCGACGGTGCGCACAACGACCGCTTCCAACTATTACACTCCTTCGACATCCACGACGTCAACACCCACAACGGCGACGTTCATGCCCCCCTATCGGCCACCATACTCCTCGTATTCTCAGTACCCTACGACGCAGTACACCTATAACCCGTATGCCTACAGCTCCTACACGCCCACCACATCGGCTGCATACGGCACTCCCCAAACGCCGGTCACTCCAGCCCCTGCCACTCCGTATAACCCGCCTGCGAGCGCTGCAAGTGCAACACCCACATCCGTTGCATCAGCGCAAGTCCAACAAGCTCAAGCTCAAGCTACCGGAAGTACCACGGCTATCCCTGTGCAACTTCCGGTGAGCTCCCTTCCCGCTTTGGCGGCTCTCGGGATCATCCCCGTAGCAGCAGCGTCGCTGCCGCCAGCAGGCCAGTCACAGCCACCAGCGGTGATCAAGTCGACGAACGGCACCATGCTGAGCCTCGAGATCAATCTCTCGCTGCTGCAATCCGCGCAGATGAGTGGACTCGTGTTAATTCTTAACGCGTTGACGTCACGGGGCGTCAACGTGGATGGCTCAAGCGGGGCTGCTTCCCTATCAGGCGTATCGTCGGTGGCAGCAAACGGTGTTGCTTCAGCTGCTACTTCGAATGCGGCCGCGCCTTCGACTTCGACTTCTTCATCTGCGAGCACTCCCTCCCGTGCCCCTGGGTCATAGCAGCGCATGCGACAGAGAAGACGGATGATAACGAAGGGCGGTGTTTGGACAGAGGTGATCAGGGACAAGGACACGGCCGATTCGCGCTGCTACCGTAGCGTCGGACGAGAGCCTCCGTATTGTTATTGATGTATCAATAAGCAGGGATTGCCGTCGCTGTGGACGGCGTCCTGTAACCAAGGTTTGCTGTGAGAAGAGCGCTTTGTTACGTGTGCCATGCTTCTCTCTGACGGCGGGAACGGGGGGAGTGATTTGGCCACAGATCTCTTCGTGGTCGCCTTCCTATTCGGGAGAGAGGTGTCGAAAAACACAGCTGGTCGGCTTAGTCAGCAGCGTATGACGTCATCGCTGGTGGCGAGCTCGTCGCTGCTCTCGACCGCCTCCGCCCACCTTGGCCTCGGGCTTTTGTTGCTCGACGTCGCTCTGGCTTGCCTCTCCATCGTCTACCGCCCCCGAAGGTCCCTCCCATCCATCCTTGAGAGTCTATTTCGCGGACCTCCGTGCGTTCTATGGAGCGCCCTCAGATGCAGTTCATCGTGGCGAATATGACGACGCTTCCTTTGTCTTGCCGAGCACCCTAAAACTGTGCGGCTAACTCCACTGCCTGCCACACGACGCAGAAGCTGCTGAACTCATGCCGATAGGACACCCCGTATATATACGCGGTTCGCACTCTGGTGCGTGTCTCCCACTTTCCTCGTCGCGCTGATCGCCTCTAGGCACGTTCGTCATCGCTTATACGATACCCTCAACATCTGCGGCGCTTTATACCTTTATACGAGGCCTACCAGCCAACGTCTGCGCACCTACATATTACTCGCAGACGAACCCGCGGCATCAACGTCATGAGTACCCCATCCATCTTCTCCAATCTACCAGTCGAGCTCATCCGGGACATATTCGAGCACGCCGCCCACTCCGACCGCGCCACCGCGCGGAGCCTCGCACTAGTATCCTCCGCCGTCCGGCATTGGACAGACCCCATACTCTACCACACCGTCGTCCTGTCGTCCACACGCTCTCTCCGTGCTTTCGTGGACGCAATCTCCAGCAGGCCCTCTGACTTTGTCCGTACCCGCGTTCGCAACCTCGGCATATTCACGCTCGGACCCATACCAAGTATTCACCGAATACTATCTGCGTGTGCCGGTGCGCAGAACGTAGCCTGCGGCTTCCCGCTTCCAGCATACAAGGTGTCGCAGGGGGACTCCGCGCTGCAGGGGCTGACCCACCCGCGCGAGCAACACCTCCTAGGAGTGGCCTGTCGCGACGGATGGGACGCGTCCCTCGTCAACCGAACAGTGACGCACCTGCGCATACAGCTCCCCTCCTTCGACAGCAGCCGTCCCGACCGCCCCTTCGCGTTCTCCGACGGTGACGGACCAGATTCGGGCTGGGACCGGCTCGAGGCGCTCCCCGCGCTTACGCACCTGGCCGTCGTGTATCGACCGACCGGTGCCGTCCCTCCCGCCGCCATCGTACCGCATCTCGCGGGCTTGCTGCCTTCTTCTCTTTCTCCGAAGGGCGAGGGCGGACTGCCCGCGCTGCAGCTTATCCTGGTCCAGGTCGTCGGCGCGCGGAAGGACGCGTCTTTCGCGGCGGAAGCCGTCGCGGCGCTGAACGCTGCCGCGGTGTCCGCGTCGGGGCGCGCGCTGCGCATCGTCGCTGAGCACGCGCCGCTGTCTGTTGTCCGCCAGTGGGAGGATGCGGTGAAGGGCGGGCAGAGTATGTGGGAGAGCGCGGAAGCTGTTGTGCGATCTCGTCTTGCCAATGCCAGCCAAGGCAAGTGACAGTGTACCTACTGTGGTACATGTTATTACGCTCGCGCGGTCCTCCATGGCACTAGTGGTATCATGTACTTACTCCTTTGTGAACAATGTAATGCTTGTTCCCGATAGCAAACGTATATCATTTGTGGAAGCAGTGATCACATATCGCGCCCCTCGTCTGTGCTACTGGGTGTGAGGAATCTGACGACGGGGAGGTGCTCCGCAGTCAATCAGAGCGGCGGAATATCAATTTTTTGATGGCCTGCGAGGTTGCTCAACATGGCCAAAAAGGGCAGTAGTAGCGCCCCGCGTAGGAGTCCAGTCCAAGTCACGGTCAGGCCGGCGAGGACTGTGATTTTGTTCTGAAAGCTCCACGCTCAGAAAGCCTTTGCGGGTGCTCGGTGAAGCCTCGTCCACTTGATTGCAAGAATCACTCTCTATGAAGTGTGTATATTCTCCTTTGCCTTAGCATACCATCGATCTAATAGTAGACTACGATTCATGATGCATTCAAGTTAGTCTCGATATTCCTGGTACAGTGGATCTAGTGCGCCTCCTCTTCTGCCGACGCTTTTCAGGCGGTTCGAAGAGATTGAGAACTCACCAAGACTACACACCGCTGGACCTCAGCGACAAATCACAGCGGTCAGACATATCCGTATATACAGTGACACCCGAAACGTCAGCCTTTACGTGATTGCGCAAGACCAGCGGTCAGGAATCTGGATCCACCTCGATACATGCGTATGGGATGAGGTCGATGACGACTGCTGTTCCAGCTCATTTCCCCCCATGCCCTTCCGACGATAGAGACGTCGCGTGCTTCGTCTCCGCCATGGCATTCTGGGCTCCTTCGCACCTTGCTCCCGCTTTTTTTTTGGACTGAAGACTTTGTTCATGGGATGCGTCAGGGTAGGAGACCTTGAAGACGACGCGGAATCTCCGGTGACCATCGCCGGCTCCCTGAGGTGTGATACAGGAGCCGAAGTCCTCGTCCCAAACATGATGTCCCTATTTGTCCAGGCAACCTCCATCAGACATCCCGAGAGTGCAGCCTTCCAAGATCCACTGCTACCCCTGGATCCACTGCTACTTCCGCTCGCATGTTCCCCGATCACATCCCGGAGATCACGGCCTCCTACGGCGAGTTGTGGCCTATCGTGGAGGTCGACCGTCAGGCCTTCAGGAACGACTGGTGGCATGCATCCCCCAAGCCGATCGGATGGGGCCTCCCGACGCAGTTGGCGTGGTAATATTAACCTGTATGTGCGTCGACAGCCTTGTGTCAGTTCTACCGTCTTTCCAAGCGACTACTGTCTTCAGTGATAGCTTGGCACGAGATCCCACGAATCGACCATAGGGCGTGCTTTGTTGTGACCGATGAGCACCAAATGAATCAGGTGTAAGCAGAAGTCTATGTTGTTGACACCAGTCAGAATCCTACGAAATACATGCGTCATGACATAGCCACACGGCAGGTCTTACTAAGACATTATACAGCGGCACGAGTCGATCATTAGTCAAGTTACAATACAACAGATATCCACCAGGTTCAGCCGCACAGAGTGGGGAGGGTACACATACAGGGAACGACGCGGCCATTAGTGCTTGATCGATAAAAACAGTGCGACAAGAATATAAAGCAGACATAGAAGAAGTTCAATGACAGCAAGAGCAAGCGAGCAGCGATTGACAATCAAATATGCGGTAAGCATCAAGCAAGTCCATGCCCTGATCAGAAGTCCTAGCAGTGCTTGTCTGAACGATGGACGTCACACATCCAACTGGGCATAAGACAACCAGTCGACTTGTCCGACAATCGTGCGTGCACACGGATAACAGCTTACGTTGCCACCTGGCATCACGACCACCTGCGTACACGAATGATAGATCGCTCAGATCCAACTCGGGCGTAACGTAAAGAAACACGTACCTCTGCCCTCCATTTGCCCATTCGTCCGGCGAGTGATGTGTCGATCCATATCGCCCTTCCGCACTGCCACCTGAAGTCGGCGGAGGCCTGTTACGGTACGCCTCCTCTAGGAGCCGCAGACGAAGGCGCTCGTGATCGCTGAGGGTCTCCCCTTCGCCGTCACAATAGGACCCAAAAAGCTCAGCGGGCGGAGGGCGCGTTGGACTCGAGCCAGGGGCATATGTCTGTGGGGGACGCTGTAGAGATCCTTCGTGATAGCCACGAGGAAAGGTTGTCCGGATGGGATGCGGCTGGGGAGGCGCGGTCCGGAGCGGATGGTAGGCTGCATTCTGATGACCGGAAGTTACTATGGATGGCAAGGAGTGGCGGTGAGAGGTGGTGGGTTGGCTAGGTCGAGGAGGTATGTAGATGGACGTCGGACGCGATGGCTTGTGCGACAGGGGAGCTGGAGGCGGAGGACCATAATGCTGGGGTGCAGGGTGCGATGAGAAGAAATCAAAATTAGGGAGAGGCGGCGGAGAAGCAGGCGCTCCATCCATGTTCCAAAGCTGGTGAACGCTGCCCCCGAAATGGAATGACGTTGGTCCTTGCGATGAGGCAAACTCTGCCATGGGTGGGCGAGCCAGGCTAGGTCGTGGTGCAGGAATATAGTTCCGCAGATATCCTTGCGAGTCATACTGATCAGGCGGGGTGAGCGGAGATACTTGTGAGTGTCCATAGCGCTGAGATGAGACGACAGAAGAGCCCGGGGCCGGACGTGAGGCTGACTCATAGGATGGTGGAGCGGCAACATGTCCATCAGGAAAGTAAGAGCTATGGGACGTCTCTTCCGTAGGACTTGCCGGTAGAGCATCCTTGATCTCATCGCTATGTGAAAGCGTAGAAGCGCGTTCAGCATGCAAGTCCTCATGATTAGAGCCCATCGCGTTCTTCAAATAACCACTCACAGCATCTCGCGCGCAAGCTCCCACTTGGCACTGACCTCCTCCAATTTTGCCATCAAGTCCCCAATCTCGCCCATGACAGATGAAATGCCCTGCGACATCTGGGCGCGTCCCTCGGGCGATACGGCTCCCCGCGACATGCCGTACTGCCTGATAAGGTCCCAGAGATGGACGAGTAGGACGCCCGCACAGACGAATGAGACATGGATCACATTCGTGATGTTCAGCATGCCTCGACGAGTCTGCACGTCCAATATATATGCGCCCGCTCTTGCAGCATTCAAACAAATTGACAGTGCCTTGTGAGAGAACGTCGAACGCTCGGCCGAGTACAGACGACTCAAGGAGCGTCCACGCGGAATGCGGATGAAGGGCCGGTAGATGAGAATCTGGACGAGATGATAGGTCGTGTATAGCGTCGCAGCCTGGCTCGCAAAAGCGCGGTCTTCCATGTCAGGTCTCCATTTCACTGATAGATAGACAGCAGCAATCAGCAATCAGCAACGGTTGGATTGAGCTTACGAGGACAGCGTGCCGCTTACGGTGCGGTGGGAGCTCTTCCAGCCATTTCAATAAGGCGTCGTTGAGCTTCTGGACACTTTGTTCTTTCCAGTCTGTTCCGGTCAAACCTAATGCCGCTTTAGCCTTGCCTGGGGTGTACTAGCGGTGTAATGAGTACGCTATCCGGAGAAACGTCGGATGACTTCCGATATTAGCACATACCAGTGTCTTGAGCGCGTATGCAACGACATGACTGAGCTTGATCCACTGGACAAACCCGGACACGAGCGAAGGCTTTCCCTCGGGCTGCCGAAACGCGAGCTCCGGATCTTCGTTCTCCCAGTACTCGTCGTCGACCTCCAAGGGCAGGTCGAGGTCGAGGCTACGCAGAGCGCACAAAGGATGACAGACGCGAGGGAAGCGGGAAACGTCAGATGACCGCGCATACACCCACACCAGCCGCCCGATCGAACACAAATTACGGGACACTCACTCTTCCTCGCGCGAACAGCACGGTCTGCCGATCAACATGCTGCCGATGCGGTCGAACGCGACGAGGTGCCAGTACGCTCGCTTCCAGAGCTCCTCCTCGACGGTCGGCCGCCTGCCGTAGATCTTGCGCCGGTGCGCGCCGACGTCCTGCGCCTTGAGGACGCCCACGCTAAGGTAGAACCACGAGCCGTGCTGGGCGACCGTGCCGCGCCAATACAGGCCTATGAGCTGCATGGGCGCCGTGCGGCCAGGTCGTGCATTCATCGGCCAAAATGAGCGCGGAAGTGAGGGAGGACGATGCGGAATAACGGAGAAAGACGGTGCGGGGCGCGTCAGAATTGTCAGAATTTGAAAGATGACGTACACAGAAACGGGGCCCGCGCGACTTACAGAGAAACTCTGGACCTCGAACAGCTCGGGGGGGAGCAGTATGCTCCGCCGTGTTTCGTGTATTTCTGTATCGGATGGGCGTGCGCGCGACGCAGCGGTCAGAATGGCGTCAGACCAAAACAGAGCGAGCGCAGGACTCACTCATGCCGGTCGCGATATACCTCCACCCGGCGAGGACCCAAATGTCTTCGTCACCGCCCTCAGAAGCTTTGTCTGCGATCTCGTCGGGGAGCACACGTGGATCCGAGCTCCACCGGCTTGCGACACCAAATATCGCCAGGCAGACGCACGCAAACCACGCATTTTCTGTGTATAGCTTCTCCCGCCACTGCCGCTCAAACGTGGGCCGATGCAGAAGCTTACGTTCGGAGACGCAGGAAGACGATGAGCGCGCGACGAAATGACATGAAGTGAATAGGAGAAGCACAAGCCTGTGATGGAACTTACGGGGAACGTGTTGTTGTTGTAGTTGAAATAATCGCTGATGAGCTGCTCCGCGAGGTCTGGGGCAGGGAAGGCGGGCAGGAGCCAATCAGGCAGCCGCTTCGGGTCGTCCGCGTGTTCGAACGTCTTCTCCCACTGCGATCGCACTCGGTCACGCCAGCTCTCCTCGCGTACGCATCCACGCGAAAGCACGCACCGGCGGTAGCGTCCAGAACGTGGGGCGTTTGCAGCCCGCTTCGGCCGCCATCTGCACGTCGGCGGGCGAATTGGACTGACGGTCGTCGCTCGAGGTCTCGACCATGTGGCGCTGCTTGAACTCCCTCGTGGCCGAGATGAGCTTGAAGGAGCTGCTCTTCCCGTGGAAGCGCAGCTGGTTGTCGTGCAGATACCGCTCGGGCGAGCCCTCGGCCGGCTCCAGCCCGCGCAGCGTCAGCCGCTTCATGCCCCGCGCGACGCTCAGCTCCCCAAGGTCGTCGGTCTCGGACGAGTCCGACAAGGAGGAGCCCGATGCGTCCGCATCTGAATCCGAACGGGACTCGTGTCCACTTGGCTGGCGACGCTGGCCGCCTCTAGAGGCTTGCTTGCCGGACGCGGTGCGCGACTTTGTCTGACCACCGTCCTTTGCTCCAGATGGGACGGGACACGGGCGGTTGGGCGGAGGCGCCGCGAGCGACGCAAAAGACTGTTTCCTGCTGACCGACGGCGAGCGGTCCATGGCCTTGGGCGAGGCTGAACGCGCATTATCTGAGGACGGCGCGGGCGGGCTGTTCTTCCACGAGTCTCGTACGACAGGAGGGCCGAGCTCTGTTGAGAAGTCAAGCTCGGGACGGAGCTGCAAATGGACGTGAGCTATGCGCGACACACTACGGAGGGGAGAGGCACGACCAGACGGCTAAGAGGACACTAACACGCTTGAGGAGAGCCTCCATCTTCTCCACGCGATCCTCGAGGCCTACGATGTAACTGGGGGGCAATGAGCGCAAGAGCACAGCTCAGAGGAGAAGACGCAACACTCACGCCTTGGGTGGACCGCGAGGCTTGGATCCTTCGCTGCGAAAAGTGAACGCAATGCATGAGGGCGGGCTGAGGTCAAGACATGGACAGGAGATGCGTACAGGTAGGTACATGTCCTGGAGTTAGCGATGCAGTTGCTGCAGACGTTGTCCGGCATCTTAGGGCCGTCGCATCTGGCCTTTCTCTTCCGACAAAAGTCACAAGCACGTTCTACTTTTCGCTTCTTGGAGCCATTTCCGTCCGCAGAGGCGTCGATGGCATAGTAGGCCGCCGAGAACTGCAAGGCGGCCGTGGAAGCATTTTGCGGATCAGGGGCAAACTCTTCGCCGAGGTCGATCACCGCAGTAGGCTGTCCGGGCGTCCAGCCGGAGAAGCCGGGTGGCTGCATGCGAGCGGGGCGCGAGGGGTCAGAGGCGGAGGCGGGGAGGCAGGAGGCGGGGGCCGGACGGCGGGCTGGGACGAGCCATTGGTGTTCTTATTCACGCCGTCGCAGGCGATCTTCGAGAGCGCTGACTGGGCAGGAGGCGCAATCACTCTGCCATTCCCCGCCTGTGACTTTCTCGTAATAAAGGGCATAATACACCGCCCTCCTATGTAGCCACTTTCTCACCTGGCACCACCTCGGAAGAACACCTCGCAGTCGGTATTCCAGGCGGAATTCCCGACATTTCCACTTTCTCGCCCACGTTGTGCGCATCCGCCGGCATCCTCTCTCGATCGCGATACCTGCGATAATAGCCTTCCCTTGCTTCGCGCTCGTTGCCTACTCGACGACATCTGCGTGAGTCTCGACAATCGGTGGTTTCAGGCCGGTTGCATCACTGTACTGCTGCAGCAGCTCATGTCTCTTGCCTCGGAAGCCCATCGATAGTCGACGACCGCCTGACCGCTGGGCGATAGATGCCTCGTCGACTTCCTCCTGGATCCAGGATGCTTTTCCCACGTTGCGTCCGTCCCAATCCGACACAGTTGGGCACCTCTCATCACTGTCAGAGCCACCAACTGTATTGTCTGGCCTCGTGTCCTCGTCTCGACGCTCGATGCGGAAATGTTCGGTTTCGCTTTGGTCTCGCTTTCCCACTGCCAACCTGACGTTAGCTCAGAAGCGTCCCTTCCGCCAGGAGGTGGTGCGCGTATAGGCTAAACCAATCGTGCGCCTGAGGCGCTCTGAGACGGGAGCAACCCGGACTGCAGGCCCGGACGTAACGCGCTCTCGTCCGCCGCACTGTGGCCGAAAGTCGCTGGCCCATTTCCAGTTTTATATCGGTTGCGAAAGGACTCTATTTGCGGCCAGCTGTGATTGCCGCTATACGCTATCGCAGATTGCACCCGAGTCCCCCGCGCATTAGAGTTGTTCTGAACGCAATATTTCACGGTACTTATTGGATCTGGTCTATCTCAGCATTGCGTGGAGCGCTCCACACTTACCCTGTCCAGGCGCTCGCGCCTCCCAGCGTTCTGAAACCAACAGTTATTGGTGGAGCAATGACATTTGTCAGCGCTCCCAATGTAGATCTTATAACAGATACGATATACGCGCTCACCCTAAGGTCAGCCCCAGTGAGAACCCCGTCTGTTTCCCACTATTCTGGTCTTTTTCAGCCGATTTCTGTCTGGCGAAAAGACAGTAATACCTAGAAATCGATAGAAATCGGTATCATTCGATGGAAAACGGTGACAAAAGGCACAAAAAGCTATTTGCCGCCGATCAACTTTTCACGTCTATTTGTATCTTTTCCCCCCGATATTGGTATGTTTCACTCTATTCAACGTCTGACAAACAGATTGGGACAGATTACGACAGTACTGAAAAATTCGTATGCTTTATCCGGTTCTAGATCGCGCATGGACGAGGATATTTATAGGTGGCTACTCTACGGTACATTGGTCGGATTACATACTAGTACGCTACTCCCCGCACCCGTGCGACGACATTCAGTGACCTATCACTAAGTACTGCTGCATTGCCTCACGCGCTCTTTGCTCCCTGTGCAATAACCTCGTGTGCGACTTACCTGTATGCTGTACGACAGCGACTAGCCCACTCACCTGTGTGTGACATGTACAGACTGAGACAGCGATGCCCTACCTGTTAGCCTCACTGTGAGTGAGTGTACCCAAGGACAGGAAGGGATGGTGAGAGGAGGGAAGAAAGGGCGCAGAGACGGGAGGCCGGCCATCGCCCACCTTCATAAGACTGTCGCGGACACCGATGGCGTCATGGACAAAGGAGCCAGGGACGAGATCGAAGACGACGTAAGAATGGATATGGTCGGAAAACCGTCGGTTGGCACACAGGCAGTATATATAGTGGACATGGATGCAACAGTAGTATATACGTCGAAGACCCGTTTGATACTTTCGATCGACGTCAAATGGTCCATTGTATATATAAAACGAGCCAATCGATATATGAATCGAGCCGCTTTAGACGCCGAGCTGTCATCCAAATCGCTCAGAAAAGACGGCATTAGATGGCAATAGGCAGCAATCGTTGGCAATAGACGGGGTTTTCACTGGGGGTCAGCATCGTAACTCGCTTGCACGGTTCTTTCAGGGGGCCTGGAGGCACACCTCTACCTGATAGTGCAACGGGAGTGGCCTCAGAGAGGTATTTCCGTCAACTCTATTATTAGCAGTCTGTAAACGCGCGCCCACAATTCCGATATAGCTTAGCGCGCAGTGCAAGCTATTAGTAGGGTAGGCGTACACGACGAAAGCGTAGTTGCGAATCACATCTCTCGAGGACACTCTGCGTCCATGAGCAAGCGAAAGTGCGTAAGTCCACAGCAATATCCGCCCTGCTTAACTGTGCTGAACATAGTGGTCCCGAACGGAACCCGGCTTTCCGGCGTACAGTGCTTTGCAAAAAAGATCAGAGTCTAAATTTCGGCGTTTGGCGGGCAATTCACGTGTCCATTTTGGCGCCTAGGCGGAACCGACGTCTGCTTTCTCATCAACTATTCACGGATACTCGGTTTTCTGCTGTCGTCGGTGAGGACACACATTCCAATCATCTTGCGGGCGTGAGTAGTTGAAGCGTGCCACCTGGACTGTGTACAAATTCGGGCCGTCTGTAGCTCGCTCCTCGAACATTGTACGTCCTGATGCTCTCATTTTCCTGTCGGCGCGGTACCTTTTGACATCTTGACGCTACAACAGAAGTTCATCATCTGCGAGAAGCCACCTTGTGCGTGTCCGACGACATTCGGGTTGTCTGTGCATGCACTAACCGGAGCTTCTCAGCAGCTCCCTTCAGAGAGCATCCCACACTACCATGTATCGCACGGCGATCGCATCATCTCTGCGTGCCCGCCGCTCTCGTACCGCACACGCAGTCGGGAACGCATGCATAGCCAGGGCAATGTCCTCAGGCGGCTCGCTCGTCCGACCGGCCCCCCCGCCCCTGCCCAGAGAGCAGCAGCGGGAGTTCGAAGAGCTAGTGCGGGCCGCACAGGCCCCCCTGTCCGTGAAGGGCAGCGCCGCGCAGGAGGAGGCGGATATGGCCCTGCATCCGGACGCACGCGCGCCGCTCCAGGCGGAGTTCGAGGGCGACATGAACCCGATTACGGGAGAGCAGGGCGGGCCCAAGCGCGAGCCTGTGGGGCGGTGGGCGGAGGACGGGGGGGACTGGAGCTTCAAGGGCAGAGTATCTGATTTCTGACGATGAGGACCGCACGCTTATGCCGGAGTTGCTGTAGCGTATCACGGAGGCTGTCTTCCCGCTTCTTCTGGTCAATGCGGACTTATGTGGGCTGGGCCTTGCTCCTCACTAATTGAATCCCATTTGCCTGGTCCCACCTCTGAACCCATCGGAAGGAGTATATGATGGGGGTGGAAAGCAAGTGAGTGCTGCTGCTTGGGACCTCACCATGTTCGTCCAAGTTTCCTCAGCCCGCGGCGTTGTTGTTTCGGTGAGGCGACGGATTAGAACGATTCAGGTAAGATGTGCACACGACCCCGTGAGACGCCCCAGCCTGCGTAAGCAGATTTGGCGCATCGTGGCCTCCACGAAGTAGTCCGCCACCTTTTTTGTCCTCTTCAGAAGAAGAAACTGTCAATCCTGCTCTCGTTTCGAGTGATCGTGCGTACCGAAGATCCGCGCTCGCAGCGCATATCATTGCAGCAACACATAAGAAGACACAACTGCTGACAAAATTCCCCAGGTAGCTTCGAGTCCATTCTCCGGCAATTTGGCCCACTGACGTCGGTTCCAAGCCTGAGACAACTGTCCGTCCATCATCCTCCCATATCCAGCATCCATCGGTACCATTCCCGCGTCATGTCTAACGTACACGAAGAGGCGCGCTGGAACCGCGTGAGTGCTGCTACATCAGGCTTCTTGACATTCCCGAAATCCGGGAGTGCTGCTCTGAAGTTGCCAAACAGGCAACTCGAGCAGCCAAGGTCGGCTTTCACGGATATGCTCTGACAGGATGCGTATACGTACTCCACAGCTCTCGGAAGTTATGTCGTACTATCACAACCACTTCAAGCACGAATGTGCGTATGCTCCCGGTTACCCGCAACCCAGTACCCGTGACATATCTGATCTGATCGGTCTGTGCAAACAGTCAACTCTTTATATGATGTGAGTGTCCCGGTGCTGGTCTGTCGGCTTGTTCATCGCTCACTGAATGTACCCGTTTTGATCTTCTTCTTGAACGGTCCGCGTGCGTATGTACCGGGACGCACGATGACCAGCTCGCAGACGGCTCGTACACAAAGAGGGACATGTCGCTCCCGATGTACCTCAGGGTAGCAATACAGCTGTGCCAAGGTCCGTGGTGGTATGTGGCAAAGGAACCTGCTGCTGGCGGGTGCCTGTGCTGCGGAGATACTAACCTGCAGTGACTGTTCGTCACCGATATACCTTAGGATTGACGGTACACCATACTATCGAAGAGCGCCGCTTCTTCCCCATCCTTGCCAAGCGCATGGAGGCGTTCCGAGACGACGAGGTCCACCTGAAGTCGCACCAAGCGATCCACCACGGTACGGGTCTTTGCGGGACGTCTGTTGATGCACGATCTTGATCCTCGTGAGCAGGCGTGGAGGCGCTCCGGAAGCTTGTTAGGAAGTGGCAAGACGAGCCATCTACATACGATCCGAAGGCGATGCGAGATTGCCTCGACAGCTGGCGGGAAGTGCTGTTCAACCACCTGGACCAAGAGGTGGGTGCGATATGTCGAAATTTTGAAAGTTGTGTGATCACGGAACGATGTCTGTTGACATACTGTATTGGGATTCTCTGACATACGACTATTGGCGGGTACACCACGACAATTTTGACGACCCGACGTTCGACCTCGGAGCGACATAGGTGAAGGACCTATCCGGAGAGAATATGAAGAAGTACTGGACGTTGGAAGAATTGGAGCAGTTACAGGTGTAGGCTAAGTGCCAGCTTGGTGCGCACGTGGGGCGAGCACCAGTGCAAGTCTCCCATTCAAGTTCCGATAATGTAACAGTAAATCGCTATCGTCTTCAGGGCCTGCTCACGTCCAACTCGGGTTTCGATCCCCGGAGTCACTTGTGAGCTATTCCCTTGCTTATACGACTACTGGCTCCCCGGATTCAGACGACTACCTCTATGAGGTGAGCTTGCGCTCTAGCTACCCAAAGACGTTCTGCCGTCTTCGAGATGATCTGGCGGTCGTATGATCCGATTAGCATCAGCCGTTGAGACGTCGACAATCTTGACACGGGATGTCAATGGTCGTGCCTCAGTATAGACAGAGGCCGGACTACCCGGATTCTAGTGGTAAGAAGCTCCGTCACGCTATGGGGGTCGTGGCCTTGAAGTTCTATCCCGTTAGAATGCTTGAGGAAAAGCTGTTTCGAATCCCCTCAATATGCACTGCTTCCACTTGTTGGTCACACAGCAGTTTGAATGTTGAACAGACTACCGGATGACATAGTGGCAATTAGGCGGAAGGTCGCCATAGCCGCAGCCAGCCACACTAGTATTCCTAGGAGACAGCTGATAACTCGGAGCTTAGAGGACGGTCGCCGTCATATGGCCCTTATCTTGCACGCCTCTCTTTTTTGTATGCCGCGACAATCCGAATGGTGGTCATTGTGGGCATCCGCCTCGATTTTTGTGGTCGAAGAGATTGCCATACTTGAGCGAGACGGCCGGGGTGCACATACGTCGGGGCCGAGTAGTCCGGATGGGGTAACGCGCAACCGTTTGAGGAAGCGCCCATTTACTACGATCGGAGCGGGAGGAGCGGCCCCTTGCCCCGGCTGCAGACTCCCCATTGCCGCACCGGCAACGCCTGTCTGGACGAACCGTCATCCTTTCTTCCCTAGCTCGCCTTTGTACTCCGGGAAAACGACGCCATGAGCTGGACGGGGTGAGTACGCCAGGTTTTCGATGCGCAGGGGGGAGGCGAGGCTGACGATCAACCGAAACACAGTTTCAAGAAGGGCATCTCGCGCGCGGGCACTTCGGTAACTCCGTCCTCTAAGCGTTCTCCATGCGGACGGGGCCTGACATCTAGTATGTGGTTGCATCTATCAGCTCCTGCAGAAGACCGGCCAGATAGAACGTACGGTCGATCGCGAGTTCGCGGATGAGGAGGCCAAGTACAAGACGTACGTCTGCCCTTTCCAGGGCAGTGCAGCACTTCTTCGATATGACCTGACCGTGTTGTTGTCTGGAACAGATTTGAGAAGGAGTGTCAGACGTTGCAGAAGGCGGCCAAAGGCTACGCGGACGCGATGAAAGGTGCGCCCGACTTGCGATGATATCGTACCCGAGCGTCCCGCCTGACATTCCCGTAGCTATGACCGCAACGCAAGGCCGCCTAGCAGATACCATCGACGTCTTCTACAGCGCCGCAGACAAGGCCTCGGAAGGAGCGATGGCCGCACACGCCTACAAGCGTGCGGTAGATGACTTGGATACTGGGATCGGTCGCGAGCTCGTACGTCTCCTCCTTCTCATGATTCCGCTGTGGACGAGCGTACGAAGGGGCTATGCAACAGGAGGCACCGTATCGCACAACTGTCATGGAACCCCTAGGCAAGATGAACGCAATCTTCCCCATCGTGAACGAGCACATCAACAAGCGGGCACACAAGGTCTGCAGTCTCGTTCATCTGTCCAACCCGATACACATACATATCCCGCGTCTCATCTCTTGATAGCTTCTGGACTACGATTCTGCGAGAAACAAGATGAACAAACTCATCGCGAAGCCGAGCGATGACCCAGCAAAGCTTCCACGAGTGCGCCCAGCTCCCCTTGGTGCCCTATGATGAGCGTCCCTGACCAGGCGTGCTATTTGTCCATCTGCATCTAGGCACAACAAGAACACGATGACGCGAAGGAGGTTTTCGACGTGCTCAACGAGCAGCTCATCACGGAGCTCCCGCAGCTTCTGGATCTCCGAATCCCCTACTTCGACCCCAGCTTCGAGGCTATGATCAGGATGCAGTGCAAGTTCGCCGAGGAGGGCTACGAGAAACTGGGTGGCGTGCAAAGGTCTGTCGTTGCCGCGCCTGTGTATGGCGCAGTAGGTTGTACCGGTGTTAACATGATTAGCAGATATTTCACGGACAGCGTGCGAGACGATTACGCAGCGGGGCAGCTGGACGCGCAGGTACGTGCCCCTCATCTGTCCGCCCGCGATTGGGATCTTGACTAACAGCGATCTCGTCAGGTCGAGAACGTCCTGCAAGAGATGCGCGAGCTCACCATCTGCGGCGCCAGCTGAGCGCATTGTGTGGAGAATGTAGCATACATCGTGTACCACAATGTCTTACTAGGCCATCTCACCTTCCCTTTGTCCGGCTGTCACTGCTTCGCCTCCGCCGTCAATTCTTAGACGTCGATTGCATCATCATCGGAACCTCGTCATTCATGTGCTTTTGGATGCCGCTTTGACTGCTCATTACGAACGCTAAGACAAGACAACGAGATGATTGTACAACAGACCTGACGATAACATAGCCGACCCGAACCCGAAAAAACAAAATATTTGAGTGCAGTCTCAATCACAGCGCAGACCATCATGGCTCTCAACAGACCGGCCATGGGGCCTTTCGAGAACGACAGACGCGAAGCGCAGCGGAGGCGCTCTCCACGAACAATGAAAATATGAAATTACCTTGTGTCGTCCATGCGTATCCTGTCCGCAAGCGTGCGGCCCTGCGCAGGCTCGAGACGCTGCCCCAGTGGTCTGGCCCTCTGCTGTCCCCCTCGCCCTCGTCCTCGACCAGCGCCCCTGCCCCTCGCCTCGCCTCTGAGAGCAGTGTCCTGCTGGTGCGGAGGCACTGTAGCGTCCGTTAAGCGGTTCAATAGCGGAAGGGCGACGTGCGTCGGGGGCGGGGGAAGCCTTGCTGGCGGGGACGCGCGTCGCTGAGCCTGTCTGCGAGGAGGGGACGCCCCTGCATTGGGGTTCGTGGGCCTGGGCCCGGACGCAAAGTTGCTCGGACCAGGAGCGGACTCGGTGGGCGAGAGCGCATTGTTGTGGCCATGAATTCGTTGCTGAAGGGATGGCCCCGTCTGAGAGAAGGATCGAGACTCAGTGTTGGGCTGACGTGCAGTGGTGGCCTCGCCCACTGGTGCGTACCCGTTCACAGGAATGTTGGTGGAGGTTGGCGATGTCCTTCGTGGAGGTGACCGGCGATCGTCCCGAGGCTGAGGCACATAGCTATCGTAACCGCGGAGAGGCGCTTGAGGTGGCTCTATGCGATCGCGCAGATCTTGGGATCGCGACTGTTGGTCTGCAGGATGACTTCTGGACGGAAAGGGCTGCTCCTGCGTGCCAGGGCGAGAAGAGAAATGCGGAGTCTGTTGACTCAGAGGGGTGGGATGTGCCTTTTGTCCGTGCTGAAGCGGTGTGGATGGAGGTGGCGTGAGCCTTCGACGGACGTTCGGTTGTTGTATGTACGACTCTTCGTCTCGGGTTCGCTTATGACGGACATGGTCTTCGCTTGACCAGACGACTCCATGATTGTCCTGCAATTGACGCGCGCTGTGAGAAGCACGAGGCACAGGCGAACGCAAAGGTGGGCTGGGAACGGGAGATTGCACACGTTGAACGGGAACGGAGTCGGGTCGATAGTCAGTTGTTGGGATTGGCTGAGGTATGCGAGGCTGCGGATCGGAAACTGGAGCTTGCTGGATGCGATCGACACGAAACCCTTCGCCTTGTGCGGAAGGCGCAAGCTCTCGAGGCGGGGTGACTGGTCCTCGGCGTTGCCCGACGATTGGCTCTTGAGCAGGCTGGACCGTAATCTGCTGCTGAGCAGGCTCGGGCTTTATGGAAGACTGCGGCAAAGACGTTGGCACGAGAGGAACTGTGGCAGGTTCGCGCAAGGATTGAGTCGGCCCGCGAGACGACGTTCTCGAAGGATAGGCCAGCTCTGGGGATACGGCAGGAGACTCTGCTTCGGCCTTCGCTGATTTGGGTGATACCGAGGCGGATAACGTAATTGGGACTGTAGTGAGCTGAGAGCGAGATAAGTGCTGGAGCAGAGGAACGTAGTCGAGGGATTGTTCTCGTCGATATGCTGGAGCTACAACACGGGACTGTGATGCAGATGGAAGAGTGTCGGGCACTTCGTCGACAGGCTCGGTCTTGGGCTTGACCTCCTCTTCATCTGCTGCTTGGACAGCGAGCAACGGCCCACTCTGGTCGAGAGTACGGAGGAGAGGCGATTCCTCGGCAAGATGCAGTAGCTTGCCCCGAGACCTCTTCGATACCGCACCATCGCCGCTGGTAGTCGATCGTACGCTGGAATCTGGGCGGGGGTACGGGGGACGAGTCTCCGGAGAGGTGGAGGTCGGCGATATCGACGAACGGGTGGGCAAGGAGGCTGCTGTCGTATTCTCAGGGTGAACAACGCCATAATGGTGAGAAGCAGAAGCGTGGTATGCTCCGTTGTCGGGTGCTCAATGTTCGCTATCTCAGGTCCGACAATGGCACCCGAGGAGGATGGAGCTTCGCCAGATCCGTGGTCTCCTGGTCGCATCTCCGCATCGTCCGCTTGCATCCGCTGGGCGAATTCGGTCTGGATTTGTGCCTCCAATTTGCGCCTATCTTCGACTAGGTCGGCGGCTCGGCGCTGCTGGTCTTCCTCTGCGGCGCGTGCCTGCTCTTCTAGTTGCTCCTGGAGCTTCTTCCTCTCAACAGCGGCTTCCTGCTTCTGCGCAGCCAGCTGCTTGTGAAGCCTGTCTACTTGTTCCTGGAGCTTCTTCTTGACTACTGCGCCGCGCGTTCCGGCCTCGATCAGCTGCAGATGCTCGCGCTCCAGGGCCTCCATACGAGCGGAGGCCTCGGCAGCCTTCGCGTCGCGCTCGCTTTCGCGAACCCGAGTCTCTTCGATGGCGCTGTTCATCGTCTTCAAAGCCTCGCCGATTCGAGCTTCTAATGCGCGTTTCATCTCATCGGCCTGCTGGTGCGCGAGCACCACTTCTCCTTGAAGTTCGGCTTTCTCGCCTTCGAGACGGGTGATGGTGTCAAGAGCGTTTTGGAGCTGTTCTTGTAGTCGTGTAACCTCCGACTCGAGTCCGATGGCGCGCTGCTCAGCGCGAGCGATGCGCCGCTGGGCTTGCGCTAGGAAGGGGCCGCGACTGACGGGGAGATTATCGACGAGGGCGCACATGCGCGCGAATTTGTCGTGTTGCTTGGCCGCGAGTCGAAGCATCTCGACTTGGGTAGCGCCACATTCGTCTGCCTCCGCCTTCAGACGCTCGTACGCTAGCTGGAAGCTGTCAAGTATGTCCTCCTCGTCCTGGGGTATGGCGGTCTCCACGGACGCTGCTGGCATGGTGCCACTTATTTGTTGAGAACGCGAGAGGATGGTAGTGGGTAGCAAGGTGCGAGTCGAGGTCGAGGTTGCAGACAAAGTAGGTGGAAGCGCAAATGGCCCGGCGGAGGCGAGCGCAGGGCCAGAGGGAGAGGCGTGAGATGATTTGAAGATCGATGGATGAGCCTCCGAAGCTTTGCGTCGCTCCTGCGCGCCGCTCGCTTCGTTGTCATTCAAGGGGGAAGAGCGTGGAGGCGACCTCGACTGGGGCGCTGTAGTATCGCCGAGGGGGGCCGACAAATCAGTCCCGCTGGGCCTTGCTCCTGAAGGCTTGACCGATGAGACTTCCTGTTCGTCCACTGCAAGCGCGAGATTGAGCCAGGTAGAGTGGGTTGGCGGAATCTGTGTCGCCGCTACCTTCGGGGAAGACAAAGGGGATGACGCTGGGGACAACGCGAAATCCTGGCCGTCGTCCGGCTTGGAGGATAGGCGGCCCAGCAGAGCTGGCTGCTTGCCTATGATGTGGAATTGGAAGTCGGAGAGTGCGTTCGTGGACGCCCCGCTCATGGTCAAGTCGGGGGTTTGGATGAGGGATGGTGTTATCGCACAAGGACAGGGGCCAGTGAGTATCTGAAGACAGCCAAAAGTGAGGTGCGCTAGCTTCGACGTATCGGGTTGGCGTCGCGGGCGATAGGAGTAGGAGAAGAGGGAAGAGTCGGACTGAAACGAGGGCTGCTGAGAGAACTGAGAAGAGTTCGTGGGATACTGGCGGGTTCTTGCAGGGTTGTCACCTGATGGCGTAACGCAAATGTACGAACACTTGCTGGCGTCGCAGCCTTTCTTCTGTCTTGTACTCGTGTACCAGGGCTGTTAGGAGGTGATGAGGAACAAGGAAGGCGGCCCAGCCTGAGGCCTGACTGTCATGGACTGGGCCCCCGGGTAGCTCCGAGTAGCTGAGACAGTACTACTTACGTTACTTGAATCCTCGACCTTCCTCGCCATGCATTGATTAGGGGACCGTCATGCCCTTCGCCCATGCAGAGAGATGCAAAGATCATGAGTATTGGACGACCATGTTGGGAACGTGATCGCCGCGAGGTTGATCACAGGGCTCGGCGTTCATATGGATGTGTTGATCACCTCACATGTACTTACCTTAAAGCCTCCACATCTTCGGTAGTCGGAAGCCTCTCTGATAGCCACAGCACGTACATGCAGGGTCCGGTACCAGCAAAGTAAATAGCGTCTCTAGGTCATCATTGTCCAATCAATCCACGAACTATACTACTACTACATATATACTCGGCGCCACGGCGGTTTGTCTGGCATAGATCAGGCAGAGGCTGTATGTCGTATACGGAGGGACACATCACATAGGCTTTGTGCGTAAGATTCGCATGGTACTCAATAGATATCCGTGTAGAGAAGCCAGAACTATGGGAGAAGCCGACAAACAGCATGCAAGGATGTGGCCCCTTATGCGAGTTCACAGCTATACGCAGGCAGATCAGGGAGATTCTTAATCGACCGCGATGTGGCGACTAGTATTAGGCGTTCGAAGTCCTGATCACAAGTGTAAATCTGCTTGCTGTGCGTGTATAGAGGGAGGAAATGAGACGCACTCGGGAACCCAGGACGCTGGCGACAGGGGCTGTTGGCTGAACCGAATTCCGATTCGAGCTTGAAGACTGCCTCTTGAAACGTGCTGCACGTATCCCAAGAACAGGTCTGCCAGAGACACTTTCCGACCATACCAGCCTACCGGGCGCTGATATTCAGTCCTCGCCTTGTCCTGGCACAATGTGGCAAGAGCGTAGGAACTTGAATGATCGCTCGATGAAGAGATTGAACTTACGAGGAACTTTCGCATCTCCTGGGCAATGATGCGCGCCATCTTGCCTCTGGTCGGTGGGACTCTATGGGCAGGAAGAACAGTCACCCGGCGATTGTACAAGGGGTACCCGGGAAACTGTCGGGATATGACACGACGATGAGCCGCGACGCCTATGGGAACTGTTCATACTCACGCAGAAGACCACAGCCAGCTTGGCCGGTAAGTTGATGCTGGCTTCCCACGCAAGTTGTTCGGCCCCAAGTAGCGTGTCATAAGTTCGTCGATGGCACTCTGCAGGTTCAAGCAGCCGAACTGCATGATCGGCAGCGCTTGCGGCTGATGCATTGAGAGACCACCTCGGTACAGAAACTGAGGCAGAGGCGTGCTCGTGAGTCTCGGCGCTCGTGAGCGAATGGACAAGAAACACATACCACGATATCGCCATGTAAGCGACTACTTTGGGGCACACTGGGCCATACAGCAAGATGTTGACGCACTGAAGGATGCGCCTGGCGATTGTTGATCAACGGCTCTGGATTTATGTTGAAGTATGGAAATACCTACCTCTTGTTGCTCGGCGATAATATGACTGCTCGGTACCCCATCCTCCTAGAAAGGATATCAAGGAGTTCAAGTCAATCTTCTCCGCGCAGGGGTCGATGTACGGAAGAGAAAGCGTACAACGCCCCTCTCACGTCGCCCATTGTAGGTTGCTGTTGCCTTCGGAGAAACCAATGGGGTACAAGGTGTTCTGGGACGATGGGATCATAGGGAGCGGAACCCTCCGTATGTGGTGATAGGACGCGGAGGTTGAGATCAATAAGAGGAGGGAGGTCTGAGGAACCGGGAGCTGACGCAGCTTCTTATGTAGCAGAAACCACTTCGAAGAGGTTGGGATACCACTAAGAGGGCACTATCTCGGAACGAAGTCTTACCCTATGAGCATGCCAGAATTTGGGGATGGTCTGTGACGGAATCCTGTTATTGACAAGGTCGCATGTAGAGGCATCAAGATAACCATGCCATAAAACGCTCGCTGAGCAATGGCCAAGCTTCAGCGCCTTCAGTGTTCTGGCATGATCTCACAAGGTGAGGCGTCCAGGAGCCTAGCCATTGGGCAAGCGATGTCCCCCTACCTTGGTTTGGATATCGCCCATGCCACCCGCTGAACGGCTCGAGACGAGTCGGACGCTGAACGGCTGAAGGTACGACTCGGGAGAAGCGATACTTATATATGGTCAGTCCTTGCTTTCCACCCGAAAGGTGGCGAGTGCCACTGCAAAGGGATGTGCCTGTCCAGGTGCTGTTCTCAAGCGATCTGGAGATCTACACTGTTGTCATAGTGTAACATCTGTATGCAGGTAGAAGCTGTTCAACTGCCCTAGTAAGCTCCCGTACAATGCCATTCACTCGCCGCACTTCGGGGTTCTGCAATCATGCATAGCATTGCCTTATTCTGAGCGATCTGCGGGTGCAATGGAGTACTGCGTCGATAACAGAAGTTGCAACATGCAGTGGACTCACCAAAAGCACTTTCCTTGGCATATACACTTGCAATGGCCATATCCGCATGGGACGTTCTCGATTGAACAGTGGTCTACACGGCTATGCAAGGCAAAACCATCTCCCAAGCCACATTATGCCGTTGACCAGGGTTTTGACATGCGACCCTGAAAGGACTCAGAGGCCAGTGGCAGAGAAATGAGGACATAGCCTTTGCAACCGTGTCTTTAGAGTCAGATGGCATCTTCTATCGCAAGAGCATCTCAAAAGTAACGGTACCTGTGCTATAATATGGCACCCCCACGGATGCATTTCATTTCCGCCCGCCACTGGTGTGCACTGTGCAGTGTACTCGGTGTATCCGAGGAGAACTCCTAGGGCTCAAAGGGGAGGCGGCTCGAAAGTTGCTGTAAAGATATCAAGTAATAGGTGGCAAAGACCATTTTGTGCGTGGGCTACGCACCTGTCCTCAATAATCGTACTCCGAGAAAGCATATAGTATTCGCGGAATGCGGACTGTGAATCATCAACATTATATGAGGGTGATTGAGCCCATCTCGGGGCTCAGTTAGGTGGAACTCAAAGTCATATCAATACTCCGTATGCACGAGTCAGCAGTTTGCTTCAATAGAAGGCCAGCATCAGCGATACTCTCCGCGTGTTCAGCATTAAGCTGTGGTCAAGTCGAACTTGGTGTGCCGCGTGGCGAGAGTAGCGCCACATCTGTATCCCACGACGACGGGGACAACGAACACTGCCACCAGCGTTTGTCGGAACATTTAACCGCTGGCGTGAACTGCGAGTCGGTACTACACGTTCCTCTATGCAATGTCAAGTACGCCCGCGCTGGGGCAATGATTAATGCTCGATAATGGGTACGAGATGATATCGCACGCAGTTGTTTCTCGCTCAAGGTGTAAAGTCAGTGCGAACACAGCCGAAAGTCTACAGAAAGTCGACCGTGCCCAAGTGTTCATTCCTCTCACAAGGGCGAACGTAACTCCAACCCTGACACGCGGCAGTATGTGTGTCCTGGGACAGAGAACCCTCCACCTTCGCCACACATGAACGATTCGCCCATTCCCGCCGGGACAGCGGCCTCAAGCGTGGGGCCATGAAGCTAAGGCTTACTCCAGCGTTCGTCCGTAGAGGTACAATATTAGAGTCTTTGCGCTAGCGGTTCTGAGCGGCGCCTCGCCCGCTCCTCAACAATGATAAGCCCGGTTCGCCGGTTCTGAAACCGCTTGCGAAAGGAGTCTATTGCCCGAGTAGAACGCGTCTTCCACTGGAGCAGTGACTATCCTGAGAAAGGGTGTCATCAAATGATCATCCTGCACACTCATAAGCTACGTACTATCGCGAAGAACCGGGCGCTTCGAATAGCCACCTGTGCGGTCCTCGCATCAGCTGCGTTCGCGGGACTGCCACCATCTTTCCGTCCTGGATTTTCCAGCCGTGCCAGCGAAGCTCGATGCGCTCTAACGACGATAGCTCACTATCCGTCAGCAACCGCTCTGCGAGCTGTCTTGTCATCATTTCTCTGCGCGAGTCTCCCGTCAGCCTGTCGCTTGCCGTGACAGCAATGGGCGGATCCGGGCGGGTGACAATGCTCAGCCTTCGCAGATTCTGCAGGCACTGCAGGCGTTGTCCCACCTCAGTAATCAAACCCTAGAAGGCAAAGAAGACGCTGGGATCAGCAAGCTGCTTGTTACGCGCTGAATGAGGGAACAACCGATGGCACAGCCAGAGCGGCGAACGATAGCTCCGTTTCCAGAGGCAAACCCAACACAAATGCAGAAGCAGGCGCACCTCGAACTCCTCCCACGATACTTGTTTCGGACGATCCATGTCGAACTGGAGCGCGAGCGCGCAGAGGGGCCCTCCTGCGAGAGCGGATGCGAGGATGCCTACGCGTGCGACAGCAGCCGCCGTGCTGTCAACGGATAGTGCGAGCTCGAGCAACTTCGCCTTTTGCGTGAAACCTGAGCCCAGGAGGCGGCGGAGGAGCGCGTCGTCCATGGGCTCGTGCACGCGTAGGGCCTCAACGTATTGTCGCGTCTGGACGAGGGAGACGCTGAAGGGGGCGGAGGACGCGTTGAGCGCGACAAGGTTCGGGAGAAAGGTGGGGGAGGAGAAGATCTCCTGGGGGAAATGCAAACCGCCCTGGAGGATGTGGAGGGCATGCATATTGAGCGACCGGAGGTGGGTTGTGCGGCCAAGGATATCGAGAAGGAGTTCTTGGATGTCGAGAGGCGCGAAGCCGGAGAGGGTGAGATGGCGGATAAGGTGGGCGCTGGAGAGCGGAGAGGATACGAGGCGTTTCATGAAGCAGACGGCGACGTCGCAAGAGTTGACAGTGACCGAGGGCCCTATACAGAGGTCGATGGTGTGATGGAGGTTGCGCGCACCGTACATGTACCATCGCTGACTGACGAGCATAGCGGAGGAGAGCGCGGCCTCGGCGTGCAGGAAGTCAAAGATGTACGAGATAAGCTCTTCTGGGAGGCAATCCATGACGAAGCCCTGAGTGTCGTCAGGAGGAATGGGTAAGGGGCGACGATCCCCTCCGGAATTGAAGAATGATTTTATGGCAACGTCCACAGGGAATATTGGGCGCCCTAGCTTTCAAGACAAGCTATTGGTGAGGTAACAGTGTACCTGACATGGTGGTAGCCGACCGCGCTTGTGCAAGTACATACCCTAAGGTTTGGTGAGGCTGTATCGGGTTGTTGCCTAGCGGAGCGGAGAGTCAACCTGCGCCGAGGTCGCGGGGGAAACAAGAACGCTCCGGTAGATGAGTGAGGCGATGTCCGAATGGTATAAGGCTCGTTGTGAGACTTGGTAGGGAAGGAGAGTGTCATTTGATTGAGTCCGGTCAGCCCAGGGGTACAAATATGGAAGCATCAAGTCAAGAGACGCACTATTCCTTAGTGCGCAACCCTGGAAGAAAGGCGCGGGAGGCGGCAGGTGTCAGAGAGTCGCTCGGCTGTGGGCAATCCAATGGGTGTCGGAGGGCGTAGTGGTCTCAGACTCTCAGCCCCGCCTTCCAAGCCCAGAGGGGTCGATGTCACTGCTAGGCGCTGCGGCCACTTTAGTGCAAGCGCCCGATCGGGCAACACAGACGCCCATTGACGGCCCGACTTAGCTCAAGGACAACTCCGCTCTCATTGCGCACACCAACGAGCACACCCTGCCAGCACTAGTCTCCTCTTTCTCGTTAATCCTCGCTCTCGGAAAGGAGACGCTAGGAACGCTCTTTAGGACTCTTCCTCTATACCCTCGGACATGGCTCGTGTGCCGCGCGGGCTCTGCATCCTCGGTGCTGCGGCCCTCTCGTTACTCTCGACTACCCACGCATTCTACCTGCCAGGAGCCGCCCCTCATGACTATCATGAGGGAGAGAAGGTGGAGCTTTTTGTGAACGCACTGACGCCCATGATAGCAGGGTATGACAATGCAAAGCTCGTACGTGATCACATTCTCCGCAGACCACCCAGTGCTCACGGGACTGTCGCGGTGCAGAAATCCCTCATAAATTGCACGTGAAACGTTCCTTCAAAATTGCATGTTTGTCTGACACCTTGGCCTAGACGACTACTACAACCCTGCATTCCACTTCTGCCAGCCCGAAGGGGGCCCCAAGAAGGAGCCTGAGGGGCTCGGGTCCATTCTCTTCGGAGACCGTATATTCAACTCCCCGTATGACGTACGTTCCTTTCCTCCACACCACATGCACTACCAACCCGAGCGTTAGATCCACATGGTGCAAAATAGCACAACATGCCAGGTTCTCTGTACACAGACCATCCCTCCCGAAGATGCCAAGTTCATAAACGACCGCATACGAGAAGACTATGCCATCAATTGGCTCATTGATGGGCTTCCTGCGGCGGAGATGAAGGAAGACAAGAAGACTGGGGAGCTATTCTTCGAACAGGGTTTCAACCTCGGGTATGACGAGGGCGAGTTCTCAGAGATGCCCGCGATACACAACCATTACGACATTGTTCTAAGGTCAGTCTACAGACCTCATATGCCGCGCGCCATAGTAAGTAGGCATGTTCTCGGAATATGCACAGGTATCACACTCCGACCGCCGGAGTGTATCGCATTGTTGGCGTCCTTGTGTGGCCAGTGAGGTATGCCTGAAATGAAGTGGTGAGAGGTCTGTCGGCGGAGACTGACTCAACGCCGCATTAGCCGGGGCGGTTCCCAGGAGGTACCCCCAGACGGCATCGTCGACTGCGCACCCGCAGATTCGCAGCCCCTAATCCTGAGCGAGGTTCAAAACACCACAATCACCTACACCTACCGAGTCATGTGGAATGTGCGCACATACTCAGGAATGGTTTTGTCTGTATAGTGACATCTGGACTGCAGGAGTCTGACACGCCTTGGGCCACTCGATGGGACAACTACCTGCATATATTCGATCCCGTAAGTGTCTTCTGTTCATAGTTGCCTTTTTCGTCGAATAACAGAACCTTGTATGCAGCGCATTCACTGGTTCAGCTTGATAAACTCGATCATCGTAGTCGTGTTGCTATGCCTCATGGTGTCAATGATACTCCTCCGCACTGTGTCCCGCGACGTAAGCATGTTGGGCTTCCGGGGTCTGCTGCGCGACTCACCGCATCATAGATCTCTCGGTACAACGCGATAGATCTGAGCGTGGGCTTGTTCTTTCGTGTCTAACGGCTACAATTGCTCAATGTGTGTTCAGGAAGACGTGCAAGAAGACTGGGGCTGGAAGCTGGTACATGGGGAGGTCTTCCGGGCGCCGCGAAACCCCATGGTGCTCTCCATTCTCGTGGGGAACGGGGCGCAGCTCTGCGCTATGGTCGGCGTCACGCTCGGCATGTTTTCATATCTTGAATGATCATTCAAGCGTTCATGCTGACTCGATGCACCTAGTATTTGCCTTGCTCGGTTTCCTGTCACCTTCTAATCGAGGATCGCTGGCGACTGTTATGATCGTCTGCTGGACATTCTTCGGAGTGTAAGGAAGTGGTCCTTTTAGACCCGGACACGGGCTCACACCGCTGGGCTTCTCAGAATTGCCGGGTACATATCAAGCAGGGTGTATACCTCTCTTGGCGGAACGAACAAGCGACGGAACTCGTTTTTCACTGCCACGATCATGCCAACGTGAGCCGCGTTCCTGTTTATCCGGTATTCTTGTGAACGATCGTCTTGCGCCACAGGTTCGTGTTCGCGATGGTTTTCCTATTGAACCTTTTCCTTATCGCTGCGGGCTCTTCGGGAGCGGTGCCTTTCGGTGAGCCCCCTTCTGCCACTGACATTGAGCCCTAATTGGCAGCTAACCATTCCTTTCGGGCGCAATAACCTTTTCGATAGGCACTCTGCTTCTGATAATCGTCCTTTGGTTCGGTGTCTCGGCACCGCTCTCCGCGGTGGGCTCTTACTTTGGTTCAAAGCATGGCGTGAGTCCCTGAGCGTTATCCCCTGAGCGTCGTCCCTTTGACAGTCGAGTCGTGGGGCGTCCTTGGCTGAACAACGGTTTTGCGTCTTCCTAGGCGATACAACATCCCGTGCGTGTCAACCAAATCCCGCGTCAGATTCCGCCACAGCCGAAATACCTTCGTCCATGGGTACGTTCCGCTGTAGAAACTACTATTGTAGTTCTGCGGGCTACGAAAATACATCGCAACATATTGATACGTTGACCGTAGGCCGCTACTATTCTTGCGGGCATTTTGCCCTTTGGTGCGTGTTGCCAGTGACGCCAGCAATAATCGTTGAACTTTCGTAGACTGACGGCAATCCAGGCGCGGCGTTCATTGAGCTCTACTTCGTACTCTCCAGTCTATTTGCGTCGCGCGCGTACTACGCGTTCGGCTTCCTCGCCCTAACCGCTGCAGTCGTAGCGCTCACCACTGCCACGGTCACTATCTTATTCACCTATTTTATCCTCTGTGCGGAAGACTACAGGTATGTCCTGTTCTGACGTCGCTCGGCGCCCCGCTTTCCCCTTCCATACGTATCTGCCCTTGATCCGTGCCCGGTGGGTCTGCGGCCTGCGGCAAGGGGCGAGGCTTGGGGGCTGTCCGTGGCGAAGTTGTAGACCGACGCTGACATGCTTCGCGATCTCATAGGTGGCACTGGCGCGCGTTTCTCACCGGGGGAGGGAGCGCTTTCTGGCTCCTTGGCTACGGTGTCGTGTACTGGGCCCTGCGGCTGTCGCTAGACTCGTTCACGAGCGCAGTGCTGTACTTTGGGTACCTGCTGCTCCTGTGCGTGTTCGACTTCCTCATCACTGGTGCGTAGACCCCTTTTCGTTAACCATCAGCCACTGCTCGGCTGCTCGACGGCCGGCACGAAACCACATCAGATCGGACGGTTGCTGGAAGGCAAACCTTTAGCGGCGCTGACCACTCTTGGCGCCACGATCGTGCCTGTCATCCTTCAATTCTCGTTATCGTAGTTGATTGTGGACTCATGTGTGTCTATCTTTGCTGACAGGTACCATTGGCTTCCTCGCGACGTATTGGGCGGTCCGGAGGCTGTATAGCGCTATCCGTGTCGACTGAGCCTGGAAGCAAGGCGAGACTGCGATTTGGGATTCAGACAATGAAGGCAGGTCGAGCGCATCCTGCGTGTCGTCGTGGTTGCGTTGCTACGTCGTCCGATCGCGGTGTCCGAGCACGCAGTTTTCCTGTCTCGACTGCATGACAGATATGAACTCCTCCGCGCTAGAGAACCTCGTTGGGCTGCTGCAGGGCAGCGGTCGGTCCCTAGATATCAGCTACCAATATTACGGACAACTACTATGTAGACAGCTCTGGACTATCAAAAGTATTTCGATACCGTCCTTCCTAGTTGAGCAATCATGCCGGCACGTTCTGTATTGCAAAACCTGCAAACCCCTGACAGATCGCATAATAAGCAGCTGATACGGCTGGAGCATGCGTGGCGCCAACAGTGAAAGCCCGAAAGGAGCTGTAGTCGGCAGTACACGGGCGTGGACGGCTGAACTACCGCAGCCCACTACTTCAAGGCGACAACCGCAACCTTCTGGCTGCCAGCGCGTAGGAAGGCGAGCCGCTCGTCGATGAAATCGGCGGGGGTCAGTTTCTGCTGGACGTCTGCAACCGGGGTGTTGTTGAGGTAAAGGCCCTTCGACGCCACGAGCTGGCGCGCGGCGTCTGCCCATTCCGAATCGAGGGCAAAGTAAACATGGGCAAGTTGTCGTGCCAGATTAGCACATATCAAGGGGGAATGTCGAATCGGCAGACGCACTATTAGAGGACGCTACAGAGAGCGTCGTGGCTAGTTTGGTGAGCGGTACGTCGAGCACTTCTGACGCGTCACAGACATGGAGGACCGGGTTGCCGCGCAGCGCCGCGAGGACGTTGTCGGTCTTCGCGGTGGAAATATCACGCTCGTATATGATCTTGGTCGCGAGCCGTGCGCGCGCCACGCCATCCTCTGTACCACATGGTACCACGTCAGCGGTCGCGTGCATATGGACGGACGGCACGGGGCACAGGCGAATTGTTGGGAGAGGATGGTCAAAAACAACGACATACCGCCATGCACGAGCTCTGTAACCTCCTCCGCGAGGAGACGCTGTGCGCTACGCGCTTCCGGATTTTGCTGTGAAAGGTTGTTCCGTGAGCGACTTGACTAGACGGATGGACGGATGACCGCATGCTTGCATGCTCCTTGGCGAGCAGACGGGACAGTGAGATGGAGTCGTACGTACGTTGTGCGTCTCCATGACGGTGTCGACACGCTCCAGCGATAGGAGGGTGAACATTTTCAAGTATCGTCCAACATCCGCGTCTGACGACCTCAGGAAAAACTGTCGGAGTTCGGCTCATGAGCATCTAACGCCCATGAAGGTGGATAGAACAGCGTCCGTGCGCTTCAAAACGCTCACTTGATATAATTCAAACACGCTCGTGTCATCTTCGTTGAGCGAGATGGCGTTGCCGGCGCTCTTTCCAAACTTCTGGCCCGACGCCGTCGTGAGCAACGGCGTGGTTATGCCGAAGCCCTTTTCGACAAGTGCGCCGGATTCCTGGGAGTTGGCACGGTTTATGAGATCGATTCCGGCTATGATGTTTCCCCACTGGTCGGAGCCGCCGACCTGAATGGTGCAGCCAAAGGTCTTGTGCAGGGTCAAGAAGTCATAGGCTTGGAGGAGTTGATATGTGAATTCGGTGAAGGATATTCCTTGTTGGGATGACAAACGCGCTTGCACGCTGGACGGACCGTTCAGACATGTGGTAAACTCGGAATGCGTGACTAACCTCTCGCGCGTGAGCATGGTGTTCACTCTGCTATGGAATCCGACGGTACGAAGGAATTCCAGAAGGCTGAGATCCTTCAGCCAATTGAAATTGTTTTGAACGTTGGGCGGGAGTACTCGCAGGGAGGAGGGTATACGCTTCTCTGCATACTTTTGTGCTCTCTCAAAGAATTGTTTGATCCCTGCAGTGAGTTGAGCGACATTGTACTCGATGGTCTCGCGCGCAGTTAGCGGCCGCTCTGTCGAACGTCCAGAAGGGTCACCAATAAGCCCTGTTGCTCCACCTATCTGGGCTTCATTCTCCATACAGTCCTCATAAAAAGAGCTGGTAAACGTACCAGCGGTATGATTTGGTGTCCACGGAGCTGAAAATGGAATAGCGACAGTAGTGGCACGAGGTGTCCGACGTGAAGGGAGCGCGCGGTTGGGTCTACTCCAAGGTAGACGGTCTGCGGCTGCTTCTGTAGCTCAATTTCTAGTTGGTCGGGTCTATGAGAGTCAGGGAAGCATAGTGTCCATCATGACTATTAACACACCTAGTGATGTCTGCCACAAGCCCGCGAGTCCTCATGTCCTCCAGCACTCCGGATTGTAGGTGCAAACTTCGACATTGTCGGCGTAGCGACAGCCAGCTAGCGGCCGTCACGGGTTTGAGTGTATATAGGTTGTTGCGAGCGAGGTGCATGGTTGCAATGGCCAAAGACGCGTCCAGAGGTCGACACGGAGGGCGGCGACACGCCGCGCTCAGAATTTCCGTGTTAGGCAAAGCGAGAAGCCATTGCCGCCAACGCACTAACGCCGTCACGCTTTTTCGCTGTTTAGTCCACTTCCCACCAGCGCCACGCTCGCGCCGCCAACTCCCTGTCCTTGAAGGTTCCAGCGAACACGGTCCCTTCTATTTGCGAAGTATTACGATACTATTCTGAGGGAGGAACGACATCTGCGATCCCCACTTACAGCCGCCGAACTGAGGCCAATCGCGATGCAGTTCGAAGTGCTAGCCAAGTGCCACACAACTCGCGCGAGAGTCTCCAGAATGCGTCTCGCACGTGAGCGCAGCTAGTTCTCATTTCTGTGATGCGGCCTCTGATGCAGAATAAGCCAGATGGTGTCACGATGTTGCCGACGTTCATGCCTGTAGCAACACAAGCGGCGATCAAAGGGCTCACTCCTCAGCAAGTTGAAGCCCTAGGAGTGAACCTGATCCTGAACAATACATATCATCTGAATTTACGTCCAGGGATCGAAGTGCTCAAAGAAGCCGGTGGCGCGCACAAATTCCAGGGATGGAATCATAACCTTCTCACGGTGATTTATCCCCTGTGTTTTGTATGAGAAAGCACTGAGGGAAGTTACAGGACAGTGGAGGCTTCCAACTGGTCTCCTTAAGCAAGTTTACCAAGATCATGGAGGAGGGAGCCTTATTCGCCAGTCCCTTTGACGGTGAACCTACCATGTTAACCGTATGAGGTGTCACTCGATTTGTGTCTCCGCGACGCTGACTTCTGGCACAGCCAGAGGAAAGTATCTCGATACAGCACGCTATCGGTGCCGATATCATCATGCAGTTGGATGACGTAGGTCTGTGGCCTTTGCTTTGGATAAGGTCATCAGCTCAAACGCGGCTACAGTCTCGAGTTTAACCGTCGGACCTCGCGTAGAGGAAGCCATGTGGAGAACGGTTCGCTGGCTAGACCGATGTATAAACTTCCACCAAAAATCAGGAAGAGATGACGTGCAAAATCTCTTCGCAATTGTTCAAGGCGGCCTGGAGCCCGATCTTCGAGACAAATGTTTAGATGAAATGATTACTCGCAAGGATAGGGTTGCTGGCTACGCTATCGGTGGTCTGAGTGGCGGAGAAGAGAAAGGTATTCCTGGCTAGTGCATTTTCTGCAACGTACTGATGCACGGTATCGCAGATATCTTCTGGAGAGTGTATGCCCGACTTTCTTTCTCCTGTGTCTTCTACTCATCTGACAGGTTGCAGGATCAAGCAATGTGCTGATAGCTTGCCAGAAGATCGTAGGTGATTTACCACTGTCCGCAACACGCATGGCTAACAAGTAGCCATAGGGCCACGCTATTCAATGGGTATCGGTTTCGCAGAAGGTGATACCGAGTGTTGCATTTCCCTGGATGACGCTCGAACTGATCTTCCATCACGAGATCTTCTCGTCTGCGTCGCACTTGGGGTGGACATGGTACGAGTGGTCAGAGGCGTTCGATTTCTGCACTGACGATCCTCCAGGCAGACTGCGTCTTTCCCACTCGGACCGCACGTTTTGGGGTGGCGCTGACGCGTAATGGCCCATTGAACCTGAGTCAGCGCATAATCCATCAATCCTTGCAGCATGGCTTACGAATTATACAGGGTTGGGCAAACATGCAACGGACATGCGACCGATCGAGGAAGGCTGCCCCTGCCCAACCTGTTCAAGCGGTACGACAAGAGCGCTGCTTAACCATACTGCGACTCTAGAGACGGCCGCTGCCCACGGTGAGCGTTCCGTACGACAAGAACTTGTGCAATATAGACAGCTAACTCGCATGATCAGCTATTACGCAGCATAACCTTGTTTTCCAGGCGCGAGTCATGGGTGGTGCGCGGGAGGCGATCATGAGCGGAACATTCCCGCAGTATCTGAAGGACTTCTTCTCAAACTATTTTGGTGATGCCGGCTACCCGGAATGGTGCGTCAACGCACTGAAGAGCGTCGGGGTGGACCTCCTTGAGGGCCGGCCGGATACCAAAGTCATTCCCGGCGATGGAGCGAAATGGGAGTACTCCGATGCGGCATGATAAGCAGGAAAGGCGCCTCAGCTATAGACAGGTACCGAACACTTAATGGGAGCAGTACGTAGTATGCCTACAGCTACTGCTACCGCTTGCCCTTCTTCCGAGGTGCTCGTGCGTTCTTGAGTTTCCTCTGCTCCGCGGTCTTGCGAGCTTTCCGGATCTGGTCCACGGTCTTGAGCTCGTTCTTGACCTTACCAACAGGTTTTCCACCGAACCTGCTCCCCTTCTTGGGCTGACCCTTGTCCTTTTCGAGTGAAGGTCGCGAAGACGACCCGCGAGCCGGGTTTTGATCTCCGCCGTTATGCTGTTGTCCGTCCTTGAGCTGTCGCGCCTTTCGCTCATAGTCGCCACGCAGCTTGTCGAGCGGCTTCGCTGCGACGACCTGTTTATGGCGATATTTTCTCCCACCCGGTCCATGCCCGCCTCCACCGCGAGCGTTCTCCGGCTCAGCCTCACCCACCTTTGGCAGGCTCATGTGGGTCTTCGCCTTCCACTCGTCGAAACGCCCGCTGCGGTACGTCACGGGCAGCTTGACACCGCTCTCGGTCTTCACAAGCTTGACGTTGTCTGCGCCCTCGCCAGTGCCCCTTACGAAACGCTTTTTCTTCTTATCCCATTTATTTTCGCGACGCTGACGCTCCTGTGCGGAGGTCTCGTCGCCGGTGAGGTCGAACGCGACGTTCCGCGCTTGCTCGGCGAAGGAGGCGCCGTCGCGGAGTGAGTAGCTGGGCATGGAGGCGTAAGACGCGATGTATGATCGATAACAAAAGGTGGAAACCATCAAGTCGCCCAGAGGGAAGGACGAGGGCAGATGTTGGTATCAAGACGCACCCTTTCTCTGTATCGGCGTCTTTCTGGTAATGAGACATGTAGAACTCCTCGTCGCGGAAGCTCCCTTTTCCAGCTCTCGCCTTCTTGTTTGACACATCAAACACGGCCTGTTAGGGGGAAAGGCAGGAGCGTGAGCGGCACGCGCAGAGAGGGGAGCGGGAGAGAATACTTACCGCAATGTCGGCCTCATCTGCCATTTCCAGCTCTTCTCCTTCGCTGTCATCCCGCTCGTGCACGGCATCCCTCCCTCCATCATCTGCTACTATGACAGCAGCGGAGGTGGACGCCAATGAGGCACGCTGTGCCGCCTTGCTCAGCGCTTTACGCCGCTGCTTCATCAGTGCTGCCGTCTCTGCGTTGCCGCGCGCTCCAATCTCGAGGATGGTCTCCGCCGGGCGGAACGAGTCAACGAGTTTCAGGAGCGCCCGTCGTTTTGCTTCCTCAGCGAGCTTCGCTGCGGTGTCAGGGCTTCTCCGCAGTAACACAGGGTGGATGCCCGATTCCGTGCCAATGTAGCCCCAGCGGCCGTCCTTGAGCATCTCCTTTGTATTGTGGTAGCTCGCCGGGCTCGCCTTGCCTTTGCTGCGCTCGTACATGCCCTGCCCTTTCCGCATGACATCTCGAAGGGTGCTGAGGTTGTGGTTCTCCTGATCCAGCTTCTGGATGTACGCCACCTCCTCGTCTAACTTGTCCCGCTCGAATGGTCCCAGGACCAGGGACTCCGTGTAGGCCTGGTCGCCAGCACCGCTGACTTCATTCTTGATCGGGCGGGAAAGGAATAGCTGCAGGTCCAGGAGGTACGGCAGCTCAGATGCCGTCACGAAGGACCACGCCCACCCCTGCCGCCCTGCGCGGGCGGTACGCCCGACGCGATGGACGAACACCCTCGCGCCCTGCGGGAAGTCGTAGTTGACTACGTTCTCCAAAACGGGAATATCGATACCGCGGGCGGCAACGTCCGTGACGACGAGGATGTTGGTACGGCCACGGCGGAAAGCGTCCATCTGCTGCGTTCTTGCGACCTGGTCCAGGGAGCCGTAGATGTGGGAGACGGCATAGCCGGCGGCTGCAAGGAGGTTGGTGAGATATTCAACGTGGTGTTTGGTGGCGGCGAAGATTAGAGTCTGGTGAGGGGCGGCGGCGTGTTCCGAGTGCTTCGCTTTCGCCTTCCCTTTGCCCTTCTTGTCGTTGGCTTCCTCCGATTCTGTGGAAGGGTTTCCGAAAGGGACGCCAATGACCTCCCTGAGAAGGACGAGGAGACATGCGTCCTTTTCGGCTTGCTTGACGGAGAAGAACGCCATCTTCAAATCAGCGCTTATTTTAGTCTCTGCGTCAAGGCGGACGAGTTTCGGGTTCTGCAAGCCGGCCTTCGCAAACTCGACAAGAGATTTGGGGAGGGTAGCGGAGAAAAGGAGGCTTTGTCGCGTTGCGGGTAGGCGGTGCAGGATCTCCGTGAGAGCAGTCTGGAAGCCCATCTCGAAGAGACGGTCAGCCTCGTCAAAGACGACGTATTGCACAGACTTCAGGTCGAGATTCATTTCGACAATAAGATGTAGGAGACGGCCAGGAGTAGCAATGATACTGGGGTCATCGCGTAAGTGATTATTATTTGTCACAAGTGAAAGTACATACACGTCCGGGTTATTTGAGATCATCTCAAATTGTTCGTCCAAGCTCTCACCACCGACGACCAGGCCCCATCGCAAGCTCTGACCCTTTTTCCCCTCGTCCACATCATGGGTATCTCCCGCATGATCGCCCTCTCCTGCGTGCCATCCCCGCGCGAGTTCTTTTCCGACCTTCAAAATTTGCAAAGCAAGCTCACGGGCAGGGAGGAGAATGAGAGCTCGAGCACCGAATGTCGCAGAGTGTCTTCCTCCAAGACGTTGTACGAGGGGAACCAGGTACGCGAGCGACTTTCCTGAACCAGTGCGAGCCATCCCGACGAGGTCGCGCGGTGGATTCGCGAGAAGGGCGGGTATGGAAAGGCGTTGGATGGGGGTAGGTATGCGGAACCCTTGTAGCGTCAGAGACCGCAGTAACCAAGGATGCAGGCCTGTGTGACACTGAGCAAGATATGCGGATAATATACGATGGATACATACCCATGCTCTGAAAGCTTCCCCCTCCCGTTTCACCCTTCGCAATCTTGGTTTTCTTCCCCTTAGTCTTCTTCAACAGCTCCGTCCCCTCTTTGACGTCGCGCCTTGCAATAGAATCGCGGATAAACTCTTGCAGATCTTCATCATCCTCGCCGTCAGACAACTTTGCTGTCGATAAGGTCTTTGATCGTTTCCCGGTCAGAGCGGAAGAGATGTCGATTTCGTCCTCAAATTCTAGAGCGACTTCGGAGTACCCAGCATCAGAGTCCGAATCGGCGGGTTCATTATGCTTTCGCTTGACGGATGCCATCGCAATGATAGGATGAGGTGAACAACAGAGTGCAGAGGAGGACACGGGCAACGTTGGTGCCGTCTAAGTAGGACGGTGCGCACACCCCGGCAACTTTGATTGAGAGACCCAAAAAATGGATTACATCAGCATACCCTCTGTCCATATACGGGAAATCCTGGTGTCCAACTGTAGCGCCCCAAGAGACCCCTCATAGGCCTCATTGACGACCACCACGGTACCGGTGAGTGTCGGGGTCTATAGTTCGACCGATAGATTCAGCTTGTACTCAACACAGTCATAGCAGGGCGGTCAGGGGACGAGTTGACCCACGCGAAGCGTATGTACCACTTCGCACAAGGTGCGTACTACGCTTTTTGCCTTACTTTAATTGTGCCTTGGCAAGCTGCGTTCGAGTCGCTTCCACTGTACGGCGCGGGCGGATAATTGCCGGCAAGCCATGCACAAGAGTCTCGCAGCTGGAATGCCACCGACCGATCATATATTACTCGCGGGAAGTGGAACTGCTCGAGAGAATCATTGGCAAAAATACATCTGTGACTCACGTCTATTCGTGGCTGTTCAGGAACATCCCTGATTTTCGTGTTTTCTTCTGTACGCTCACAACAGTGGTACTCAGATATTACATCGGACCTTGTTCACGGCTTCTTCCCTACACACATTGTATAACAAACCGTCAGCTATCAACGCCGTCAATGTCTAAGTAGGGCCTCGTATTTCCGCATAAGGCACTAATATTTGACGTATTCTTCTTCCACTGCAGCGTGGGAGGGGGAGCGGAGAGAAGCTCGAAGTAAGTTCAAAATCTACGCAGGCTCCTCTCAGATGACCATCAAAACTATCCATGCTCCTTCCCCATGGAGTGCCGTCGCATCTATAATTATATCCGAGTTCCTGCCTTTCGTCCGCTTAAAAACCTCGAGGTCAGAGGGACAAAAGAGGGCCCTCTCCTCCCGCACCTGACGGCTATGATGGTTATCAGCACGCTCCCTCACTGCGTCGAGGCCGACATTGAAGCATGCTCACCTGACCGGGAAAAGGATGAGAAGCAGGCATCCATCACGCATCTCGAAGACGCCTTAGATGTTGATAGCGAGGTCTATGTGGTGGATCAAGAAGCTGAACGAAGGTTAGCAATCAGTCTTGTTCCAAACGAGTAGTTGTCAACAGTGGATACCGGACAGGCTGGTGAGACGAATTGACTTGCGAATGATTACGGGGTCAACAGCGATGTATGTGCTGTGCTTCATTGACCGCTCAAACATCGTGAGTAAACAATTCTCAAGCTCTCCTTGTTACTCAATTTCTCGGAAGGGTAACGCAAAGGTTCTCAACAATGACACAGGGAACTCGCTACAACAAAGCTTGCGACTGACGAATAACCAATACATCATCGCCCTTATGGTGTTTTATGTCGCCTACACCGTGTTCGAGGTACCATCCAACTACCTTTTGAAGAAGTACAAACCTAGCCGATGGTTCTCCTTCTTGATGCTTGCATGGGGAGCGATGACTATGCTGATCGCGGCCACGCGAAACTATGGAGGACTCCTTGCCACCCGTTTCCTCCTCGGGATGTTCGAAGCAGGTCTCTTCCCAGGTCTCATCTACTGCCTTACCTTTTGGTACAAACCGAACGAACGCGCCGTTCGCGTTGCGCTGATAGTGGCCGGTGCTACTCTAGGCGGTGCCTTTGGAAGCGCGATAGCCTTCGGCATTGGCACGGTCAATGGCGCACACGGCTTAGAAGGTTGGAGGTGGCTCTTCCTCATTGAAGGCGCTGCGTCCTGCTTCATCGCGCCCTTCATTCTATGGTTCTATCCAGATTACCCCGAGACCGTTTCGTGGCTGTCTCCAGAAGAGCGCGAGCTAGCCACTGAGCGCATCGAAGGTGTCGCGTCCTTGGGACACGAGGCCATCACTTGGAAGGACGCACGCGACACCCTCCTCGACTGGCGGCTTTACCTTCACCATTGGATCTGGATTGCATACTCCGTTGGGTTCTCCAGCATCTCCCTCTTCACGCCGACGATCGTCCAGGGTCTGGGATTTGCAGGACTCCGCGCGCAACTCTTCACAGTGCCCCCGTACGCACTCGCCTTCTTTGTCGTCACCGCCGTCGCGTGGATATCCGACCGATTCGAGATGCGCGCTTGGGCTATGGCTGCGTCTTTTGCGATATGCGGGATCTCCTTCGTCATCGAAGGTAAGCACAGTATTACTAGCTATTCATGACTCAGTGCGTATCCAGGCTAAATTCTGTTTCATTCGTTTTCAGGATCGCTACCGCCGACCGCGTTCACCGCTCGCTACGCAGTGTTGTGTGTTGGCGTCCCCTTCGCGTATGCGGTATCGGGTCCCACCCTCAGCTGGCTCACGGGAAACCTCAGAGGGACCGGAGTTTCCACGCTCGCAGTCCCGCTCAATGGGTCGTTTTCGACGTTTGGTCAGATCATCGGTACGCCCGCCTTCCCCCCTAATGTTATTTTTTGTTCTTTCGTGCTGAGTCCTTCTCATGTTCCTGCATCCTGTTTTCCCTCCTTTCGCGCGTCGTCATTTGATGATGGTTTGTCCTGCAGGTTTATTCATATACAAAACCTCGGAATCGCCGGGCTTTCCCACCGGTCACTATACGAACGCCGGCTTTATGTTCTCCGGTGCACTCGCCGGTCTGGTGTTACGGTATGTTTACACGCGACGCAACCGTCAGCTATCCCCGGGCGAGCCGAGATGGAGGCTGTAGATACAGAGTAGATCACATTGCGAGCGGTGCAACGATGGAAGCAACTGTGGCGTTGTAAGATATTACGGGTGTTCTTCCTTCCGTTGTCCTGTTAGAAATCCTCGGACGCTTTGAGGGCCTTTCTGAACTTCACCATGGGTATTCTTGCATGTGGACGGTCTGTGCAAAGCTTAGCTTTCAAAATCGCTATATTCAGTCATAGCATTTGGCCATCATTTTGACGTCTTCTTTCCCATCTCGTTCTTCGGCGGCGGCGCTGGATAGGAGACTGCTTCATCAGATTCTGGTTAAGGTTCGGGCCAGCGGGGTCCGCGGTAGGACTAAGGTACCCAGGCATGCCGGGTGAACACCGTCATATGGTCCAATTATGGGTACCTCCAGTGAAACATGAAAGGCGTCCAGTTATGATCGACTAGATGTGAGGGTGTCTTGCAGAGCCGCACCGTCCCGGCATTTCGCGTTATTGCGTACCTGTGGAATAAATCGGACATTGAGCCGCTAGGTGGATCAGATGTAATAGGTCGAATGTGATAGATCGATCGCCCTCTACCTCCATGATGGAATCTTGGGCACCTCTCCGGTATCCCCACATATATATCTGGTACAATGGGACACGAGCAACTTCCTAACAACAGGGAGACGAAATGATACTTGGCGGTGTGCGTGCCTAGGGATGTACCGAACGACCCGCGACGCCTTCGACCGATTTCGGCGATACACTGTGGTACCGGCGTGCATACAGGCGAGAGTCCGATGGCAGGAAATCTGATGCCAAGGCGGGGGATTCTCTGGCTGAGAGATGGCGAACGCAATCACACGATCTCATGTCTGCACCGACCTTGGCTGAACATGCGTAAAGCCTTGGAGCCCCCCGGAGGATGTTTGGCGGAGATGACCTTGCAGCGCTTGAAATTCGAAGCGCTGCGACGGCGGCGGATCATGGTGAAGTGGCGGAACGCTAAGGTGAAGAAGAGAACAATGGAGGATTGCCATTACTGTAGTGAATATGACATTCAACATAGGCCACAGACTGTTTCAGTCAACTCGATTTGGCTCGAAGCCCGGTTTCCTCAACGGGATATCGATAACCGGCTGGCGACGGTCCGACAACCGTGAGACACGCGGGAGAGATTTTTCCGGGGATGCATTGGACCTATGGATGGTGATCTTGCAAGTTCCTGTGCCTCGCAACATGTCACCGTTGTATACTCTGCGGACGTACGTCAGTGGCGCCGTGTAATATCTGTGTCTTCACGTATGTGATGCTCGAAGCTGACTCCGGAGAAACGGAGGGATGTTGCTGAGGGATAGGACAAAACTGGCGCTTTGACCATTACAAGTAGGTACTATACTAACCTCCTGAAGTTTTGTGAAAACAACCATAACCGGGCCGACAGCAGTTTGGTCCGCTTGATTCTGAGTGTTCCGCGAGAATACCGTGGCGAACAGACAAGCCACCGCCGCGCTCGTCGCCGAGGCAGGGCGGGAGACGCTAAGCCCGATTCATATAAATGTGTGCGTGCGCACATGGCCGGGTACGTGTTTATGAGTGCGTACGAGGAGGCTCCGAATGATAGACTTTCATAACCGCCGTCAGACTCCTTCAAGTTACGCCGTGGCTGTGTCCCAAGTACATTAACGACGAAAACGTGGGGTGACGTCGCGGGCCATTTTGGCATCAGACCGGCCCGAGAACAGTGGCAGGTCGTTGTCGTGGGCAGGATACGCTGCCAACGCAATCACGCACATGCCGACGGCGAATGATCGATGTCGGTGGCGTAGTGGCATGCGAATCATTATTACTTACTCCCGTGGAACAAGGCTCGAGTGTCGCTGATGATAGAGACGAGCACACAGTCGGAGGGTAACGCTTCTCCTGAGGAGACGGAGGGGTCGCGAACCGGAAGACACGTGGCGCTGTAGAGTTCTGAGTTTGGGCCCGCTCGACGGGGCGTTTCGCCAGAGATCAGATCCGTGGTGACGAACACCGGCACGACCGCGACCGGAATAGCAGGGAGTGGTCGAGCATCCTCCAGCGCGCCAGAGGGCGCTGCAAATCTTTGTGCAAGTCAGAAGTGACGGGCGCGGCGCGTAGTCTGCGCCGAGGGTGGGAGCGATGGAGGAGGAGGGGCGGCAGGAAATATAAAGCGTTGCAGATGTGGAGGAGGCGAGCAAATGAAACGCGGCCAGATTCCGCAAAAACTACCTAATCGGGCACAAGAGCGGCCGGCCACGTGGGAAGGCCTGTCCAGTCAGTCCCATTGTCCTTCTCGTCCTCCTCCATCTCGTCCTCCCCGACCCTTTCGAATGTCCTCCTCTTAATCTCTCTGGCACCTCTCCGGATTTGCCGCATCTGTTCTTGTCTCTACAACCATTTCTTCCATGTTCCATCTCAGACGCAGCGACGCCCCGTCCCATCAGCCCGAAAAGCCCACTTCACGACCCCGAAGTCTCTCCAGCCGGACTCCATCCACATCCTCCACCACGTCTTCAGCCAATATCCCCCTCCTTCCTCGCCGTGCACCCTTTGCCCCTCTTCGGTCGACAAACGCCCCCCTTGCCGCTGACGATCAGATGTCCTCCTCCACCTCGTCTACGTTTCTAGATTACAACCCTACCGATAACTCTCAGGACAACGACCCTGCACGCTTTGGTATCGGGAGAGCCATCATTCCACGTACTCCCGTTGACAGTGTCAGCACCAATGCACCTCCATCCTCGAGGCGCAGGTCTATCCCAAATCAGTACGTACACTTGCTCGAGCAATAGCTTGTGTCGTAACACCCCTTCCTCCTTCAGAGCACAGAGCAGTACGACTGTGTCGCGACCGCCTCTGCTACAATCTCTACGTCCACTCCCTCGACGACCGAATCATTCGCCATCCGCTTCCAGCTCATCGTCCCGACGCGGCTCACTTCCCAACATCCTGCAACAGTCGACGGCTAAGGCCGCACCGTCGCAGCCTGTACCTTTGGTCCACAACGACAATGCTAACGTGCTCATGCCTCCTGACGACATCTACTCCAATCTCTCTACGTATACCTTCGGTGCCGCGCGATCACCTCAGCGACCCACAGACCAGTCGATCAGTCCCTTCACAGTAGCGGCTTCCAATAGTGGCGATCTTCATACCCCTCGGCAGTCTATTTCAGGCTCGAGCGGCACCACTCGTGCTCGGAATACACCCAAGATCAGTACTTTGGACGTGAAGGACGGAGCTTGGTCAGACGAGGACGAGGACGAGGACGAGGCAGCAAGACAGAACAGGGCCAAGATGCGTGCTATCGATGATGGTACCCGCAGACCTTCTCTCCCCACCAACGCATACTCCGGTCCCTCGGGATCGGCTTCGTCACCCCGCGCCGACACAGATTCGGAAGTAGAGCTGGATTCGGCCACTGCGTACGATGACGATGGCGAAGAGCTTGATACGGACGTGGAGTTTGACTATCGGAACCCCTCTCGTGAAGATATTTCTGATGCCGCCTCCCTGCACACCTTCGGCGGTGGTGACAAGTCCTACTACGCTCCGGGTCCTGCACGAGATGAGCGGTACAGCAGGCTGAGTTTCGCCCCCAGCTACATGTCGCAGGATCCGAGTGAGTACCAAGATGAAGACGAGGATATAGAGCACGTTGATGCCGGTGCGTCCTCGCCTGTCACCTTCGCTCGAGTGGACAGCGGCGGCGAGGAGGGCACGCCGAGCTCTTTCGGGTCCCATCCTCCATCTCGCCGTGGAAGCGTCCCATGGAACATTCCCGGTGCCCCAGGCACCACTCCTCGGGGCCGCGAAGACAGCGAAGCGACGATCCTGGCCGAACGCCGCATGAGCAGGAGTCTCGGCGACGAGCTTGGCCAGCACTCGCCCGCTGCGCTTCCTCATGTGCAGGCGACGAGTCAGCCCACCACCCTCGCGGACTGGCGCAATCTGGAGGCGCAGGTGCAGGCGCAGGAAGAGGCGTTTGTGCGGAATGAGCAGGACGAGCAGGTGCAGCTGGACGATAACATCACGACGGATCCGGTGGTGACGGACACGTACGAGGGCTTCAACCTCCAGTACATCCTTGGCGATGGCATTCGGCGATCGTGGTCGTCGGGCGCGCCTTCATACATCGCTGCAGGTGGACTAGACTCCCGCCGTCCTAGCACGTCCATTATCGCTCCGTGGGAATACCAGAACTCGATCTCGAGTGGACGTCGATCCAGCACGACGACGATGAGCGACGATGCCTTCACTTCGCAGCTGCGGAAGCTCGACAAAGGATATCTCAGGCGGCGCGAGGAGTGGAGCTTCCGGAAGGAGATGGCAGACGGCTCTGCCGTCAACGTTCTTCCGGCTCGCGCTGGTCGTCCAGCGATCCACGAGCTCTGGCGACATCAGTACGTGGGCAGGTTCAAGGTTGACAAGCAGTGGACAGAACGTACGCCATCAAGTCCTTCAGGATGTGCCTGATGCATTTATTGACGAGCTGTCCCCCTACAGATCCCTCGAAAGCACCCACGCAGCGCATCAATGTCCGCCATATCGCCGACCCGTTCTCGCGCGGGAACACGAAGGGCGGTCCGCACTCCATCATCCACAGGCATTCCCGGGCGATCGCGTTCAGTATCTTCCGCAAGTACGGCTTGTTCGGACGCGCGCACAAGCCTGGTGGGACGTCGTTCCATGTACACACGAGCGGGACGATCCTGCTTGCAACGATGGACGTGCAGGCCCATTTCACGAGCACTCGAACGACCAGCCAGCTGAATGCTCATGGCCTCCTTACCGAAGGGCAGCCTAGACCTGCCGATCGTGAGTCGGGCGGCCGTGATCGGTCGAAGGATAAGGAGCGGGACAAGGCGAAGGACAAGGGAAAGGCGAAGGACAAGGGCAAGATGGGTCAAAAGGGCGCGTCGGACACGTCCAGTCAGACTGCGAGCGTCGGTAGCGTTACTTCGAGCAACGCGACGCACGCGTCGACAGTGACGGCTACCAGCAGGATCGTGGAAGAAGACAGTCCGATGGGGAGGCGGCCGTATACAGCTTCTCCGCCTTCTGTCCCGACCTCCCCTACCATCGTGCCATCGTCTGCCGCTTCTACGAGCTACTCGACCTCTACTACTACAATTTCCGCTGAACCTTCTCCCGCGCCCACCCTCGATGTGTCGATGTTCTCTCGTGATCGGCTTCCGTCATCCATTACACGGAATGGTCGTGACGAAGACGGCATGGATCTTGATGACGAGACTCGCCATCCGCGAACATCCCATGCGGAGGCCTTTGCCACCCTGGACTCGGGGAGTATCGAGTATCTCCGCGGACGGTCTGACCATCACGTCGAGCACGAGCATTCAGGTGGTGGTGGGATGCTTGAGAGGATTGCGCGGCGCATACGGGGGAACAACGTCCGGGCCGGTGCGAAGACTGCCGGTCCGTCACCCGATGCAGCCTTCACCCCTACGTTACCGCCTTGGGTTACCCTCGCACCTCGCTCGAAGCAAGAAGAGCGCGAGCGCGTTATCCAGAATCTCAACGACTCGTTCAAGGACGTTGGCCTACTGCCGACCTTCCGACCTAATCGCGCCGAACGCAGTAAGGGCAAGCAGCCGATGAAGAACCAAGCAGGCGTCAACGTATTCGAGGAGGTCCCTGTGGATGCCCTCCACATGCTGCTCCCGCTCTGGCCCTGCAACACAGATGAATCGTCTACCGTCGCTAACGAGGACAGCGCCAAATACATACTTCCCGTCGAGGAGCGCCAGTACCTCATCGTCTATTACGTGCCCTTCGACGAGCGCAAGAACAAGAAAAAGAAGGGTGACGCGAACAAGAAACGCTCTCGGGCCGACTCTCTGGCGACATCTACGGCCGTTGCGCCGAAGACGAAGGGGATTCCGAAGTCCTCGTTCCGTGTGTGCGCTCGCCTGGTCTCCTATCAAGACTTCCTCGGAACTGGTGTTCGTTTGCCGAGCGAAGGTTTGGCGATAACGGGCCCCATGACGGAAGCTATGGCAGCCCTTCCTCCCGCCTCAATTCGTGAGCAGCACCCTGGTGACGTCGTCATCGGGGTGTGCTCTGGGAAAGAGAAGGAAATTGAATTTCTTCCGGAGGGTCTTGCCTCCGTTGGTCTTGCCACAGCGATAGTGGAGAACCAGCCGCCACAGCCCCCGTCGCCCGTGCATGAAGAGGAGATGATGGACGAATTTGACCCGACATACACGCTCACGCCCATTGGACGCGCCGCGGTCGAGATGGCTTGGCTAGGTTGCCTTGCGATCACGTTCTCGGACGTTCCTCCCCCGGCGATGAAGTCATGAACGCGACGCATGCACGCCACGACGGACTTTCCCACATGGTGTATCATAATCAATTTTCCCCGTCGGACGGTGTACATTTTCCCCGGGGCTCAGAGCGGCGCTTGCCGCTCGTGTTGCTACCGCACAAGACAACCTACTCCCATGTAACCATGCCCATCTGGTCCCGTATGCATATGCTTCAACTATACTCCGAGTACCGATATTTACTGTTCACGATTATTCCCGTCCCCCTCCCCCTCTGCTCACCGCTTCGCAATATCGTGATCGATTTCGATACCCACCATGGCTTGGCTGCTACCAACACCATCTGTATACATCTGTTCTCTTTTTGGTCGCATGCGTGCATGGATTACCTCGGTGTCTCTCATAACGCAGTAACGCAGCAATGATTACCTTTGTGCCCATTTCCTCAGACTAGATTCTGTATGATATTCGCATCGTCCCCAGTTTCTCTATGCCAGCGCAAATTCTCCGAACCCCGCGCGACCGTGAGTGGAGCGGGCGTGAGACAGGTAAGTCGTGTTGCTCCGATCGGTTGCGGCGTCTCGAGTACATACCGTGAGGTTGACGAATACAGGATGCAGTCCAATATGCCGCGATCCTCGGTACCGCAAGCCTTCGCACTCCATCTTTCCGACGACGACTTGCAGAAAGTAGCCAGCAACATCAGGTAGCAACACCATTATCTTATTTGATTGACGGTTGGCCAGGGTATCGGACCGCATGCCCGTAAGGGTTCTGATTAGCACCGCTACTATCTCCCCGACGACATCTCATATGGGAAGCTTCAGCGGCGGGTTGGCCTTAACAGTCCGCCAGTCTGATTGGCTCGAGCAGCTCTCTACGCATTCTAGGTCGTATGCTAGTATTTGCATCTAGCAGTGATTCATGCTATGATGGCTCCACAGTGTTACATCCTCCGGACCTCCTCTGCTCTAGCCGAATTCTCATGGGGCTCTCCTATGCAGAATCGAAATACAGGGGAGCGCGATGGGTCGCACCTCGCATGCGGAGACAGGTCAGTGTGGCGTCGGTGTTTACGTTTCAAATGCCTTAATCCTCATGCAATGACAGTCTTAATGAGCAATTGAACTCGCCGACTGACGTCGATTCTGGCTCCTTGACGCTTCCTTTTTTCATTGAACATCACCCGACCGGACAGCGGTTCTGCGCGCCCACGCTTCGCTCTCAGGGGGCGTTTCTGCGCACCGATCACCGCTTCGGCGCCCTCGATAGACGATGCCTATACGATCTTGGCGTGTTAACTTTAGACCACACAGCCGATCTTCGCGCGAAGACTCCTGCTCATCCCAGTGCCGACTGACTCTGGTATCAGGTCGAATGTCGCGAGGCTATTCGCGTGCCACTGGTAGGACTTCCGCAGTCGTAGATAGACGGGAGGTAAGCATATAAAAGCCTAAGATGCATCACAAGAACGACTTGGCGCACCCACCCGGTCCTCCCTATCTAGACCTTCACGGCGAGAACGCGCTGCTAACCACCGCCATGCATTGGATCCAGCTCGCTTCTTCTCTCACTGTTGTTCTGATTTTCTTCGCCTTCCTAGGTGAAGCCGCCGAGTGCACAAACCCAGCAGTCAGGAAGGAGTGGCGTACATTGTCCACCATCGAGAAGGCTGCCTGGATTGCCGCCGTCAAGGTTGGCCTTTCTCTAGCATATATACCTCTCTTCAATTCTTAACCACGTTCGATTATAGTGTCTAGCATCGCTTCCTCACGATCCCAATCTCGCACCAATCGTCAACAGAACGATCTCCAATATCCCCCCTATCAATAATTCGAGCAGTTACTGGGACGACCTCGTTTACATTCACATGGACCTTAATACTCGGGCAAGTTTCCGAATCGTTTGTCTCATCTTCTTTCTATTGACATCCGCTCCATAGATCCATAGCACAGGTCTCTTCTTCCCGTGGCATCGCTGGTATGTAGCGGTGATCGAAAGCGCCATGAAGTCTAAGTGCGGCTATGCCGGCACCGCTCCATACTGGAACTGGTCTCTTGGTTAGACATCTCCCCATTGCCAACAAGTTGGCGAGAGCTGACTGCCCTGTCCGTAGATTCCGCCGATGTAAAGAACAGCCCTCTCTTCCTAGACTCTGACCCTATCAGCGGCCTGGGTGGCTGGGGCGACCCGGCTAAGGACATTCAAGTCCAGGATGGTGCATTCCGTGACCTGCAGCTCGCCTACCCTGTGTCACACACCCTCCGGCGCAACTTTACCCTGCGACCGTACATCGCACTAGCGGACAATCCAACCATCCTTGACCCCACCCTAGAAGCCAACGTGTCGTTCACCCCCGCAGAGGTGCAGAAGATGGTGCACTGGACTCCAGGCGACTTCCCTGGCATGCAGTTCTACATGGAGCGGCCGGAGGGCCCGCATGGAAACGTGCATGAAATTCTGGGAGGGTATGCGCCGATGTCACATTTAGTGTTGAACGTCCGCTGATTCATACCGGGCGTCTTTTGGATACCAGTGACTTGGGTGGCTACTGCCCGGCGGACGCATACCCCGACTGCGAGCCCCAGCCCACTTTCTCTGCCAACGGTACGTCGCTTCTGCTCACAAAGTGAAGCATGTGCGTGAACTTATTCGGTCGTGCAGAGCCGATCTTCCAAATGCACCACGCGGTGAGCATATACAGTCCGTTCAGCTTCCTAATAACAAAGACTCTCATATCGCTCTTTGTGTCAGATGGTCGACAAGGTCTGGTATGACTGGCAGCATGCCAACCCACAGAACTTCTGGGCGTACCACGGTGGTTCTGTGCAGAACATCACATCCCTACAGGCGTTAAGCGAATATCCCAATGGCATGCCGCCCTATCTCTCGGTCCGTCGTCCTCCCAGTCGGCTGCTCCCCCCGTAGCGCCTTCCTATCGCCTTTACTGATAACTGTGGTTCTTGCAGCTGAACTCCAAGATCCCGGCTGATGGCATGTTCGACGAAGTGACGATCTACGATGTCATGAACACGACCGGCGGTTACCTTTGCTACGTCTACGAGTAGTATCTTCATCCAGATCTCTGTGAGTATGTTTCCGTGAGACGGCGCAGACCGTGGTTGTAAATGCCACCCTTAGAGGACTTACGCGCGCTCCCTTCGAACGCATCGTTATGCAACCCAGTAATATTGATGTCGTAGCACCTTGACTTAACGTCATGACATAACGTCCTGTGTATCATCGCTGATACATTCGTTACAAGTCTATGGCGCTCCTGAGGAGCGGTACTAACGCCGTGGTTACGCTGCATCTACACCACATAGCGTCAAATCGTCCGCGAATACACCGGAAAACATTAATTTGGACTGTTGCAAAGCCCGACCACCTGTTGAACTGCAAAAGCTTGAATTCACCGAAGGACGGGAGCTCCCATTCGCGCCGTCGTGCTCAATGGCGTGTCCGAGCCAACCAATCGTCGGTACGTCCGAGTCGCGCAATAACGCTCCTCTTACGTTCTCCGTGCAGTCTTGGAACAATTTGATGTCGGCACCAGTTGCATTCTCGTTCCATGGACGAGGCTATCCTGTCATCGCCATTTAGTCAGATAGCTGGTCATGGTGGCATGTCCTCGAGGATTACTGTCACTCTACCCTTGCTCGTTACCTTTGAGTGTAGCGCCCAAGTTGGTGGATGCAGTGAACTTAGCTTGAGACCGGGCCACCGTGACCTCGCAGAGAGGCGCATTGTCCGACAGGACGGAACGGCTGGCAGGGAAGGGCCACGTCTATTGGGTCGGTGAACCATACGACGGCGCGACAAGCGAGTAGGCGCGTCCCGCCAGTATTTCGGAGGGAGTAAATAATCATAACCCTGGCAGTCAAAATCACCGGATCCTGTCGAGGCGAGTATGAATGATACTGCGCTGGCCTTCTATGTAGACAGCGAACCGCCACATCGCGAAAGAGGCGACCGTACCACAGGAACGGAACCCCTCTGGGCCTTCTCACTCCATGCGACGTCGATGCCCGCGACGCAGCTGACCTCTCGCACTGGACGTGAGGAGCTCTCTCACGATGAACCTTCCACACGGAGGGGTTCGTTACTACGCCGGACTGTCTTCCTCTGTGCTTAAAATGTAGGCGGGGAAAGTGAGATGTTTGAGACGCAACCGTGAGGTCGGCAACTTGAATGTAGCGGATGCAGTACTGGAGCTCGCCACGGCCGGGGATTGAAGGGGGGTACCTTCAACCCCTTCCGCTTCTTCGTTCTTGCGTTCGATGTCTCTGACAGGTCATCGCAATCGTGAGGCTGAATTATCCGAAGGAAGACGGTGAAACCAGACTGTCGCCCCTAAGGGTTCGCTCCCGCTATAAGCCAACCAAGGTGGAGTTAGGAGGACGCGAGTTAGTATCATCTGCCGCGGATTGTACGGGTAAGGCCCTCAAGGTCAAATCGAACGACAACAGGTGAGCTTAAAGCATAATTATATACTTCTACATTACACCGGTGTGCATATGCCTCATCTCCAGGATGTTGAGATGCTTGGTACGCCATTGAGTTCACAGTATGTAACTACTGACGGCTGCGCACCTTGCATCGGTATATTGATGTCGTAAAATCGATGTAGTATACGTATGGATCGTACGACATTGAGCGCGCAGGGGCTATAATGAAGAAGGTTCAGGTTTCCCTTTTAGGGACTGGGGTGCGGTATCAGACTCCTCCGGCGGGAATAAGCGCCCAATGACACGATCGCAGTCGACCACGGCCCTGCATTCACCCACATCTGACTGGCAGCCAGACTCGTCCACGTCGTTCATAGTTCATCTGTCCCACAAAGTTCACTGTACAGAGGCGATATCAATGTGCTTACGGAGATTTCTGAGCGCCATCGATGTAAGCCACGAATCGCATACTTGCAGCTTCCATTAATCTCTATTTCAAGCTTTGAGCTCAGGGACTTCCTGAATTTCATGACTCGGACCTATGCGACAGCAACGGATCGTAACAGGCTACACTGCCCTCTGAGATGAACTCGCTATGCCCACAGGCAATAGCCCGCCGGAGCCAACCCAAATACAACATCTGGCTTAGATAAAAGCCCTGAGATGCCTTGCAAAAGTTGCTCGTGCGTCCATTCAGCCCTCATTGTCCCAAAGCTCACCGACCATCTCCCCTTTCCCACATATCGACATGCGTTGGATGCGTTTTGCTTCTTCCCTTCTTGCTGCTCTCAGCTTCTTCACCCTTGAGGCTGTAGCCTGGGCCGAATGCACAAAACCAGAAGTCAGGAAGGAATGGCGTACATTGTCCACCAGTGAGAAGGCTGCTTGGATCGCCGCCGTCAATGTCGGATTTTCACCACTCTCTACTACTGCCTTCGTTATGCTGATGCCCCCTTCGATCTCCAACATCAGTGTGTGTCCAAGTTCCCTCACGACCCCAAGCTCGCACCGATTGTCCCCAGGAACATCTCAGACATCCCACCTGTCAATGAGTCTAGCAGCTACTGGGACGACCTCACCTACATTCACATGGATCTGAACACCCGGGTAGGCATTAGATTTGCTCTTCTCTACTCTCGCTCTGACATCACTTTTGTAGATCCACTTCACGGGTTACTTCCTCCCATGGCACCGCTGGTATGTTGCAGTGGTCGAATCGGTCATGAAATCCAGATGTGGGTTTAAAGGAACCGTTCCGTACTGGGACTGGAGACTTGGTGAGACTTTCCTCTAGGAGCTCATGTCGGCCATTCCTCACTTCCCGTACCTCTGCACCCACAGACTACAAGGATGTGAAGACCAGTCCGCTCTTCACGGACCCGGACCCTATCAGCGGTTTCGGTACATGGGGCGACCCCGCCAAGGACTTCCAGGTCCAGGATGGCGGGTTCGCCACCATCGAGCACGCGTACCCCGTGCCGCACAGGCTCCGGCGCAACTACACCCTCCAGCCCTGGCTCCAGCTCACCCCCGAGCAAGACCCGACGATGACGGACGTCAACTGGGAGGGAAACGCGTCGTTCGTCCCGCAGCGGATCCAAGAGCTGGTGGACCACACCCCGGGCGACTTCCCCGGCTTCCAGATGCGCATGGAGGCCCAGGTCGGCCCGCACGCAAACGGGCACCAAATCGTCGGAGCGTGAGCGCAGATATGATCCGCCATCTTCGTGGCCCCGCGACCCGTCCCTGACATGACCGCTTTGCGAATGCTAGTGACATGGCCGGCTATTGTCCCTCGGACGCGTACCCGAACTGCCTGCCGGCGCCCACCTTCTCTGTGAACGGTACGCCGCCTCCGTTCCTCCATACGTAAGGGCTGCCGTTGACCTCGCCGCATATGTAACCCAGAGCCGCTGTTCCAGCTGCACCACGCGGTGAGCACAGTTAGGGTTCCGGGATGACACAACCCTAGCTGACGTCTTCGCATCGCGGCACGCACGCAGATGGTCGACAAGGTGTGGTACGAGTGGCAGCACGCCAACCCCGAGAAGAGCTTCTGGGCGTTCCACGGCGGCTCGATCCAGAATCAGACGTCCCTCGCCGCAGCGAACGAGTATCCGAACGGCATGCCGCCCTGGATCTCGGTATGACTCCATGTCTGCTTCTGGTTTCGCTCCCGCAGAGGGTACTGAGTTCGGTCGTCCATTGCAGCTCACTACAAAGATCCAGGCAGACGGCCTGTTCCCCGAAGTTACGATCGCCGACGTCATGAACACGACGGGGGGATATCTCTGCTATGTCTATGAGTAGAGCTAAGTCCGGCGTTGAGCCGAGACAGCAAGGAATGTAGTCTCTTCCATCTTTTTTCCATCAAGGTCCTGTATAGTTGAATGCCTCATATGATGCTCCAGCGCATCAGAAACGCTAACCTGTCGAAGGCTGTATTAAATTCGTTAGAGCGAGCTCATGTACTACTACTATTATAACACAAGTGCACAGCAACGGGATACGTTCACAGGACAGCTGAAGACTAGACCTAACTAGGCTACCGCGAAGCATAATGGCTAAGTTTAAGGTTGACAGCACGGGCACCAAGTGTAATCTGAACAACCTGATACATGCTATACTTAGTGTAACATAGACACAACATCCGACCTCACGCGACAACGCCGACACAACATCCAATCTCACACGGCAACGCCAGCATGCAGCGGCGCGCAGTAGACCCGTACATTATCTCGCCACTCCCGCATTGACACCACATCGAAGCAAACGATGACACACCACGAACCCCCTATCATCCCCACTCAGGCACGCACTCAGAGCCTGCCGTCTACCGCGCCGCCTTGTTCGTCAGCGCCCAGACGGTAAGCAACAGCAAGCACAGGCAGAACACCATCAGCCGCGCCTCCTCCCCCGCGGGGCTCCGCTCCACCAACAGCTCCCCTACGCCCTTCTGCGCCACGTCCGGGTGCCCGCTCGGCCGCAGGTCGCACACCCACCTCCTCACGCACATGCGCGGCCTGCCCACACCCACGCCCATGCCCATCCCCCGCCCCGCGATCGCCCCCAGCAGCCCCATCCGCGCCCCCAGCGCGGCGAGCCCGCCCGCGACGTCCGGCACGCACACCGCGCCGAGCCCCCACAGGCCCGCGTTAAACCTGCCCGCGGCGGCCGCGGCCCCGAGCGCGTTCTCGAGCAGCAGCAGCGGCGCCTCTGCGCCGAGCGCGCCCCCGACCGCTGCGAGCCACTCCGCGACGCCCGCGCCGACTCCCGCGCCGAAGTTCGTGCCCGCCCCTGCGTGCCGCTGCCATGGCCAGAGCGCGGCGCAGCGCTGGTGGACCGCGAGGCAGACGGGGATGCCGTGCACGTCCGACGTGAGCTCGAACGTGCCCTGCTCGAGCGGCGCGGGGGGCTGGTCTGCGTACACGCTGGAGAGGGCGGCGGGGGCGTTGTTGATGTTGTTGCTAGGAGCGCCGTGCGCGGGGATGAAGGCGATGGAGAAGGACTTGAGGCGCGGGTTCGCGAGCGCGATGCGGGAGGCGCCTACGTGCATGGGTTCTTCGCCGGCCATGCGGACGAGGGAGAGCGACAGGGTGCGGAGGCGGGGGAGCCCGCGGAGCGAGTTTGCGAACGCATCCTGAACGCGGAACAACTTGAACACGCCGCACGCACACACACTGATCACACGCATATGCTCACCAGGAAGAACGACGGCCGGTTGGTGCACGTGATGTCTAGGTCGAGGAGGTGTGGGCACGACGCAACGATGGTGCGGAATATCCCGTTGCTGTCGTACCCGCCCTGAATGGCGAACGTCACCTTCATCGACGTGAGGGCGTGCAGGCCTTGCAGAACGCGGGAGATGACGAGCGGCGTCAAGTCGCGGAGGTGCATCGCGTGCGGGAAGCATAGCCGCTGCAGCGTCTTGGAGAGCGGATTGTGAGCAACGGCCGACTGGTCCTGGTTGGGATTGGGTATTGCTGCCGGAGCCTGTGCGAAATTTGGTGGGGCAGCTGGGTCTGATTGGTGGGACCGGTCGACGAGCATGCGCAGCAGATTGAAGGTACCGCTGAATTCTTTGAGGTTGGGCAATGCATCGGGAGATAGCGCGGATAGGTCCACCTGGTTAGAGCTAGGACGGCCAAGCAGGTGTAGACTCTCGAGTGCCGGGTGGCGCTCGAGAAAATCTACAAAGTCCCGATTCGCATGCCCTGGCGTGGTCGTATTACAAACGGCTGCGCCGAATGCCAGATGTCGGAGCTTCGGCCAAGTTGCGGTGTACAGCCGGGCGGCATCGGAAGGTTCAGACGTATTCCCTATGATTCTGAGAGACTCAAGGTCCGGACAGCGGAGAGTGAGCATGTCCCAGAGACGTCTGAAGACGGGCTCGCTCTCTGATTCTGGATCAGCGAGGCCGAGAACGTGGAGTTGATACTTGTCGGCATCGGACTGACCTCTGGACGGCAAATGTAGTGAGTGCGCATAGAAGCCGTCTTTGAGCGTGAGCGAAAATCCGCTCAAATCGGAAAATTGCAGCAGCTGTAGTAATATGTTAGCGGTGAATGGACATGACAACGAGACGGGGTCGAAACACTGCGATTCAACATCATAGTATAGTTAATTAGGGGTAATTAGAATGCGCGGTTACGGGCAATTCTGGGACGATTCTGAAGGCCGAACTTAAAGGCCATTTGTCCTCATAATCGCGAATTTGGCACAATCCTACAGAATCACAGGATCCTCGGGAGGGGCTTCTGCCCTCCATAAATGCGATTGTGCTGTCCGCGATTCTACCTCCCCCAGAGTCCTCCCTAGAATCATGACCACGATCGTCCGCAGTAATTTCCTCCGATGTGGGGTGGTCAGAGTGCCAAAGTTTCAACACGATTCAGAGATTCAGGATAGCTCGCGAGATTGCTCTAGAATCGCGCGCTCTGAACACCCCTAGTATTTGGTGGCGCCCATTTGCTGGATGATGTCATAGACGACTTACCGAGCTCGTTGGACGAGGCAGGAAGCACCCGAATGTGGTCCCAACATGCCGAAGCCGCGGACATCTGCGGAAGAGAAAACTAACGTTAGCTTCTGCACTAACGAGTGCGCGGACTGCGAATAATACGCTCGCGCCTCGCTACCGCCCACGAGCCACAGGGGCGTACCCTCGCAACACGGAGGTTTACATCGCGCGATCTCATCTCACTCGGGCAGGTCCAGGCACCCAAAGCGACACGAACGCGACAGACACTGCAGCTGACGGCACTCACCTCCCGCGAAGCTCAGACCACATGCGGTCGTCAGGCAACATGTCCTCCCCGTCCCACTCAAAGCGCGCGAGCGCGTCCAGGTGGCGCGCGACCTTCATCACCGCGCGCGAGACGACCCCCGCGCTGTCCCAGGCCCGCATGCGGCCGCGCAGACGCGCAGGGTCGTCCTCCGGGAAGACGGCGAGCCGCCGGATGTGTCGGGCGACGGCGGGGCAGCGCACGAGCATGGCGAGCGTGCGCTCGCACTGCTCGGCGCCGCGCAGCTCGACGTCGGCGTAGAGCGCGGGGACGACTTTCGCGTAGGTGGCTGAGGACTGCAGAGGGCAAGAGCAAGAGCGGGGCTCCGGTCAGCTGGTGAGGGGTGGGGCCGACGCGCGGAGGCGCAGGGGACGCGGTCGCACGACCGGGGACGTACGACTAGGCTGAGCTGCAGGACGTCGGAGCCTGAGCTGAGATAGCTCGCGACTTCCAGGAGGATCTCCGCGGGCAGTCGGTCGAGCGTCAGTGGCGTGTCCATGTCTTGCAAAGTTCGTGTGCTAGTGCGTCGCGCGTATGTTGTGTGATCCAGTTCGTTCGTCCGCAGCGGAAGTCGGCGTTGAGGTGGGTCGTGTAGCGATACGAAGCGGTGGGGTGAGCGATGTGAGTGGTGGGGTAAAGCAAGCGAGAGCGCGCGGTGGAGGAGGGTGTGCGGGTGATGGGAAGAGCGAAGGAGAGACGGACGGAAGCGGGAAGAAGGGGGAGGTATATGAGAGCAGGGCGCCTGGGCTTGTTTGCTCGAGCCACTGCTGTGATTCATGTTCCGGCAGTCCGACCGCGCGCAGCCGGCGTCTTCCCAGCCCCTGCGATGGCCTCTCTGCCGCCGGCTGCGACTCGGACGTCCAGGGAGTCGTCCGCGCCGGATGGGGCTCGCCCGCTACATAAGTATTCCAGCAGCCAGCCACGCCCCCCCGCTCTGCGCTCGCTGAGTGCGCGGGCCCACTCCGCTCGCCCTTCGCGCGCTCCCACACACACGCTCCCGGCCTGCGCCCATTTCCCAACCTAATCGCCTTCTGTCATCACAGATCGAAAGATCGAACGCCGCTGCCGTCCCAAACGGTCACCCCAAACCGACCCGCCGGCTGCAGCGATCACGTCTTCGCGCCGCATATCGCATACCGCGCATCAGCGCTCCCGGCCGCCGACCCGGCCACGCATCGAGACGTTCGTGTCGTACGAGCCTTCGACGCTCCCCCATTCGAGGCAGGGGCTGCTTCTTTCCAGAGCGATGCTTCTGCCTGTCGTTGCCCATCACCCCAGTCGCCACATTGCCACGTCGCACTCGCGCGAGCCCAGAGCCGCGCGCGCTCTCTCTCTCTCTCTCATACATACATGCAAGAATACAAGACGTCTTCTCCGCTTCTCGATCAGGACAGCCCCCGCGTCTGCACTATACCCCGCACCACGCCCCCGCGTCCCGCGCTCAATACCTGCAGGGTCAAAACCCCGACCGATCACATTAAATCGCGCGTAAGCACCATTGACAGCGCGTCGCCAGTATGATCGCGTGATCGAGAGGGGATCGGGAGCGAGTGCGATTGTGACGAGAGACGAGGGCGCGGGCAGCGAGGAAGGTGTCCGTGGGTGAATCACGACCTGACAGACGGTCAGCGTACGTCCGCACGCGCATGCAACACGATCCGCGCAACCAGAATAGGACCGAAAAGAAAGAACGACGCACATCTTGTAGTGGACCTCGGTCTCCTCCCCGTCCTCGACCTGGTACGCGATCGTGATGTCCAGGTCGCGGTTGTTCCGCGCGTTCGGCGCGCACGACAGCCGCCCCGTAATCTTCTCCCCCGCGGACACGGTCAGCGTGTTCGGCGTGTAGAACACCGTCTGTCTGCGGGCGCAAATGGCGATCGCATCGCGTTATGTCAGCCCCTTCATCCTCGGAGGCGACGAAATGCGTCGGGACGTTAGGTAGGGAAGCACTCACTTCCAGTGCGTGTACTTCGCGTGCGGCCCGGTCGAGAACTTGACCTTCGTGTGCGTGCAGTCGAACAGGATGTCGAACCACGCCAGGAAGGCGTGGACGTCTAGACCCCGCGTAGCCGAACGTCAGTACGTCCAAGGCATGATCGACGCGGAGGTAAGGACCGGCGACACATACAGTCGTTCCGGGTGGCGGTTAATGAGAAAGGTTGAGTGAAGGTCAGCTCCTCCTTCTTGACCGTCCTCAGGTCTATGTGCTGCATCGCCCGGCGCCGCAAGCGGAGGAATAGAGAATCCATGCTTTAGCTGACGTGGAAGCGGCGCCGCACCACTGAAGATAGACGCACCTTGATCAGACAGGGATCAGTGACGACCGCTTTGAGCTCTACTGTGTCCACCAGGGGCTCGCGCAGCGCGATCTCCTTGATGCACGAGTAGTCGAACCCGTAAACATTGTCCCAGACTGCGCGCCGTGCGGCCACAAAATAAAAGATCAGCGACGTGTCGTAGAACAAGCATACGCAGTCCGCGATGGGGGGAGAAGGAACGCACAGTTGATCTTCTCCTCTTTGTACTCCGAATCCTCGATCGCGGCAATATAGAGCGTGGCGACGTCAGGGAAGATGAGTCCTCCGGGCTTGAGGTACTTGTCGCGCGCGAGAAGGACGGTGTCGAGCATGGACTCGTACAGGAGGAAGTAGCCCATCCATTCCGAGATGATTATGTCAAATTGGTCGAAGGGGAGCTGGACTTCCTCGAGCTTGCCCTTCACGAGGGTGATTTCTGGATGGAAATGACGTCAGATCCCACGTGTCCGAAGTGTAGTCACGCGGCGATGGATTCGTAGCACGCGCGGACACGAAAAGAGCAAATCCGAGATGAAGAGAACGCGCGAGGCGGACACATTGGGCTGGCACGCGAGACTACAAGCTCGCAGCCGCATTGCGTGATAATTGGGGGGAAATGCCACAGAGATGACACGCACTGTCTTTAAAGCCATTTGCCTCGATGATTTTGACGGCTTGGTCAATGATGTTGGACATATCAACCTATTGATAAGGCCATCATGAGGATCAGCTGCGCAGCGAGGCAGTGAAGGAAGCACGTACACCAACGACGTGCTTCGCGCCAGCCTTGGCCGCGAACATGCTCAAGATGCCGGTGCCGCAACCGACGTCGAGGACGGTCTTGTCCTTGAACAAATGGGGGTTCTGGATGATGGCGTTGCGGTACGAGCCCGTACGGACAGTGTCCTTCAACATCTCTTCGTGGATACCTGGAATTTTGCGAATGCCGGATAACGTGTCAGACACTGGTGGTGACAAACTGAGAAGGAGTGCTCACCGAAGTGAGCGTACGAGTCCGCATAGCTTAGGCAAACGCGACGTGAACATGATGAACAGAACGCCTCACGAGACACAGACGTACTAGTCTCGGGAGGTCATGCCATCAGGATTGGCGGGATCCTGCTGCATAGGCTCGGGGTTGGAAGAGGGTCCCGCGCTGGACATGATTGTTGGGTTTTGTGTAGAGGGTTTGGGAGCTGGGAGGGTATGCTACACTTTTCTTCGATATCCTATAGACACAGGTATTGTAGAGTATAGAGGGGACCGAGAACTAGAACAAGCACTGGAGAACCGACGAGCCCAATGAAGCTGAGGTGTGGCGGAGGAGAAAAACGAAAGATCGAGGCAAAACAGAGAGCCGATACGAAATAAGCGCGTGGGCGAGAAAGAGCGACAAAAATCGACGGTTCGATCGCCCATTGATAAGATCTAGATCTTAGATTGTTTTGTCGGGAGTCGGGTCACAGAGGGTCACATCCCGCCTCCCTCTGGCTTGTGACGCCTAGCCTCGGACACAGCCACGTTCCCAACACTGCCCCGGAGGAGCGCAGTCGTGGCAAGAGCCGCAGCGCATCTGCCTTCGTGGGGAACCCTCCACGTCCTTCCGGCGTTCTCCACCTTCGGCCGCAGCCGCAGGCGGATTACAAAACATAATCCAGGCTGCTCTTGGGGCCGCCCCTCCACTCCACTGCGCACTACATAAACTGCCCTTTGTCTGGCCTCGCGATGATTGTTGACCCAACGCCCTCATATCCTTCCATGGTACGTATTTTACACTTCTCGGATGGCCTTAAGCTGACTGGAGATGGCCCGTTCTGCAGTCGAACTACGACGAGCATACTCAGCAGCCGCCCTCATATGATGTAGCAGTGAACGGCGGTCGCGATAGTGAGTCTCTAACCCTTCCATTTCTATCTATTACGTCTCATCTCCCGCCTCCCTTCCTCCTAGTTTCAGGACCGTTTCTGTCAGGAGGTCAAGCACACGCGAAGGATGTCAAGGTTCCCAGCCTTCCCAATCCCGGCGCTGGCTACCCCGTAGCGGGTGCCCCACCTCCACAATCAGCCGCGCAGCCCGCGACGGTCGTGTACAACTACGTAAACCCGCTGACGGGCGAGCGTATTGTCTCCCTGCTCCCCCCCGACCATCCGCAGATGATCTGCTTACAGCAGGGCGGGCACGTCACCACCTCCAAGTTCGGCTTCCTCGGTAAGCGTTTCTCCTTCAGCCCTCGGGTACTGGCCCCCGTAGGGGTGTCACCGCATTCCTTATATGACAGAGGAGGCTGATGATAGCTATAAACTTCAGGTATTCTCGCTGCTATCTTATGGTTCCCACTTGGAGTCGGCCTCTGCCTGCTTGACCGGAAGGTGTACTGCAGGCGATGCGGCGTCATTCTTGATGACGGCATGTGTTGAGGTACTCGCCGCAGCTTCATACATGATATTCACGTGACTCCTGCAATATTTGCGACACGGACTTTCCTTATTGTTTTTTTTCATGCAGTGTACCATCTCGGAGTAGCATCAATCCTTGTCATCATCCCTTAAATGTATCATACGTGACCCTGCCATCAAGCGGAATGTAGCGTCGCCTCGTCTTCCTCACCAGAAGACTACGAAAACGTAAGGACCTACATACAGCACTCACGTTGGCTGCACTCCTAATGCTCGTAAACTTCATATTGATCCCCTCACCGTCATTGGTTAGGTACAGTATCGCAATTAAGTGGGCAACTCTTCGTTGCGTTGCCGATGGCGCTGATGTAACAGAAACTGCCGTGGCCCCAAGGATCTCACAGCGTGATTGCAAGGCAACTATCCTGTGACACAGCGGGACCTCTGCTGGTTCCCGTCATCAACACACCTTATGATACTGCAATCTTCACTTCTCCCTAAGCCCGTTCGACAGGACGAATCGATAGGTCAAGCTGACATAGCGCACTGACGCCTACAAGGGTGGACCGCCATGCAGAATTCTACACCACAAGGGGCTGGTGCTCCGTCCCTCGGCCAATCCGCCACACATCTGCCCCCTGTTCGCAAATTACCTGGTCAGGTCAGCCTCGGTAATAAGTCATCGGCCAACGAACCTTCTGGTTGTTCGTCCGCGTATTTTTCATCCGACGTGTGAACCACTCCAACGACGTCTGTCCAGTCTCGAAGATCGCCCGCAGGTGCCCTGGGACATTCTCAACCGCACGCCCAATCACGGCGCTCTGTTCACCAAGAGCACGGAGCTGCACGGAGTTGCCTGGACGCGTGAAGTAGACCACCGACCACCGCGTGTGGCGGGCCTGTTCCCCTGGAGGCGGCCTGTTGCGACATCGTCAGCGGGTTATAGGGTGGCGAAGTGGGGCCATCGAAGAGACTCACACGACACGATGGAGGTTCGACTTGAGCAGACCCCCACTGAAGATCGTCAACGCGTCTCCGATGTTGCAGATCGCATGCCCCGCTATCGGTTTCACGTACTGCCACTTGTCTGTCCCCGGCACCATCACCTGCAGACCACCGAGTCTGTTGTGCAGGAATGACTGTCGGCGGTCACTCAATGTTAGCTGTCATCCGTCGCCACTTTGGCACCACACTCACGAGAGAGCCAAAGTCAGTGTGGGCCATCAGCGCCGCCTTCGCCTCGTCCGTTCCTCCAGGCCGCGGCGGGCTCTTGATCACCCGAGCCTCGCTTCCGCTCAACTCATTCAACTTGTGCTTCGACGCTAGCGTGCCCTCGGGCAGTCCCAGCAGTTCGTCGAATACCTCCAGGAGCGTATCGAGCACCCTGACCGATTTCTTGACAAACGGCACGACGGCGGAGTCCATGCGGGCGTTCACGGTGGAGGGATATGTCCGTCGGGCGACGGCAGGCCAGGCGAAAGCGTCGTTTTTAGCGATGTTGATGAACTCGACAGAGTCCGGTGACCCATTCTCGTCCGTCACCGTTGCGCCGGACGCCTTGTATCTGTCCCCCGCCAGTCAGTAGCTGGTATACGTAGTATGGTCTCGTGGCACTGACCCGAAAGAGAAGCCGTCGTCGCCTTGTTCGAACTCCATCTTCTCCTGGAACGGCAGGTCCATCGTCTCGGCGCCCATGTCGAAC